ATACATCTTCTGTCACTTTAGAAGATAAAAATTTAGTTTGTTCTACACCAATTTTAGGTAGTGAACCATCAATTGCAAGTAATGTAATTGCAAGACAAGTACTCCGAAGTGATGGAGTTTATGTTGAAGGACATATCCAAGGGTCTGAGGTTAATTTTACTGTAGATACAGGGGCAGTTCGGACAGTGTTATCCGTGTATGCCTTTAATAAAATTCCTCATGTTAATAGACCAATCTTGGAAAAGTCTAATACTTTAGCTTGTGCTGATGGCAAACCCTTAAAGGAGCTAGGGAAAGCTATTTTTGAAATTCAATTAGGAAATTTATGTTTTAGTACAGAAATGATAGTAGCAAATATAGAAGATGAAGCTTTGTTAGGACTGGATGTTTTAATGAAATCTCAGTGGGGTCCTGCTGACATAAAGTTAACAGAGGGAATTATACTGCTTGGTGGTCATGCTATCCATTGTACCCAAATTGGCCAAACAAATAAATTTATTCGAAAAATTTATGGAGAAGCTAACTATGAAATTCCCCCAAGGTCAGAAATTTGTGTTGATGTTTTTGTTGACCGACTTGATGATGATTCTCCTGAAACAGTTCAAGATTGTATTTTAGAACCCTCTGAGAATTTTTTAGAAAGATTTTCATTAGTAATGGCACCATGTTTAGTTAACATAAGCCAAGATGTTACGTGTAAAACTAGCATAATGGACACATATGATTACAAAAACACTTTGTATCAAGATACAGTAATTGGTTCAGCAGAAGTTGTTGAACATGAACCAAAGATGTTAATAGAAAGTGAAGACACACTTGAATTGAATAACCAAAATGCAATGAGAAGACTGAAATTTCATGACTCACATTTAGTGTCTGGAAAGGGGGTATCCAAAGAAGAAATAATTAGACATTTGACTAGTAAAGAAAAAGAACTTGTACCAGAACCACCTCCTACCACAGCTACAGGAACACAAAAGAAACAGAAGAAGTCCCTAGTAGTTAATGACAACTAATTATATATTGAATAAAGATGTAATTTTATATTTTTAATGGAAATTTAAGGTATTGTTTATTAGAGTTGTTAACATCTAAAGTAATTTAAGGTTAAGATAAAAAGTTATTTAAATTTACTTAGACTGAAAATTTATCTTTGAAATTCATGAAAAGTTTATAAGTTATTTATATTAGATATAGTCAAAGCTTTCGAGAATTAAAAGTTATTTTTGGGTGTATTTTTAAACTTATATTTAAATATTTTGGTACTGTTTGCATGGTAACTAAATTTTCCTTCAGAAAACCTCTAGTTCTTGGACATGTTCCACTTTGGTCATAATGTTTAGTAATTTTCCACATTTTGGTATATATATATATGTCTGTCTGGTATCTACCGCCCTCGTGCTGATGGTCATAATGGTGAAACTTCTAGTGTATCTGAAAAGTATTATATAAAAAGAATATATTTATGTATAATTTTTACATAATCTAATATATTATCATGTATTTGTGTTATAATCATAGATGGTATTAATAAGAAAACTAATTTCATTCAGTTTTGGAAATAATTCTTAAAATATTAGTCTGTTTTTCTTTTTAAGAAGTATATGCATTTAAGGCATAGAAAAAAAAACAACTTTAATTGGAAGCTTTTGCAAAAGTTAAAAGTATTTGCGGGGACGCAAATAATGGAAAGGGGGTAAAATGTAGAGTACGAAGACTAGGGTACATGTATTTTATTGTGACATGTGTGATGTACATGTAAGTTTACATAGACAGGGAGAAGATATTTTTGATGTATGTTTTAATTGGTATTAATAAAGCATATTGTTTAATATTCTGTATTTTTTTTATGAAAGTCTTATTATGTAGGAAACAGTAACTGTGTGAAATAACTTGTACTATATTACTTGTAATGATTGTAGTCTGAAACATATTCATAATTGAAACAAATAAGTTTTAATTAACATTTAATTAAGTAAAGTTGGAACAATTACAATATTATGATTTTCTAGAAATATTGAATTACTGTCATTTGAATATTTGATAAACTATTTGAAGTTCATGTTATAATTTACCAGTTCATAGTAATAATCCAACTGGATGTCTTGTATTTTTGTGATGATCCAATTGTAGCAACTGTACTAGTAGATCGTAGTAAATCTCGTAGTAAATCCACGCACCTTGCTTGAATTTTATGAATGAAATGTACTGACATGCGCAGTGGAACCCATGTGTCACTTGGGACGATGTTTCAATAAAAACACTATTTTTACGTTTCGGCAACTGTTTTCAAATACTCTTTGTAATTCCTTTTAGTATTTGTAGTCAACGTCTTCAATGTTTTGTAGATGTTAATGCTCACTATCCTTGATATTTGTCATTTTGGTTCGCCGGTGACACACATAACTTTTGGCAATGTTGTTTACGTATTGTGACTTCCGGTGAAGTTTTATTGGTGTATTTTTAGCTACTATAGAAATTTGTTTAGTACCATGTAAAATTTGTTTATTATATGACTGTTACTAAAATTGTATATTATTATGATTTTTGTAATTTATTTGAGATTTCAAATATTTCGTTGGACAGCAAGCGCGCGATCCAACAATTTTCCAACTTTGCCAACAATCCAACATTGACGTAATTTCGACGCTTGTTCGTCAGTTCTGCTTAAATCTTTGGTCGTTACAGTTAGTATTTTATTTTGCTCATCATTAATTTTTGTCAAAATGGTTAATTTTCTTACAAACTTCATTTTTTTAAAGGTTAAACTGTAAAGGAAAATAGTAAATTTAGCGTTTTCTAAGTTAGAAAGGAATATTTCATTTTTAGCGGACTCTTAGGAGCCGGACTCCTACATTTTTGATCTTTTGCTTAAAGTATTTTATTCTTTTAGTAAATTTAGGAAAGTTCTTAAAATTGTTTTTTTTAGAATATCTTTTAAGTTAATTATCGTATTATTGCTGGCAAAGCTTTATTTCTAGTTATCTTTTAAAGTTAGGATTATTGAAATTGTTCATTGTATTTCATGTTACTGTTAACGTTTGTCTTATTTTTTTTTAATAAATACAATTAAATAGGAAAACATTTGGCAATTAAGGGATAATTTCCTAAAGGTCTGGAAATTATAATAAACAAAACAGTTTATGTAAGGTATAAACTGTATTTCATGGGTAGTTTTTATTCAGGAAAGGTTCTGAATATAACTAATAATAATAAACATTTTTTTATGTAACTGGTGAGGTATCAGTTATTACTATATACAAAAATGTCAGAAAAAGGTATTCTGACTAAATTCACTTGAAATTAGTATTTTCTGTAAGGGTAATTTATTTTCTTGGTAATATAGCAGGACTCCGCCTTTTATGTATTTTTCTGACACACCAACATACAATTATATTGGTAATAGCAAGTGTTATTTTTATTAGAATTGCACGGCCAAAGTTATCCTGCAATCTTTAAAATCATAATAAGTATCTCTTGAGTGTAGAGATAAAATATTACATGTATACTGAATAGATTCTTGTCATATCATTTAAGAGTCTATAATTTAAGTATCTTACTACTTAAAATTGTTGTTGTTTATCTTGAATATCAATGAAAATATCTGAGTCTTGAAATGAATAAAATATAGAAACTTATTTATGTGACTTTTAGCAAATGCCTATATTATACTGACCAGATCATATCTTGTCATACTGACTTTGCAATTTGCAAACTACTCATAAAATTTGAGTAAAACTTTTGGGTCAAGCATTTCAAGCCCCTGCCCGCTACACACGGTTAGATTCAGCATATTAATGAACCCCAAGAATTCAAGAATAAAACCCCATTGAAATTGATCAAGAAATAAGCAATTTATACGAAGTATCTTCTTTTGCACAATACTGTGCAATTGAATATTTCTTGCTATTGCGCAATACTGTACAAATGACAATTTCTTGCTATTGCGCAATATTGTGCTATTGGATATTTCTTGCTATTGCGCAATACTGTTAAATTGAAGATTTCTTGCTATTGCGCAATACTGTGCAATTGAAGATTTCTTGCTATTGTGCAATACTGTGCAATTGAAAATTTCTTGCTATTGCACAATACTTATTATATAATAATTTACACATCCTGTTTGGTGTGTATCTCCTACCATATCATTATTATTTGCTTTTAAATATAAATCAGAAATAACCAACTTAAAATGGAAAATTTTAAAAGAAAAAAAAAAGGAAAAAAAGAAAAAAAAAAAAAAAAAAATCCCCCCCCAAATTTTTTGAACCCCCTTATGATTCATCACCCCCAAACTCAATCCCAGCCTTCCCTTTGTGGTATGGTACCTTGCAGTACAATTTCAGAGAGATCCATACACTTGAACACAAGTTATTGTCTGGAAACTAGAAAAATGCTTATTTTTGGCCCCTTTTTGGCCCCCAATTCCTAAACGTTTTGGGCAATTACCCCCAAACTCAATTCCAGCTTTCCCTTTGTGATATGGAACCTTGTAGTACAATTTCAGAAATATCCAAACACTTACACACAAGTTATTGTCATGAAACTAGAAAAATGCTTGTTTTTTGCCCCTTTTTTGGCCCCTAATTCCTAAAATGTTGAGGCAATTACCCCCAAAATCAATTACAGCCTTCCCTTTGTGATATGGAACCTTGTGGTACAATGTCAGAGAGATCCATACACTTACACACAAGTTATTGTCTGAAAGTTACAAAAATGCTTATTTTTGGCCCCTTTTTGGCCCCTAATTCCTTAACTGTTGGTACCATAACCCCCAAAATCAATCCCAACCTTCCTTTTGTGGTATTGAACCTTATGGTGAAATTTCATGGAGATCCATTCACTTAAACTAAAGTTAGAGTGCGAAAACCAATGTGTCTTCGGACGACGCCGGACGACGCCGGACGACGACGACGACGACAACGACGACGACGACGACGACGACGCCAACGTCATACCAATATACGACCAAAAAATTTTTAATTTTTGCGGTCGTATAAAAAAATTGAGAGTCTAATCAATTTTCACTGCTTTTTTTCTTTTTCTCTGAACAAATGATTTTCTTCTTCATGCACATGAATATTCAATTCTTTCATCTTACAGCTGTTACAATGTATGTTGATATTTATTTTTTTATTTCTTGAACACTTAAGTCTGAGGGTCATCTGAATTGTCTTTAGAGATAAGATGATGAAATGGAATGGTATGGTCCATCATTACTGGCTGAAGCGGTAAAATCTGCTGCACTGAGACTGAAGGAAGTGGACTAGTTGGTAACATACCACATGTTGTGGCAAACATGATAGGACTAACTGGCACTGTAAAATTAAATGATCAAAAAAATATAATTACAAAACCAATTGGCCTACCCAACCAAGGTTTATAAAAAAATATGTGCCCATATGACATAATGCCCAACTTAAATGATAAAATGTGTTTAAATTATTGGCTTTGATAAATATCAAACAAATTAGATACATTGGTTTGTTTTTTTTTGTACAAATACTCATAAGTCATTTATTTTTAAATATAACTTACAATCAATTTTAATTGTAAGATTTTTTTTGTCACAAGAGTCATAAATGTGTGAAGACAGTTTGATTGACAGGTGTATAACAATTTACCACTGAATATTACATGTTTTATATTTGTACTGAAACATTTTTTCAAATAGAAGCTACAAACTGTTTTTTAATATAAAAAATATTATGACTGTGAGCCAATCAGATTTAATCCTGCATTCTTACAAAGAAGATGAAAATTCTAATTTAAAAGTCATTGGTTTGAATCTACTATGATCCTGCACAAGCAGAAAACACACTACCATATGACTATATAGCAAAACAATTGCCACATACAAAGGGGGAATAAACAGTACCTGATGTCACAATAGGCTGGCATGAAGATATAACAGGAAACAATAGTCCCCCTTGTTTATTTAAAAAGATGTGTCACCACATATAAAGAGGGATTACCAGTACCTGATATCACAATAGACTGCCATGAAGACTTTACAGGAACCAGTAGTCCCCCTTGTTTATCTAGAAAGATACCCCCAAGGGTGATTGGGGAATAAAGGGTGATTGGGGAATAGAAATATAGTCACCATTGGTCTTCCTCCGACTGGCAGTAAAACCCTCGCCAATTGGGAAGCCACGCTCTTTACACGTTAAGAACCTTGCAACAACTCTTTGAGGGGTCCGTATGTGGCCTGTTGCAAGGCTAAATTTCTGTCCCTATCCAATATACCCTCATTTTTAAGTGGCAGTCCAAATTTCCCCAACCTTCTTCCTGGACGTTCTCACCTGAGATCATCCCGAGTGTTGCTTAGTCTTTAACTTTTCTATGTTGTGTCTTGTGTACTATTATTTGTCTGTTTGTCTTTTTGTTTTTTAGCCATGGCGTTGTCAGTTTATTTTCGATCTATGAGTTTGACTGTCCCTCTGATATCTTTCGCCCCTCCTCTATTACAGGACCTACCTATTGTATTTATTGTTAATTGTAAGACATAACAGGAACCAGTAGCCCCTTGTTTATTTTAAAAGATGTGTCACCACATATAAAGAAGGATTACCAGCACCTGATGTCACCATATGATGACATGAAGAAATAAGAGGAACCAGTAGTCCCCCTTGTTTATTTAAAAAGATGTGTCACCACATATAAAGAGGAATTAACAGTACCTGATGTCACAATATGCCGTCATGAAGACTGTGTAACATATTTGTTTTTTTGTTAATTATTTTGTACATAAATTGGGCCATTAGTTTTATCGTTTGAATTGTATTTTATTTGTCATTTTGGGGCCTTTTATAGCTGACTATACGGTATGGGCTTTGCTCATTGTTGAAGGCCATACAGTGACCTATAGTTGTTATTTTCTGTGTCATTTGGTCTCTTGTGGAGAGTTGTCTCATTGGCAATCATACCACATCTTCTTATTTTTATAACGGGAACAGTTAGTCCCCCTTGTTTATTTAAAAAGATGTGTCATCACATATAAAGAGGAATAAATAGTACCTGATGTCACAATAGGCTGACATGAAGACATAACAGGAACAGGATGTCCTCCTTGTTTTGCGAAACTCAACTGCTGTGTTATCTGTTGTAGTTCTGTCTGTTGCCGTACTATGGCCGACTGTAACTGCTGAGCTTTGTCCTGAAGCTGACGATACAACTGTTGTTGTACAGGTGTAAGGAACAACTGCGAAGAAAGAAAAATTTCAATAAAAAATAAAACAACCATTTAAGAATTTATTACAAATAAATAAATTCTGAGTGTTTAGATAATTGGCCATTTATTCATTTAACTTTACTCAAAATTTGTGATCTGAAACACTGAACCCAGTCAGTTGATTGGCTGTTTTCTGAGTCTGAGTATGAACGTAATGCCTGAAGTTCAAAGTCTGGTTTAAATGGCTAATTCTGGTCTTATTTTAGTCTCAATAAATCTTTCTTGAGAAAAAACACATTCTGTTCAAATAGTTGAGTTATATAATTGTAATTATTTTTTGCAATGCGTACCTTCAGCACTAGTCCGCTGGCCCAACCCATTTCCAGTGAAGATCTGTTTAGGCCAATGACTTTTTAAATATTTTTCAATAGAATTTAATGAAAACTTTAAGATTTAATGTTTTCTGGCCAGTAATTTCATAAGTCTAACTTTGTAGATTTTACAATGCTTCAATACATACATTGGTTTAAACAAAATCTGAAAAAGGACAAACTTAATTTTTGTTGTCAGTAAAATGGTGTCGATTTAGAAAGCAATCTTTTGTTAAATTAACTGTTTACAAAACTTTGAATTGTTCAAAATACTAAGGATTTTCTACCCAAGGGATAGATTAATGTAGGAATTTAGGAATTTGTTTCCTCAATACACTTTTACTTTTTAGATTCAAGCCTCACTGATGAGTCTTTTGTAGACAAACCACATGTCAGATGTACAAAATTATAAGCCTGTTATCTTTGATGAGTATCTTTAAAAACAAATATATTATACACTTTAGCAGAAATTGATTTACTCTGGAAACATATCGGAATCTTTGAAACTTCACAATATCAGCTTTCTCCTTATGGTATTTTCTTCCTCATCTTTATCAACCTCCTGGCTGGAGGAAATAATGAACTTTCAAACTGAATGTCAAAAAATTAATTAACCATGTGGAAATATTTCTGGACCCTTGCTTTATACTCCTGCTATAAAGTTTGGGTAAAATGTGTTACATATATAGCTTCAGTGAACTATATGAAAAGAACACTTGTAAAAGAAGAACTCTCCTGTGAAAAAGATGTGTTGTGTTCTTGGTTAATGACGATGTGCTCATTAGTGAATTAACAGATTTATAACTTATGGCATAATTCAATGTATAAAACAAAATGAACAAAATATCTAAAAAATAATCTCCTGCTCCCCGCCTCCCCTCCCCCCACCAACTTCCTCTCCCCCCACAAAACATAATAATGAAATGATATGGAATAAAATGGTAATAAGAAAGGTGTCCTGTTATATTTTGTATATATTTAACAAACCTGTGGAGATGTAGGCTGGATCTCTGGGGACATTTGTGTAGTACTTGTGGATGGTGTTGGTCCTAGCTGTAAAGTGAAAAAAAGATTAAAATATTTGTCATGTTTTGGTTTAAAACATCATATGTGCAGCACCTTAGTCCTATTTGTCTTACTTTTCCGTACTGAATATTAATACTTTTTTCATTATAGTAATATGAGTTATTTCCCTTTGCTGCCATGGTGGAGGTCAATGGACACACATTCCTTCATAAATCAAAAGTTCCACTCCTTATTCTAACAGGTAGACTTTTATAAAAAAAAGTTTTTTCTGCATGCAAAATATTCCTTTGGTTAAGTCTTGTACAATTCATTTCTATGATCTGCATTAAATAAGGAATGTGGTATCATTGCCAACAAGACAACTATCCACCAGAGATGAAAGGATTTGGGTGTAAGCCACTAAAAGTCACCTCATGGCTTTCAAAAATTGGGCAAATCCTGTACCTAACAGTATTAAGCTTAAAAAGTCCTGAGCATGAAAAACTGTAAAACAATTCAAAAGAAAAAACCAATGACCTGTTCTCATATCAAACTTGCTTGTATCACATGTTTTAATCTGGTTAGCCAAATAAGAAAATCAACCTAGGGAAAATAACTCAAATTACTTTATACTGTAAACTGTTGATAAAATAGAGCCACTTGTTTCAATCAGGTTAAAAACCAATAGTTGTTTTTTTTTATTATTATTATTGATTTTAGCATTTGTAGCATAAATTGGGACTTTGGTTTCCTCTTTTGAATTGCTTCACATTTGGTCATCCTACGGACTTTAATATCATGAATACCTCACTATATGATTTGGGTTTTGCTTATTTTTGAAGGCAGAACTATGACCTGTAATTGTTCTGATCCTAGTTATTTGGACCCTAGTGGATAGTTGTCTTCTTGGTTATCATACCACATCTCCGTATTTTTATATTGAAAGGCTAAAATATATTGCCTGTTGCGATATAGGAATTATGTTAGGGTCATTTAACTCTGAAACTGATGAACAAAGTCAAATGAAACTTGTCAGATGAGATGTACTCTATTATTACACTCAAATTTTCTTATCTGCCACATCAAAATTATGAGGTACAGTGCTAATCCAAAAACTAAATTATGACCAAAGGAAATTGAGATCAATGTCAGACAGATAAAAGTGCTTGCTGAACACAGGTTGTTGATGGTTGAAACCTAACCTGACACAATGGGTACCAGACCAATGGAAGCCTGACTGGAGACCAGTGGTTGATGTAATAGTCAAAGCTGTAACATAAGTTTGTGTTACCATAGTAACCATACCTAAGCCTCCATGGCAAGCAGACCGTTGGGAGCCTGACTTTGACTCAATGGCTGATGTAATAGTCTATGCTGTAACAGAAGTGTATGTGTTACCATAGTAACCTTACCTGACTCTCCATAGTAACAAGACCATTGGGAGCCTGACTTTGACTCAATGGCTGATGTAATAGTCTATGTTGTAAGAGAAGTTGTAGATGTTGTGAGACTGTCTGTGGAATGTATTTACTGGTAGGGACACTTGATGATGGAGAGTTGTCATTGTCTCCTAACTTTGATGAACCTACAAAATATGTTTTTTAAAATGTTTGAAAATTTTTACAATTATAATATAAAAACATAGTAATGAAAAAAAAAAAAATGGGGAATGTGTCCATGGGACACAGATGATGCCCCCACTTGCATATAACGTTATAAAGGGACATAACTCAAGAACTGCAAAAGTGACATTATCCAAATTTGAACTTGATTGTAATAAGCATTGTTTATGAGTTTCATTACATTTAATTGAGGCAAACTTAAGTTAGAGAACAGAAAGGAAAAATTCAGCAATTTTTTTTCATTTGTAAAGGGGCATAACTCTAGAACAGTAAAAGTGATGCCACCAAAATTCGAACTTGATCTGTGTTTAGTGGTAATTAGCATTCTGTATAAGTTTCATAACATTTGGTTGAGGTAAACTAAAGTTAGAGAAAGGAAACCAAAAATTCAGCAACTTTTTCATTTATAAAGGGGCATAGCTCTAGAACAGTAAAAGTTATGCCACCAAAATTCAAACTTGATCTGTTTTTTGTGGTAATAAGCATTGTGTATAAGTTTCATAACATTTGGTTGAGGCAAACTAAAGTTAGAGAACGGAAACCAAAAATTCAGCAACTTTTTCATTTATAAAGGGGCATAGCTCTAGAACAGTAAAAGTTATGCCACCAAAATTCAAACTTGATCTGTGTTTTGTGGTAATAAGCATTGTGTATAAGTTTAATAACATTTGGTTACGGCAAACTAAAATTATAGAACGGAAACCAATTTTTGGACGTACGGACGTACGTCCGGACAAACGGACGGATGTACAGATGGACAAGGGTAAAACTTAATGCCCCCTCTGCTACAGCGGGGGCATAAAAAGATGCCATTCTACAATCAATTTAGAGATTCAAGAATTTTAAAAATAAAGTCTGCCACATGTAAATGTGATTTTACCTAAGTCAGGGACTTTTTCAATGGTTGACTTATGTCATATCTTAATGGTTGTGTTTTTGTTTGTTTTCTGTTTTGGTGTTTATGTCAGATTCCTGATGGTCTGTTTTGATTTTATTCTCAACTTCAATATTGTATAGGCACATGTCTTTTATTGAAAATTGTATGTTGACCAATATTGGGGTCCATAAAATGTACGGATTTTTTTTTTTTTTAAAGATTTATTTCATACTTTCCGAAAGTGAAGGGTAACAGAACAAACAAATGGACTACATACCTGCTCTGTCTGAAGAGGCAGACCCCACACTGTGACAAGACATAATCGGCCTGATGCTACAGAACAAACAAATGGACTACATACCTGCTCTGTCTGAAGAGGCAGACCCCCCACTGTGACAGGAAGAAATAATTGGTCCTGATGCTACAGAACAAACATGGACTACATACCTGCTTTGTCTGAAGAGGCAGACCCCACACTGTGACAAGACATAATCGGGCCTGATGCTACAGAACAAACAAATGGACTACATACCTGCTTTGTCTGAAGAGGCAGACCTCACACTGTGACAGGAAGAAATATTTGGTCCTGATGCAACAGAACAAACAAATGGACTACATACCTGCTCTGTCTGAAGAGGCAGACCTCACACTGTGACAGGAAGACATATTTGGTCCTGATGCTACAGAACAAACATGGACTACATACCTGTTTTGTCTGAAGAGGCAGACCCCACACTGTGACAGGAAGACATATTAGGTCCTGATGCTACAGAACAAACATGGACTACATACCTGCTCTGTCTGAAGAGGCAGACCCCACACTGTGACAAGACATAATCGGGCCTGATGCTACAGAACAATCATGGACTACATACCTGCTTTGTCTGAAGAGGCAGACCCCACACTGTGACAAGACATAATCGGGCCTGATGCTACAGAACAATCAAGGACTACATACCTGCTTTGTCTGAAGAGGCAGACCCCACACTGTGACAAGACATAATCGGGCCTGATGCTACAGAACAATCATGGACTACATACCTGCTTTGTCTGAAGAGGCAGACCCCACACTGTGACAAGACATAATCGGGCCTGATGCTACAGAACAATCATGGACTACATACCTGCTTTGTCTGAAGAGGCAGACCTGACACTGTGACAGGAAGACATATTAGGCCCTGATGTAACAGAACAAACAGATGGACTTCTCTCCCTTTCATTTGATGTATTACCATTGGCTGTATTGTATCCCATCTCTTTCCATAGATTTTCTCTAACATCTGAATAACTATACAAGACAGAAATGTTTACATGAAAATGTTTTCACAAACGCAACACTGAAAAAGATCTTCATTTTTTCTTTTCCAGTATACAGTCTGTTTAAAAATTGCTTTCCAATAATGCTTATAGATAATATGATTTAATAATGATATAGTATTGATTTTTAAAAATCTTGTTGATTTACACCATTAATTTATTCATTGTTACTTTAATGGTATGTTTCTTAAAATGTTGCAATACGAAATCTTGACTACTGGGCAGATGATACCTTCAGGAACTGATATGAAAATAAGAAGGTGTGGTATAATTGCCAATGAGACAACACTCCATCATAGATCAAATGACATAGAAGTTAACAACTATAGGTTACTGTAAGGCCTTCAACAATGAGCAAAACCCATTTCACATAATCAGCTATAAAAGGCTGCGAAATGACAAATGTAAAACAATTCAAACGAGAAAACTAATGGCCTGATTTATGTACAAAACAATGAACAAAAAAATATGATATACAGCAACAAAAGACAACCACTAAATTACAGGCTCCCAACTTGGGACAGGCACATTCATAATGTGGTTGTGGTTGGTTTAAACATAATTGTAGGTGCACAACCCTCCCCTAACCTGGAAGATTGGTTTAACAACACAACATATAAACAAACTATAATAATCAGCTGAAAAGGGCTTTACTCATCAGATCAATACAAGTAGAAAAACAAGTAACATAAACACAGACCAGATGTGGCAGGATATTTATATATCTCCACAACAAAAAAGACACTAAGTACAGATCTGAAAGTATTCCCAGTTACTGACAGCTAGTTCAATGCCAATAACAACTAATACAAAAATCATGTATCTAAGACTAAACATAGCCAACCAAAGGAAGAACAAACACAGGCTAATAAGATTTAATATACAAAAACTGTACAGACTGACTGTGCATTTCTTTTTTCTAACTTTTAAGTTAATTTTTCCATGAACAGACATTCAGAGAAAAACCATTACCAATAAAATAATGTTAGTTAGTTAATAACAAAGTCGACATTTGTAGGCTTATTCATGTGAAGAACTGTTTTTGACTGCATTATCTTATAGGGACTAATACTACCAACTCTTGTTATGCTCATGGTTGAAGACTTATAATGCTTAAATCCGATGTATAGTTCTCATTGTCAATCATACCACATCTCTTTTTTCAGATTGATACTTTTAAAACTCTCCTACATAGGCCCCTGTTATTACTATGTTATATTAAAACTTTTAAAAACCTCCTACATAAGCCCCTGCTATAATAATGTTGTACATTGTAATGACACTTTTAAAACTCCCTAAATAGGACCCTGTCATAATAATGTTAAATTGATACTTTTTAAACTCCCCTACATAGCTCCCTGTTATCATAACATTGCACATACCTTACTACAACATTTGTACAAACTACAAACTCTGGCTTAGAGTTCCACTGATGATATGTAATGTAATAACGTGTCCGTAACCAGATCCATTGTTGACCTTTGGTCAGAAATCTGTAATAAGTTGAGGTTTCCTCCCCTTTCTGCATCACTGTAAAAAAAATATTTTGAATTTTAATTTCAAAATGCATAATAATTTTGAAATTCATCCCATATAACTTTTTAACTGATTGGAAGTTTTCCTCACTACACCATAATTCAAGAAAAATATTTTGTCTTATGTTAAATACACCATGATCCTAATCAAGGTTAATAAAAGAACAGAGTTCCAATGTCACCCGTGTTGCATATATTTTATCTGGGTACAAGGACAATACTTTTTTTTGTTCTTTAAAACTTTTTGTTAATATCTAAGAGAAATGAAGGCTTCAGAGCAAATGCAATGTGATTTTCATTATAATTAAAATCTCCAAGGGCATAACTAGTTAAAAATATTTGATCAGCTTATTTTCAAAAGTGTCAAAGACCTATGATATAAATTTCATAAAATTCTGGCATAATTGTACACATGAGAGTGCTGACAATGCAATTTTCCATATAATAAATATTTCAAAGGGACATAACTCTTTAAAAAATAATTGATCGGCACTGATTTTCAAACTCTTCAAAGACATTGCTAATATAAACCTATGACATAAGTTTCATAAAAATCTGGCAAGAATTGTACAAATGAGAGCTCTAATGATACAATTTTCCATATAACTAATGTTTCGAAGGTGCATAACTCTTTTAAAAATAATATAATTGGCACTGATTTACGAATTCGTCCAAGACATTGCTAATATAAACCTATGATATAAGTTTCATAAAGATCTGGCAAGTATTGTACATGTTAGAGCGCTAACAAGACTGGACAGATGGATGGACGCCCGGTATTTCTATGTCCCCTGCAATGCGCTGCGCGGGGGACAAAAATTAGGACATTCAGGTTACATCAACTTACACTGTTCATGACATTTACTCAAACAATCAAGGTCATCAGGGTGGTAATAGTCATAGCCTGACGTCCCTAGTACTTCAAATGGTAGATATCCAATAATAGGTGATGCCCTGAAATGCATAGTAAATGTCAAGGTCATATCAACAGAATATACAATAGTTGGAAATGTACAAATGTCATTCATTATTATGGTATATGTATATGATTTTATGTGATGCCCTTAAAAAGAAATACATATCAAAGTCATATAGATATTTTTAAATAGTGAATTATCTTATCATAGGTGAAGCCTGAAATGGAAATTGGATGTCAAAGTCATATAAAAAGTAGCTCTACAATTAATGGTGATGCCCTGAGAAGTAAATGTCAAGGTCATATAAATAGAAGCTATTTAATTGTAAACAAAACCAGCCATTACAAAAAAGTACAGAAAGTAGCTATGAACAGATAATAAATGTCAAGTTCATATATATATATAGTAGCTATCTAATTATAGATGATGCTTTGACAAGCAAGGAGGCGTCAAGGTCATACTGTAAATTTAAATATTTTTGAATGGTTTTCATTATTGCAAATAATGCAACTGGGGGAGAATCGTAATACAAGAACTGGCATTCTGAAATCTGACATATATTTGTATGCAGTTTTTCCTGTAATGGCAATAAAACCAATAATTATTCTCACATTCTGACAGTAGTTCAGCAGGGATGAGATGTCTGAAGTTGTTAAAGATGATATACTTCAAAGTGCTCCATTCTTGTAGGGTGGTGTCTTCGTCAAAGCTGGTGTAGTGACTGGTCAGTATGTTCAGTTGACTGGTTTCATAGTGGGGTAAATCAGAAATGTTGTCTGGGAAAGAGGCTGGTTTCGAATATGGTGAAGGCCTCAAATATCTTGGAGTCTGGAAATCTGTCTTTTATGTTGTCAGTAAGAGTTGATACCAGATGAACAACTTATCCAGGAAGGTGGACATCTCTGGGTGAGCGACTGAAGTTGATACCCTTGAAGTTCTCTTGTTCAGTTGTTGTTAGGATGAACTCGGACAGAAGTGGCCAGAAAGATGATTGGTCAGTGAGGTATTTGGCTCATAAGGCAGTCAGGAACCCGTCGACTTGCAGTAGGACTGTGCTGTATGATAGGTCTCCATACTAAGGATGTTGATTTTGCTGAAAATGTCATTCAGATAGTGGAGCAGGTAGAGGAACTTGTAGGATGTCATGTGATGCATCATGGAACTGGACTATATTGCTGTCACCTTGGTCTGATACCATATGTACTATCGAAACTAGGGATCTTCTTAAGTTGTCTAATGCTTGACCCATAGATAACCATCGGACTTTGTGGACATCTAGTGGATTCAGCTATGGATTGTCTAAGATTGTTTGCCATGTACGGAGCTCTGACAGGTTGGATGGTGACCTCTTGAAATACGTGTAGACTGTTTTGATGATGCTCTCTACAAATTTGATTTCTGGAATCTCTTTGGATAGGTCAACACATGCAAGGGCTAGACGATGAGCAACACAGTGCATCTCTATCAGATATGGATTGTTCTCTTTTAGGAGCTGGGATACACCAGTGTGTTTACCGATCATGACAGCTGCACCATCGGATCCCATACCATACAGTTTGGAAAGGTCAACATCATTCTCTTGCAGGTAGGCTATAAGCTGGCTGGTTATGGCAACACAGTCAGGTTTATCAGCTTGGAGAAGGTGATCTTAAGTTTGGCATCTTTCAAATAGCTGAGGTACAATATTAAGTGTTTCTGTGTTGATAGGTCAGTGGACTCGTCTATCATTATAGAGAACTCTTGACTGTCTTTTACATCTTGCAAAACAGTCTGGGAGGAAATAATTTTGATGAATTCAGAGCAAGCTGTATCTTCTTGGTACATAGTTGATGTTAACGGTGCTCCATTCATCTTGGACAGCTCATTCAAGGACTGGTACTTGTATGTTGATCGGTAAATTTTCTTTGGCAATGTAGTAAGCATTTCTACACAGTGTTGTCATGGCATCATCTGTTTATTCATACAACTTCTCTACCCTCGTCTTGAAGTTTGTTGTCTTTGGCTGCTTCATCAGACTTTAATGCTTGAACATGGTCATTGGAACTTGCATGGTCTACTACGCTGGACTTTCTGATGTTGCAGGCCCCGGGATATACAAAATTGTTTTTCTTTTTGTGTTTCTGGATGATGGTGCAGAACATAGCATTATGTGTACTGTCAAAGGTTAGCCATGTGAACAACTGTAACCATTTGGCATTGAAAGATCTGGCATTTTTTGCAGGTTTCTGGTTTTCATCTAACAACTCTCTTTAACGCTTATTCATTGTTGGATTTTATTATGAATTTATATTCAATATTCAAAGCTTTTATACCAGCAAGACAAAAAATTAAACAATTAAAGAAAAACGCCCATGAATTCTGTTGGCCTTTACAGAGAAGATGTATGGCTTCACTTGCATAAAAATCGGACTTAAACATACCTATGGTCAAGATATAAGGAACTTCCACTCTAGAAATACCTATGGTCAAGATATGGGGGGACTTCCACTCTAGACATACCTATGGTCAAGATAAAGCAACTTCAACTCTAGACATACCTATGGTCAAGATAAAGTAACTTCAACTCTACACATACCTATGGTTAAGATAAAGGAACTTCTAATCTAGACATACCTATGGTCAATATAAAGGAACTTCCACTCTAGACATACCTATGATCAAGGTAAAGGAACTTCCACTCTAGACATACCTATGGTCAAGATATAGGGGAACTTCCACTCTAGACATTCCTATGGTCAAGATTATGGTCAAGATAAAGTAACTTCAACTCTAGACATACCTATGGTCAAGATAAGGGGAACTTCCACTCTAGACATACCTATGGTCAAGATAAAGGAACTTCTACTATAGACATACCTATGGTCAAGATATGGGGAACTTCCACTCTAGACCTACCTATGGTCAAGATATGGGGAACTTCCACTCTTGACATATTATGGTCAAGATAAAGGAACTTCTAATCTAGACATACCTATGGTCAAGATATGGGGGAACTTCCACTCTAGACATACCTATGGTCAAGATAAAGGAACTTCAACTCTAGACATACCTATAGTCAAGATAAGGGAAACTTCCACTCTAGACATACCTATGGTCAATATAAAGGAATTTCCACTCTAGACATACCTATAGTCAAGATAAAGTAACTTCAACTGTAGACATACCTATGGTCAAGATAAAGGAACTTCTAATCTAGACCTAGCTATGGTCAATATAAAGGAACTTCCACTCTAGACATACCTATGGTCAAGATAAAAGAACTTCCACACTAGACATACCTATGGTCAAGATATGGGGGAACTTCCACTCTAGACATTCCTATGTTCAAGATAAAGTAATTTCAACTCTAGACATACCTATGGTCAAGATAAGGGGAACTTCCACTCTAGACATACCTATGGTCAAGATAAAGGAACATCTAATCTAGACATACCTATGATTAATATAAAGGAACTTCCACTCTAGACATACCTATGGTCAAGATAAAGCAACTTCAACTCTAGACATTCCTATATTCAAGATTAAGTAATTTCAACCTTAGACATACCTATAACCAAGATAAGGGGAACTTCCACTTTAGACATACCTATGGTCAAGATAAAGGAACTTCCACTCTAGACTGTGTCTTGATGTGAATTCTGCTTTGGCTTCATCAATAATGGACATTTCCCGTATAAACTGAGCATTCTCTATCTGTACAGTACAACAGAATGACATGTTGTCCTTCATCTGTGTCATCATTCCATAATTCCAACTATCTTCATTGTCACTAAAATCTGAAATATAAAACAAGCAGAAATGTCAGAAATTTATTCTCTGTTTTAATAAAGTCTGTGAATTTTACAATTTACTTTCTGTTTAAGTAAATTTTGTGAATTTTACAATTTACTTTCTGTTTTAGTAAATTTAGTTAATTTTACAATTTACCTTCTGTTTAAGTACAGTTAGTGAATTTTAAGGTTGCCATCTGTTGTAGTCAAGTCAGTGGAGTTGAGTTTACTCTCTGTTTAACTTGTCAGTGAATTTTACAGCTTACTTGATGTATTAGACAAGTCTTTGAATTTTAGTTTACTTTCTGTTCAAGTCAAGTCAGTAAATTTTACGTTTTTTCTTGTGTGTTTTTAAATAATTATTTACATTTGAATATGACTTACTGTTCCAATGTTTAAAACCAGTAAATTTGACAGTTTCATAAACAGGAGGCTTGTCTGGTCCTAGGGATCCTCTCTTAAAGTGACAAGAGAAAGATACCTGGTTGTCATCTGTAAAAAATAAATAACACAAATAAGTTACGGAAGTTCATTGTAAAATAAACAAACATTATTTAAATTGGCATAAATGGCCAGACATTTACTAATTAATAAACAAAACTTTCAACAACTGTAAAGACTGCTCCTAAAGATTTACTTTTAGATGGCATTAAGAAAGTTGGTCCCCAATTAGCATTTAGTGTAAAAATGCATCAAAGGTACAAGGCTTTAAACTCTGTGTGCCAGACATAGCATATATATATGAGATTATACAGTTGTGACTTACCTAGGTTTTTCTGGTGACATACTGACATGGCATATGAGATTATAACAGTTGTGACTAACTGAGGTTTTCTGGTGTCATGCTGACATGGCATATGAGATTATACAGTTGTGACTAACTGAGGTTTTCTGGTGTCATGCTGACGTGGCATATGAGATTATACAGTTGTGACTTACTGATGTTTTCTGGTGTCATTCTGACATGGCATATGAGATTATACAGTTGTGACTTACTGAGGTTTTCTGGTGTCATGCTGACATGGCATATGAGATTATACAGTTGTGACTTACTGATGTTTTAAGGTGTTATTCTGACATGGCATATGAGATTATACAGTTGTGACTAACTGAGGTTTGCTGGTGTCATGCTGACTTGGCATCTGAGATTATACAGTTGTGACTTACTGAGGTTTTCTGGTGTCATGCTGACATGGCATATGAGATTATACAGTTGTGACTTACTGATGTTTTATGGTGTCATGCTGACGTGGCATATGAGATTATAATGACTTACTGAGGTTTTCTGATGTTATTCTGTCATGACTTACGAGATTATACAGTTGTGACTTACTGAGGTTTTCTGGTGTCATGCTGACATGGCATATGAGATTATACAGTTGTGACTTACTGAGGTTTTCTGGTGTCATGCTGACATGGCATATGAGATTATACAGTTGTGACTAACTGAGGTTTGCTGGTGTCATGCTGACTTGGCATATGAGATTATACAGTTGTGACTTACTGAGGTTTTCTGGTGTCATGCTGACATGGCATATGAGATTATACAGTTGAGATCTTTCTTTGTCCTCTATGAAGTCGTATACTTGTTGATTAACCAGATCAGTCTGTAAAATATTTGACATACTTGTAGGTAGGTGAGGTTAGGGGTGATTCATACTGTTATGGGATGTGTCCGAGTTAAAAAGTTATCATTTCCATTCAACATGTGTTCTCTTATAGGTTAATTTTAATATTAGTCAACCCTGGTGTCGACTTTCAAACTAAATTATGGTAGGATAGCTTAGTTGGCTTAAAGGCCAAGGCAATGGTAGCAAAGCGGTCAAAGAAGATAAAGCACTGGTACTGATATGGTAGCAGACAAACCCATTCACACTGACTTCATTAGTACTCAATTAAGACTTGATTAAAGTGGGAACATGTGAAACAAGGGTTAACTATTGTTTAGTCCAGGGACCCTCCCTGGTCAATAAATGAAGACAAACTCATTCCCAGAGACCTTACAATAACAATAAAAGAATATGTAATGCTCATCAAATGACTTACAGTAAACAAAGAAGGTGAAAGTAGCCAGAAAAAGTTGTGTATACAAACTACCCCTGACCATTATAAAACAATGAAAAGCAATAAGCACTACTAGTATTCAAGTGGAGATTTTTCTTTAAACATTTTTAATCTAAATGAATTAGAATATTTATTTCATCTATTAAACTTCTTGAATTTATATAACAGTGTTGTCTTCTAGTAAAGAAAGGTGAAGAACATGGCTGTGTTCCTCTGCCCTTATAACATAATCCAAAACTAGATAATACTAAACCCTAAGTTCCATTATCCCAAAAAAGAGACTAAATCCAATCTAGCACACATGGTAAAAATGATTTCACAAAATATCTCATGACACTTGACTGAAAGAGTTCAAAGTCAAACTTTGTGAGACCACTTCAGATTTTTTTTTTTTTTTGTTAACACCTTTAAAATGTTAGCAGTACTTTTGGAAACTAAAAAATAACCTTCAATTTCTTGACACATTCTGGCTTTTTTCCCAGTTTTTAAATTGATTAAATGTTCAAAATTTGTTATAAATAAAATTCACAGATTTTTAAGGTTATATTTACTTTATAAATAAACTGTTATCACAGAGATATGTCTCGCCTATTTGTTATTTTGATAATGCAAATGTTGAAATTAAAATAGCAATACTTTAACATGTAAGTTATGGAAATATTCAAAGTCAATGAACCATGACTGAAGGTACAGGGCTAAACAATCTCCATGGAAATGAAATGTGCCAATGCTAATACAACTGCAAACCAAATACCATTGACTTTTCATAAGTCATTCCCTTTGAACAAACCTAAACACAAACATTAACTTGTAAACTATGTAAAAGTTTCAAAGTCAATGAACCATAATTAGGGGGTAGGGTTATATAATCTCCATAGAAACGAAACTTGCAAATGCCAATACATTTGCATACCGAATATCATTGACTTAACATTAGCGGTTCATCTTAAACTGACCTAATCACAAACTAATACATGTAAACTAAGCAAAAGTTTCAAAGTCAATAGACCATGACTGAGGGGTAAGGACCAAATATTCTCCATGGAAATGAGATATGCCAATGCTTATACAACTGCATACCAAATATCATTGACCTACCACTAGTGGTTCCCCATAAACTGACCTGATCACAAACTAATACATGTAAACTAAGCAAAGTTTCAAAGTCAATAGACCTTGACTTAGGGGGTGGGGCCAAATAATCTCCATGGTAATGAGATGTGCTAATGCTAATACAACTGCATACCAAATATCATTGACCTACCACTAGTGGTTCACCATGAATCACAAACTAATACATTGTTGACGCCGCCGCTGGAAACAGCATACCTATGTCTCGCTTTTTGACTCTGTCAAGGCGAGACAAAAATTATCTACAAAACTTTAAATCAATATAAAACATTTTACATGGGGGAGAAAACAGCTTGTGTAGCTAATCCTCATTCTTTGTTTTTCCTTCATTGATTGGGTTGAGAATTATAAGGTTTAAACACATTTTTTAGAGGTGTAAACTGGGCTGCTGGCTCATAAACTTGACATAAAAGTTCTTGCGACTTTTATTCAGTTTCAGTTAATTAAACCAGTTTACCTCTGAAAAAAAATGTGCTTAATTCTATGATGTTATATATTTCAATGGGTACAACATATGAGCTGCTGCAGATAGAAATCGACCTTATGCAAGTGCATGTATACATGTACATGCATAAGACTTTGATTGATTTAGGAACATTCAAATACCAAATAAAAGATTAATTTTGGTCTGTTTTGTAGGGTTCTTATAACAACTCAATTTTAAAACAGTTACAACCTTTGCATAAAGATTTTTTCAACCCGAAATTGGTTAACAGATGTATTGATATTCTTTTGCATAAGGTCGATTTCTATCGGATGCAGCTCATATGTTTCAAGAATATCCTAATTTGAAATAATGTGATTTCTGGAAATAATAAAATGCTCCGCTGGGGTGCAGCTTGATACGACCGCAGAGGTCGAACCATGAACAGTTGGGGCAAGTATGGACACAACATTCAAGCTTGATACAGCACTGAATTTGGATTGTAATTAAATATTTGACACAGCATAGGTTTCTGACACAGAATGAATGTGGTCTAAGAACTTAAAATTTTTTAATTTACCTATTCAAACAATTTTAAAGAAAAAAAAGGAAAAAATAATCTCCCCCCCCAAAATTTTTTGAACCCCCTTATGATTCATCACCCCCAAACTCAATCCCAGCCTTCCCTTTGTGGTATGGTACCTTGCAGTACAATTTCAGAGAGATCCATAAACTTGAACACAAGTTATTGTCTGGAAATTAGAAAAATGCTGTTTTTTGGCCCCTTTTTGGCCCCAAATTCCTAAACGTTTAGGGCAATTACCCCCCAAACTCAAACCCAGCTTTCCCTTTGTGATATGGAACCTTGTAGTACAATTTCATAAAGATCCATACACTTACACACAAGTTATTGTCCTGAAACTAGAAAAATGCTTGGTTTTTTTCCCCTTTATGGCCCCTAATTACTAAAATTTTGAGGCAATTACCCCCAAAATCAATCCTAGCCTTCCCTTTGTGGTATGGTACCTTGCAGTACAATTTCAGAGAGATCCATACACTTGAACACAAGTTATTGTCTGGAAACTAGAAAAATGCTTATTTTTGGCCCCTTTTTGGCCCCTTATTCCTAAACGTTTTAGGCAATTACCCCCAAACTCAATTCCAGCCTGTCCTTTGTGATATGGAACCTTGTAGTACAATTTCATAAAGATCCATACACTTACACACAAGTTATTGTCATGAAACTAGAAAAATACTTGTTTTTTGCCCCTTTTTCACCCCTAATTCCTAAAATTTGGAGGCAATTACCCCCAAAATCAATCCCAGCATTCCCTTTGTGATATGGAACCTTGTGGTACAATGTCAGAGAGATCCATACACTTACACACAAGTTATTGTCATGAAACTAGAAAAATACTTGTTTTTTGCCCCTTTCTGGCCCCTAATTCCTAAAATTTGGAGGCAATTACCCCCAAAATCAATCCCAGCATTCCCTTTGTGATATGGAACCTTGTGGTACAATGTCAGAGAGATCCATACACTTACACACAAGTTATTGTCATGAAACTAGAAAAATACTTGTTTTTTGCCCCTTTCTGGCCCCTAATTCCTAAAATTTTGAGGCAATTACCCCCAAAATCAATTCCAGCATTCCCTTTGTGATACAGAACGTTGTGGTACAATGTCAGAGAGATCCATACACTAACACACAAGTTATGTCTGGAAGTTACAAAATGCTTATTTTTGGCCCCTTTTTGGCCCCTAATTCCTTAACTGTTATTACCATAACCCCCAAAATCAATCCCCACCTTCCTTTTGTGGTATTAAACCGTATGGTAAAAATTCATAGAGATCCATTCACTTAAACTAAAGTTAGAGTGCGAAAACCAATGTGTCTTCGGACGACGACGACGACGACGAAGACTACGACGTCATACCAATATACGACGGCAAAATTTTTTTGAGGTCGTATAAAAAGATGTTTAATCTTTCTTCAAAATTTGAGGAAAATAACACTTATTTTATTTGTCAATAAACAGCTGCGCCATGAGCGCATGATACGCCCGTCGTCTTGTGTGTGAATTTTTATGCAATAAGCATAAATAGTTTCTGACATACGGCGTGACATGCGAAAACCCCCTTTTTTTTTAACAAAAAACTCAATATCTCTAAAATAAAATTTTGAATCAAAACCAAAAAGTATACAGATCTTTAGATTAATATAACTAAGAAGTGTGTAAAATTTTAAGCAATAATCATAAATCGTTTTTGAGATATGGCGCGACATGTGAAAAACCCCTCCCCCTTTTTTTACAAAATACTCAATAACTCAAAAATAAAATTTTGAATCATCACCAAAAAGTATACAGATCTTAAGATTAATATAACTGAGAAGTGTGTAAAGTTTTAAGCAATAATCATAAATTGTTTTTGAGATGAGCGACATGTGAAATAAAAACACACACCTGTTTTAGTTACTAAGTCCCGTAACTCAAAAAGTTTTAATCTTATTTTCACCAAAAAGTATACAGATCGTTTGACCATCATAAGAAACAACTATGTTAAGTTTCATGAAATTTGGATATGTCATTCTCAAGTTATGGCGTGACATGTTTACACCGGACAGACAGACGGATGGACGGACAGACACCGGACATTTGTATACCATAATACGTCCCGTCAAAAATTGATTTGCGTATAAAAAATTCAGTCAGAAATACATTTTCATTATTTATCAAAAACTTCTAGACGATTCAATTTCTTTCAAGGCTTTGAATTTCTACTCTTATTTTTCATATTTAATATGATTTTTACCAAGCTCTTTCAAGGATTTTATGGAGCTGTACAAACCCTGTTATTACAAGAAAGTTGCATACCCATTCAATTATCATAGTATACTAATTTATCTGTCATAGTATACTAATTTATAAGTCATAGTATATTTGTCACAGTATACTATTATATTTGTCATAGTATACTAATATATTTGTCATAGTATACTAATTTATTTGTCATAATACTAATATATTTGTCATAGTATACTAATTTATTTGTCATAGTATACTAATTTATTAGTCATAGTATATTTGTCATAGTATAATAATATATTTGTCAAAGTATACTAATTTATTTGCCATAATACTAATATATTTGTCATAGTATACTAATTAATTTGTCATAGTATACTAATTTATTTTTCATAGTATATTTGTCACAGTATACTAATATATTTGTCATAGTATAATAATATATTTGTCATAGTATAATAATATATTTGTCATAGTATACTAATTTATTTGCCATAATACTAATATATTTGACATAGTATACTAATTTATTTGTCATAGTATACTAATTTATTTGTCATAGTATACTAATATATTTGTCATAGTATACTAATTTATTTGCCATAATACTAATATATTTGACATAGTATACTAATTTATTTGTCATAGTATACTAATTTATTAGTCATAGTATATTTGTCATAGTATAATAATATATTTGTCATAGTATACTAATTAATTTGTCATAGTATACTAATTTATTAGTCATAATATATTTGTCACAGTATACTAATATATTTGTCATAGTATAATAATATATTTGTCATAGTATAATAATATATCTGTCATAGTATACTAATTTATTTGCCATAATACTAATTTATTTGTCATAGTATACTAATGTATTTGCCAAAATACTAATATATTTGTCATAGTATACTAATTTATTTGTCATAGTATACTAATTTATTTGTCATAGTATACTAATTTATTAGTCATAGTATATTTGTCACAGTATACTAATATATTTGTCATAGTATACTAATTTATTTGTCATAGTATACTAATTTATTTGTCATAGTATACTAATTTATTTGTCATAGTACACTAATTTATTTGCCATAATACTAATTTATTTGTCATAGTATACTAATTTATTTGCCATAATACTAATATATTTGTCATAGTATAATAATATATTTGTCATAGTATACTAATTTATTAGTCATAGTATATTTGTCACAGTATACTAATATATTTGTCATAGTATACTAATTTGTTTGTCATAGTATACTAATTTATTTGTCATAGTATAATAATTTATTTGTCATAGTACACTAATTTATTTGCCATAATACTAATTTATTTGTCATAGTATACTAATTTATTTGCCATAATACTAATATATTTGTCATAGTATACTAATTTATTTGTCATAGTAAACTAATTTATTTGTCATAGTATAATAATATATTTGTCATAGTATACTAATTTATTAGTCATAGTATATTTGTCACAGTATACTAATATATTTGTCATAGTATGATAATATATTTGTCATAGTATAATAATATATTTGTCATAGTATACTAATTTATTTGCCATAATACTAATATATTTGTCATAGTATACTAATTTATTTGTCATAGTATACTAATTTATTTGTCATAGTATACTAATTTATTTGCCATAATACTAATTTATTTGCCATAGTATACTAATTTATTTGCCATAATACTAATATATTTGTCCAAGTATACTAATATATTTGTCATAGTATACTAATTTATCAGCAATTTGTACAGTTACCCTTAGATACTACTGCCTAATATTTGTTTAGATCATGGACAGGACTTGATACCCGAAAATATTTGGCAATGATGTCACGTATCAGTGCAGCAACGTTGCATGGTCATATGGTCATATCCGTCCGCGTCAATTTATCAATGAAATGCATGTGACTTCATTCATACCACCAAACAACTATCACAAAAGTAGTTTTACTAACTAATTCATTTTATTTCATATTCTCAACCAAAAAACATATTATAAAGATAAATTGCTGATAAAAAGAATATTGGCATTTTATTTTTTGATATTAACTTCATCAGCTCGCCCTAGCGGCCTCACTTGATATTCTTGCTGATAAAATCAGTATCATAAACAAAAATGCCATTATTCTATATATATTTGAACATGAATTCAGAATCAGTTCCAATACTCAGTTTCTGAAATAAATTAATCTCATCTTCACTTAAATGTACATAAAGAAACACAATCAAATTCTCAGGGGTTCAAATTTACTTTAAGCAATGGAAGGTCCAGGACAGGACCTTTGACCAAAGATACTTAAAGATCCTCCATTATTCATAGAAGGTCCAATTTTTTTTTGAAAATTCAGTTTATAAAAACAGAAAATGCTTACCATAACAAAACACACATCATATCTACTGTAGTCTAACAGCATGATATAGTTGATGTGTTTCCCTCGGTTTTAGTTTGTAACCCGGATTTGTTTTCTCTCAATAGATTTATGGCTTTTGAACAGCGGTATACTACTGTTGCCTTTATTTACTTCATTAACCTCATGTTTTTCTGAATTTCTTAAATAGAGTCAGTCAGAAAAAGGCTTCCCCTTTTTCCTACACTATATGCTACATGTTAAATAACACTTTGTACCTTTATAATTGGTTTGGTTTCAATTGCTGCTTAACAACACTAGCCTAACTTTGTGTCAGGTAACAGCTCAACTTCGTTTTCAAACTTGGGGTTAGTTTCTTACAACCACCTTTTTTTTTTGGAAAGATACATAGATGCTGGGTGGTTATTTTTTTATCATGATTTTTTATGGGGTCAAGTTTAAATTTTTGTTGTCCAATGAACCAGGGCACTTTCCCTTTCACTGTTAGTGGGAAACATTTACGTTCTTGTTTTTCCCTGTCATATTTTTTGTCTTTAGTCAGATCCTGTCTATCGGGCTGTGTTAAGCCGTTTCATCAATCATCCCCTTGTATCCCCTATTTCACCAATCACCGCCTTTGTATCTCTTGTTTCATCAAGTTTTCTCTTGGAAGGGATCACTCCAAAATCGAACAGACTTATACCGTTTACTAGTTATGTTTTATATTATATTCTCAATTTTCCCGGGATCTTGTACAACGACAGGCCACATGACTACAATCAATTCATTTGTGAGGAATTTAATCAAATACATTTAAGTTTCCGTTCGTTAAAGTTGCATATTTCAAGATTATTTATATTCTTGATTTCATATATTTTTGTTCAAAATGCTTTTGTAGCTTTTTAACCTGCAAAAATACGAAAGTCTGTCGGGTGTACCTAACTACCGGTTTGAAGGTCCGAACCTTAAATCGAAGGTGGCGGACCTCAAACCACCGCTAATTTGAACCCCTGAATTCTAAAACAGAATTTTGGAAAACACAATATAAATTGAATTAATTTGTTATTGTCGTTTTCATGATAAAAACCGTACTGTCAATATAGCAGATGTAAATTTGATTAAAAATCTTTTAACACTTAATTAGTATTTAATAAAAATGTTGACGTACTGTTTATCAGGTTATTTTCAAGTCTAGCAGTGTTCACAGTTTGAGCCTTTGAAGGGCGATTTAAATATTCTGTTTAATTGTTTGCCTTTTACGGAATTATGCAATGCATTGAAACAGATAGTGATGTGTTTGTGTGAGGGGCAGTAAAATGCCTATCACAAAATTTGAGACATGTATTTTATAAATGCTAACAGCTATTTTAGGATTTCTGTAGGAACTTGTCAGGTGGTCTAAATGGTTTTTTTCAGGAACTTGCCAAGTGGTCTAAATGTTATTTTTTTTAGGAACTTGCCAAGCAGTCTGTGTTTTTAGGAACTTGTCAGGTGGTCTTAACGTTTCTTTTTAGGAACATATCAGGTGGTCTAAATGTTTTGTTTTAGGAACTTATCATGTGGTCTAAAAGAGTTTTTTTTTTAAACTTGTCAGGTGGTCTTTATTGGATTTTTCTTTTTTAGAAATTTGTCAGGTGGTTTAAATGTTTTACTTACAGGTAGATGTCCCAGTAAAGATGTAATACTTTCTGATGCATAAACAATGTTTCCCTGTTGATTAAACACTAACAGGCAACTGTCTTGTGCCTGAAAAATAAACAAAAATCGTTTATGAAAACATATAAATGTATACCATAATCTTTCACTTTTGATTTTAATCTAAAACATTTCTTGTGTCAATTTTTTTTTATTATCAAAAACTGAACAATTTAGGCAATATGGGCTATAAACAAAAACAGGTCTTCTTTGTTACTATTTGCCATAAGTAAATAAACTATGGGTACTGCAAGCAAGGATCACAAAATGACACTGCATTCCCTCACCCATTGTATTCAAGTATTAACTTGACCTTGCAGACAGATATTACAACTTGACAAAGCCTCTGTTGTTGGACAACAGTAATATCAAGTTTCATTAATATTCTTCAAGGCATTTAAATGTTGTACGCAACTTATATTTGAAACTGTATCTTACAATGACCTTTAAAAACCATAAAATTTCTATCTTTCTCACTATACACTCTCTGGTGTTGTGCAAAAATAACACCAAGCATCATTAAATCATTCAAGGAATACCAAAAAGTTTTAAGTTGGACAGGATTTTATAAATTTGAGTATTGGGCTGTACATTGTACATTATTTCATATTATTTATTAAGTCATACATTGTATTATCCTGAAAGAGATAAAGTCAAAAACAATGTGGTGAACATTAAAAATGTTTTTTTTTCTGTTATATTATTTTGGGGTTGCTGTCTCATTGAAATAACTCTATTTATTTAACAGTATATGAATCCACAATAAATATAACTACTAAGTATGACTGCGTCTAAGATTCTATTAAGTAAGTTAATGAGGTTCAAAAATAGATAAGAAAATAAAAAATAATAAGTCAAATTAAAACCACTAACCATGGCAACAAACAATCACAAGACAAACAATAATCTACAAAACACTGCATGGGAAACTAAAGACTAAGCAACACAACCTGTCCTCAATCAACACTGGAGATGACATCCTTTGTTCAATTTTAACAAAACACTACATAGAAAACTAAAGACTGAGCAACACAGATTTTCCTCCATCAAAACTGGAGATGACATCCTTTGTTCAATTTTAACAAAACACTACATAGAAAACTTAAGACTGAGCAACACAGATTTTCCTCTAACAAAACTGGAGATGACATCCTTTGTTCAATTTTAACAAAACACTACATAGAAAACTAAAGACTGAGCAACACAGATTTTCCTCTAACAAAACTGGAGATGACATCCTTTGTTCAATTTTAACAAAACACTACATAGAAAACTAAAGACTGAACAACACAGATTTTCCTCTAACAAAACTGGAGATGACATCCTTTGTTCAATTTTAACAAAACACTACATAGAAAACTTAAGACTGAGCAACACAGATTTTCCTCTAACAAAACTGGAGATGACATCCTTTGTTCAATTTTAACAAAACACTACATAGAAAACTTAAGACTGAGCAACACAGATTTTCCTCTAACAAAACTGGAGATGACATCCTTTGTTCAATTTTAACAAAACACTTCATAGAAAACTTAAGACTGAGCAACACAGATTTTCCTCTAACAAAACTGGAGATGACATCCTTTGTTCAATTTTAACAAAACACTACATAGAAAACTAAAGACTGAGCAACACAGATTTTCCTCTAACAAAACTGGAGATGACATCCTTTGTTCAATTTTAACAAAACACTACATAGAAAACTAAAGACTGAGCAACACAGATTTTCCTCTGACAAAACTGGAGATGACATCCTTTGTTCAATTTTAACAAAACACTACATAGAAAACTAAAGACTGAACAACACAGATTTTCCTCTTACAAAACTGGAGATGACACCCTTTGTTCAATTTTAACAAAACACTACATCGAAAACTTAAGACTGAGCAACACAGATTTTCCTCTAACAAAACTGGAGATGACACCCTTTGTTCAATTTTAACAAAACACTTCATCGAAAACTTAAGACTGAGCAACACAGATTTTCCTCTAACAAAACTGGAGATGACATCCTTTGTTCAATTTTAACAAAACACTACATAGAAAACTAAAGACTGAGCAACACAGATTTTCCTCCATCAAAACTGGAGATGACATCCTTTGTTCAATTTTAACAAAACACTACATAGAAAACTAAAGACTGACCAACACAACTTGTCCTCCACCAAAACTGAGGACGATGTCAGGAGATCTATTTTTACAAAACACTACATAGAAAACTAGACTGAGCAACACAACCTGTCCTCCACCAAAATGTTTCAAATTCAATCATCAACCATTAAGAATGTTTAGTGCCCTTTTCCAAACTAAATTTACAAGCTAAAGTGCCCTTTAGAAAGCATTTTTCTGATTAGCACCCTATGCATTTCCTGGCTGTTCTTTGATAGAAACACCTGCTAAGATTTATTTCATAATTTCTATTTAATTAAAAAAACCTCATCATAGATAGTTCAAGCCAGGAAATGCATTATGTGCTAATAGATTAAAGATCGATCAGGAGGAAATTGTAAGTCAGTTACTGTAAATGTTTAACTTTTCATTAATACGAGAAATGTAACAGAATAAGATTAGTGATGATAAAAATTTGAATTCATAATTTCAGTAGTGAATTTTCTTCACAAAATTTTTGCAATCGCATTAATCAGATCTCACATTATTACCAGTAGTCAAAGATAAATGCACGCAATAATTTCTGAATTCACAGAAATGCTGAAATATTCATGATAAAGGAGAATTTTAACTTTTCAATTAGCCAAAAACACTTGTTGAAATTAGGACAAATATTAGCCTGTAAATTGGACAGTAAAAAGTCAGTATTACAAGTAAAATTAGATAAAACATAAAATTTGATAACAATGATCACAGAAAATAACCAACCACATAAACCACCAACATACAAACAAATCAAACAACACATAGCCTAGACAGCCTGACTTGGTACAGGCATGAAAAGTGGTGAAGTTAAAGCAGTTTAACATGCTTACAAATCCCCCCTTTGCACATTTAAATCTGGAACATTTGAAGAACTTTCAGCCGGGATATGGTCCAGATAGCCCTACTACAAAATTATGTGATGTTTATGAAATTGAAAGTGCACATAAACCTCCCCTATTGCCTACATGTACCTAAACCTGGAAAACTTGGAAGCAGTCAGTACTTGCATATGTAAATAGATGTTTTTCTAACAAAGTGTGGTTATTAAAAAATGGTGGAAAAACATAGCAATTACTCAAGAAAGAACTAAGTGTATATGTGATCTTTAAAATTTACATCATAAATAATCTAATGTTGGCATTAAGCTTTGTTCACAGTTTGGGCCTAAGACAGGGCAGTTGTTCATTGTTGTATTTGCGTCCTTTCACAATACATCACTACATATAAAAAGACAGTCAAATCTTTGTGTGCGTTAAAATTGGAATAATTGCCTACCTCAAACAAAGCATAAAAATAGACAAACTAGTAAATTATCTGATATACAGTAAGAAATATCATTCCTATTTGACCATTTCCTTAACCACCTTGTAATGATATATTACCTCTAGCATAAGGTGCATGAATTCATCGTTTGAAAGAAATGATGGTTTCCAATTCTCTTTGATTTCATGTGTCTTTGCCTGTACTGCCGTCTCTACAAAGTTATACAATGGTTTTAATAACACTGAATCTTTGAATTTCATTTCATTCTAAAGTGTTGAATTAGTTGGGTTTTTTTCAAATTTGCTGGCTTTTTTTGTACAATGCTCAAAAAGATGTAAAATAAATTGAAAAACATATGGGTTAAAATGGTATGTAACGTCACTTTTGATTGGATAACCTCTGCTGTCACTTCTAGGTTGATGGTTAGAGTCATAAGCAACAATGTTGTGCAATCACATTCAACATTTTCGGGATAATTTAAATGAAATTATTTTGCAATTTTGACTAGTTTTGCATTAGAACAGATTATATAGCAGTGCTTATTTGAAGAGTTACCACAGTCAATTTTGATTTGACCATCTTACATTGTATCTAAAATACAAGTGTAAATTCAGAAATTATTGTGACGTTTTTTTAATGCGAAAAATGCAATAGTATTAGATTCGCAATAATAAGACTAGCATTTATCATTTCTCTAGTTTCAGTTGCTGTGATAGGTACATGTAGCTTATATTTTATGAAGTTATGTTTTTGACTATTTCCTTAGCAACCATAACATTGTTGTCCTATCCCATCATGCAACACTAGAAAGACTCAAATTTACAGTTCACTATCTCTAGCTATAGGGTTGAAATACATTCTGGAACAATGCAAAAATATATCCCTGAAATACCTTGATAGTTCCTGAGATATGATATCGTTGATTTAAGAACCGTAGACTTGTCCATTTTCTTGGAATTAGTTGCTGATACCATTGAACAAAGTTCATGGACCAACATATTGAACTGGTCTCTCCGTTTCTTCTCACTGAGGTTACGGTTAACCCTATAACAAATAAAATAAAATCAGTCAATATGACCTCATGTATCGCTAGAAATAAGAAAGTTACAAGATAAGGTGAGGATATTTAATTTGTTGGTTAACAGAAACATATCTGCAAACCAATATCTGATATTTAGAGAAAAAATACAAAAATCAAATTTCATACTTTTTTATTCTTGCCAAAACTACTAATTCTAATATGATGAACTATATATCGTCAATCTGTATAATCACGGTATATCTACTTGTAGCACAAACACATAGATACACAAAATTGGCTGTTCCGCATTATGCCCATCTTATTTATACGACCAGATAAACTTAATTTTTGACAGTAAATCCCACATTTCACGTAGGCCAAGCTTTGAATACAATACCCTTATCTCTATTCTGATGCAAAATAAACAAATCAGTCCATTTCAGTTATTATGTCAATGAAAAATGTCATAAAACAAAAATTCCACGAAATCATGTTATCGCCTTTTGCAATTAAACAAGGTGACGTCATATGTATGCTACCGGCGTTTTAAGGCTTCTTGTATGTCTCAGAATGTAATAAAATAACACAAAAAGAACAAATTTAGATGAAGAATGTGAGTTTTTTCAATTATTATTGAATAATATTATATCATTAATACTATTATATGTGGAGTAAAATGGAACAGCCAAAACAGCATCATGTGTATCAGGCTTTCACGGTTGACAAAATTACAGAATTTGTATTATTAGATATCAAGATAATTCATGGCAGCCGTAGATTTGCTTTCATTTAACCATGGGTTGGGCATTTATATTCATATTTTATAATCAAATAATAAATGCCCAATCCGTGGTTAAATGAAAACAAATCTACGGCTGCCATGAATTATTTCTTAAATATATTATTAGCGAAATATAGATGAAAAATATCCTGCATAGAAGGGTTAACCTTCAAACCATGTGTCATTTATATGTAAACAGATATTAATACACATGGTGTGTTAAAAATAGCTGTTAGCAGATGATTGTGAAATGTTGTTTTCACAAATACTTTTTATAGAATGAAACCTACGTAAATTATTCTATAAAAAATTATTTTGTTTTGATTTTTGTCATCATTCAGTTGGATTTTATTTTTAAAAAATTTCAGGGTTCTCACTAAGGTGAGTACACAACTCCTGAACTCATGAAAATCTGTCTTGACACATCACTCAATCCTTGAGAACTCTGAATTTGGTATATCTTTTTTAACATACAATTTATGTTATAGAGGGTATAAAAAGCTAGTTGAAAGCAAATGGTAATACTTGTGTTGGGAACAGGCTGGAAAGTTATAATGGGTTAATCAGAATAGTTGGACTACATAGATATAAGATGTGGTATGGGTGTCAATGAGACAACTATCCATCCAAGTCACAATTTGTAAAAGTAAACCATTATAGGTCAAAGTACGGCCTTCAACACAGAGCCATGGCTCACACCTAACAGCAAGCTATAAAAGACCCCAAAAATGACTAGTGTAAAACCATTAAAACAGAAAAACCAACGGTTTAATCTATACAAAAAAAAAAACAAGAAACAAGAAACACTTATGAACCACATCAACAAACGACAACCACTGAACATCAGGTTCCTGACTTAGGACAGGTGCAAACAAATGCAGCAGGTTTAAACGCTTTAATATGCGCCAACCTTCACCCTACCTGAAACAATAGTGTAACATCACAACATAGAAAGACACACTTTGAAATATCAATTGAAATGGCTTAAGTCAATCAGAAGAAATATTAACAAAAACAAGTGAACATACACTGAACGAATAAATTTGATCTATGACACAAAGTAAATACAAAATTAATAAAACAAAGGGGTTAGATGCTCTCATTGAAATTTTCAATTACATTTTTTTATTTTCATTGCAACTAATATAGGAATTTTTCTTTTTCTTAATAAAAACTTGTGATATCCATCATACATGTATACAGCATTGAAGTAGAATTACTCAAACTTACAGATGCATGAATGCTATATGAATGCAAAGTACTGTAAGTGTTGACTAGCTAGTACACCAAAAAAGTATGTTTATTTACAAAATGGATATTTTATGATTTGGTTCTTATCTGTCCTTGGCTTTCAAAAATTTGGCTTTGAGCATTCCCGATGAAGGTAAATTAGAAAAGCACTTTGGACACGTGAGATCTATAACGTGTTGTTTTCTTTTTGTTATTTGTTTTACTTAACACTAAGATTATATTTAAATTATGCTGTCTATATTCTATCGTTTTCAATAGATACATTGTTTATGCAACGTCTAAAGAATCATAACAGGTTGACTCTTTTCTCCATGTTACAAAATATGTTAATGTTGTGGAGGCAAATAGAAGTTGTCCCCCTAATACTTTACCTCTTGTGGTTTTGTTTTCCATCTTCACATTCATCACCTTGTGATGTGGCATCACTAAAATAAATAACATGCTGGTTAACAATTGATAAATGACACGTAAATTTGATGCCACTTTGTGATGTGGCATCACTATAGTAAATAACAACTGATAAATGACTGGCAAATTGATGCCTCTTTGTGATGTGGCATCATTATAGTAAATACATGTAACAACTGATAAATGACAAGCAAAATTGATGTCACTGAAATAAATAAGTGATAAAAGACAGGTAAATTTGATGCCTCTTTGTGATGTGGCATCACTATTGTTAAAATCCACAAAAAAAGGGACAGTAAGAAAGTTTTATCTTTTATTACAAAAAATTTAGATGACAATGATTTATTGATGATTCATTGATTTTTGCTTAATGTCTAATGGCAAATATTTCATTCATGTTCAGGATGAGATCAAATTCAAAATAAATACAATAGGTACGGGTACATGTGTAGGTCCTGTAATAGAGGTCAACCAGAATGAATGGAAGAAAATTTGGACTGCAACTGGAAAATGAGGGTATATGGATAGGGACAGAAATTAAGCCTTGAAACAGGCCACCTGCAGACCCCTCAAAGAGTTGTTGCAAAGGTTCTTAAAGTAAAGAGAGTAATGCTCTTTCTATACGAGGCATCAGATCTAACATCCCAGTTCTGAAAAGTAGTGGTGGGTGCATACATTTGTATTTATACATCCCACACAACCAAACAGATGCCACACTTTTGCAAGGGTTTTACTGCTGGTTGGAAGAAAACCAAAAGTGGCCATATTTCTATTCCCCAGTCACCCTTAACTTGGGGTCTTATTACATTAGAACAGTAACAGCTACTTGACAACAGGGCTTCCAAAATTATTTTTAGCCAGCCGGACATTTTATATATTATCCCGATTTTAATCCCTTAAGACTAAATAAACAAAAGGTAATTATGGTATTCAGTTGCCGAGTTGGCCATCCCAAATTTTTTATGATTGACATTAAAAAAAAACGATATTAAACTTTCTTTGATTCAAATTCGAAGTTCTGACGTAAACTGTTAAATTGGCAGTGCATAATTCGAAGTGTGCAACATCAGCGTACTTATATCTGCCTTAGACTCTTTATTCGTGCAAAATAACGTTGTCAAAAACTTTACTTTCGTTTTTAAATCTAATCCGGATGTTATCTTGACAATGGTAAAACATGGACCAGAGACGGATACGTAAATTCCGTGTACGTTTGCAAAGCTTGAATGAGTGTACGTAGCTCTTTCTACGTTATTTCTTCAAGAAAATATTCGAAATAAACGTGAGATAAAGGTATCAATGACAATTTAAGCATTTTTTGAAGAAATTAGGATGCATAATTAAATTTCACACCTGCCCACATGCGCACACGTGTACTAGTTCAAACAACGTGGTTATGGCGATTTTTCATTTTCACCTTTTTATTTTTTTCATCAAATCATATTTGTAAACGTATTTCTGATAATTTAAATCTTATTGACTAAATTAATTAGATGCAAACCGCTGAAATGTAAGAAAATAACTTTGAATAGACCGATCAATGTCCGGTTCAAAATAGTTTACCTGTCACCTGAACAGGTAAATTTCAGCTGTTCGACAACTAATTAGCCTTGATTAAAATAAGAAGGTATTAAAGTAGGGGATGTTTTGATAGTACTTAATGATCATGTCACTTTTATGACCGGAAATGTGTGGCTGTTAAAGGCAAAAGGTTGGGTCAAAAAGATCGCGAATTATGTTAAAATGACCGTCTCTTAAGAAAGCCTTGAAAACTAAAAAGTAGATGACCGTTTCATGCTTTGCCCAGCCGGACTTTTACCGGACATTATACAAATGTCCGGAATATATGACCGTTTTGGAAGCCTTGCTTGACAATATCAATGTTTTTACTGTTATTAAAAAGAAAGCAAAACATTATAAGAAATGTTCAAAAATGTATAATTTAGAAACAATAAGGGGTTCACAATAGGTCACAGGGGCACACAATTTAAAGGCAGGGTGCAGCACTCCCTATTATCTCCTCCCTGAGTATCTTTTAGAATATGAAATCAGAAGATTTTTGTACCTTTTGATCAACATGACCAATACAACCAAATTGTGCAAGACATTTCAGCAACACTGCCATTTTGGCCGTGCAGTTTTTTCAGCCATACTGTTGAGCAAGTTTGTTATGGAACACCTATGGAATATTCATTATTGTCTTTACCAAGTGTAACATAAGAGAATCTTGTGTCCTCGTGTTTCAATGCAGATGCGCATTTAATGACAAAAGCACTTTTTGTTAAATTAAAATCCTTTTCAATATAAACTTTTGTCCAAACACGTAATGATATATATCTTTATGTTGAAAACGGCTGACTCGACTATGACTAAACTGGTTGTTTGGCCTAAACGTCTTGAAAGTTTACACTAGATTGTGAATGTTGTCTCAGAAGCTGTACAGTCTTTAGTAATCTCTTTAGGGAATGCTAGGAACATGTTTACTACAATGATGTTGGCCAGATTTTCTACTAGCCAATCTCAGGTACTGTATGTTTGATTTTTATCAAATAAAAAAAATTATAAAGCATCTAAAAAAAACAGGTGTCCATTTGTCCTGAATGTTTATGTTGAAAACATTATGAAATACTGTGGCCAACTAGACTATAGCTGATAGGACTATGGTCAAACTGGTAATGTGGTTGTTTGGCCTAAACGTCTCGAAAGCTTCCATAGATTGTGTGATTGTTGGCTCAGAAGCTGTACAGTCTTTAGTAATCTCTTTAGGGCATGCTAGGAACATGTTTACTACTGTGATATTGGCCAGATTTTCCGGTACCTTGCCAATCTCATGCAGCTACTTTACAATGTACATGTATATATGATTTTCTACTGGCCAATCTTGGGTACTATATATGTTTTTTATTAAAAGAAAAAAATTATAAAGCATCTAAAAAAAAGGTGTCTCTTTGTCCTGATACAGAAGTGAACTGGGTGAAGAAATGTTTTGGTGCCAAAGTGTCTTGTTACCTACATCACTTTTAATCTACATATTTACAATTACAGGTTTCACATTACTTATACTATAGAACAATCAGGATAATATTATAATAAAATAATGAATACTAGAATTGTTCAATGTTTTACGTGATGTAAAAGACAGATAAACCATAACAGTCTATCCTAAACATGGGTCAAAATATGTTGACAGGTGCAGATACCGTACATTTTTTTTAAGTGGTTTTAATTATACAAGTTACCTACCTATCAAGACGGGATCCTCTTGATGATGTTGTACATAAACGTTTTCCAAAACTCATGGTGGTGAATTATACACGAAAGTCTTCTTTATGAGTGATCTATATGATGTCGGGGTATACATAGTGGTCGTTTTCACATTCTTCTGGGATCACATATCGACATTCGGTAGTAAATATCCTGAACCTTTTGTAATATATCCGAGGCAGCAGCGTCTATTACTATACCGGGAACCAGTACATTAATTAAGCACAATCGTACTTACTCGGACATTCTCGTCAATGCTCAGCTAGAATAGCCGAGTAGTAACGACTGTAATCAATGAAAATTGTGCTAACCATTTACTTTACATATACATATACGATACATTGTACCATAGATGTATAAATTTTACAGTACATGTGTATAATCAGGGATTATGTATAATAACCGATAACTGTAGTGATTACATAGATCACTAAATTTTCAGTTAATTATGCATAACCACTAGAAAAAAGTCAGGGATTATACATAACTTGAATGAAAAAGTTGTTCTATAAAATCATATTTAAACGTCCTAACAGAGACATATATACAATAAACATATATATTAAAATTTTAAACACAATTCATTTATTTTTACAATTTACATTGTATATGTGGATGACATGTACCAGGAACATATACTGTTCCCAGCATGTACTAAGTACTGTACATTTATACCAATCAACCATTTTGATGCCGTCTGCTTTTCGATTTTTTGGAAACAAGATCCACTTAAAAACAAACATCTTTCCTTCACGTTTTTAGTCGTTGAAGAGAAATGACTTGTTCATTTATGATGATTAGAAACATTAGAAGGTGCCAAAAAAGTGAATTAAGAGCCTCCTCATGGGGTTTTTGATTATGTGATTACTTGGCCGTTTTTGTACTGATTATTTGATTACCAGACCAAATATTTCATGATTATTTGTTTATTTGATAATCTAGGACTGTATTTTTGATTATTTGATTACCTTGTTTAAAAAAATAATGAATGATTATGTGATTATGTTGCAAAAAATTTGTGATTATGTGATTACTTGGACACCCCCATGAGGGGGCCTCAATTAACAACCTTAAATTGATTTCTTGTGTAGGATCCTACCAAAATTTTATGTTTCGTAGCCAGGCAATATCGTTTTCAGTCCTTTCATGAACAATGGCCATTACATTTTTGAGGTCTCCCTTCCTGCGATCAACATGCGGAAAAACATTACAGCCAATGTTTGCCTCTTCCGAAATTGTGTTCAATCTGTCAAGCATGCGTTCTGCCGGCCAGTCTATTTTTCTAAACATTTAGTTACGTTATAGTTTCATTATAGATCATTATAACCTTCGTCGTCTTTTAGTGATTTGTTATTTCCATTAAATGGGATCACATTCTATTTGTGCATGTTCTAAGTCAGGAGCCTGTAATTGAGTGGTCGTCTTTTATTGGGTTTTCTCATACTTGACAAAATTCAAATCGGGACTTTCACATTGCAATTTAAACATTTAATGCAAACAAGTTGAGTATTGGCCGCATAATTATAGATCCTGCTGCACATGTGACACTAGATAAGTCTCATTCGTTGATGTCACTTTCGAGGAAAAGATTGCGGTAACGACAAATAAAACATATCTGTCGTCACCTGTGAAACGGATTCCATAACCGTCAACAAACTGACGATGACGTCCATAAAAGAAATGGACAGTATACTGACAGAACCACATCAATAATCATAAAAAATTAAGCCGTGACAATAAAAAAAGCCTGAATAGTCAAACTACCAATGGGATGCCACTATCTTGAACAAAAAAATAAAAAGAGGGCATGCATATAATTTGGAATGCGATGTCGAAATGTGCTGGCTACAATAACGTTTCTTATGTAGCCAAATGGAGCTGTTGTTTGAATACAAGAAAAAAAACCCCAAGAAATTTAAAAAAAAAAACACGCTCTTACAGCAGGTTTCATTAAGTCTTTTCGTAAAGTTTAATTGAAATGGCGAGTATTTGTGAGAGGCAATAAGAAAGTATGCAAACTATCTGTGTGATTGAATTGACATGTAACATTGAGGAGAACACTGACAATCGTTATTCGGACTTACATCAACAGTCAGACCGTTAACACAAAAGACGCCAACAACTGGACAAGATGATGTATTTTTTTATAGGAAAATAATCTTTAGGAGATACCGATTTATAACAACGAAGGATTCAAGGATATTAATAGTTCTATATTCATATACCGCAGAGGTTGGTAACTTGTTTTACAAATATATAATATTGTCCGTATATCAATCCGACTCTTGAATTTGATATTCCCGTTGTAATTTGATATTCCCGTTGTCAGTTTGGTTAAGGCAATATAAAGCATTATCGGTCGTCCCACTGTCTATATCACTCTGCTCGGCTCTTGATAAAATTGCATGCATACCACGGCTTTGTGACGTCAAATACGTTGACCCGGCCTTACTATGATAACTTTGACCCGGACATATCAGCGACGTCATAATGTACCAAGATAAAATGGGTTAAAATGTTTATTACCTCGAGATAGCTGTATTTTTCAATAATATATCGCGAATAAGGCTTACCAAACATTCTAAATTTCAAAAAAATATAGCTATCGTTGCTTGGTTGCTGTCTCATTGACATATGATTCATATTTCCCTTCATCCATACCGTAAACGAACTTGACCTTGATCTAAATTTACCGGTATTTAATTGTATTTGATATATATGTAATATATTTGATATGCATGGGACTAATGCATACATTTATATAATTTATATTGATCCCAGTATATTATATGTACATCTACACACAAAAATATTGTAATTTCACCGCCTGATAACATATCTGTGAGTATCTTTTTATTAGTAAGATCAAACGATTTTTCGTTTTCGTTTAAATCCCGAATTCTCTTGCAGACGATATATAACGCCATTCATTAAATATATGTAACGATTATAACAAGTGGAAAGTACAAACCAATATAATTTATAAATAACTTTCAACGGTATTTTTTAACGCTTCGTAAATGTAGAGGTTCCTTTTTTAAGTGAGTTGGCAATTGTTGCTGGATTGCTGTCCCAAAGATCGTACTGATTTTAAGAAAAGAATTATACATACTCTAAATACAAACAGATGTGAAACCCACGAGCTTGCAAGTAGAGTATATAACAATTTATGTGGTTTTCGACTTCGTATTTTATTTGGCCGTTCTAACTTTTTTATCCGAGCATCCCTGGTGAGTCTTTTGTAGCTCGTCTGGCGTAAAGAAATGTAAGCCGGGTATCTATGAAAAGTTTATTTTTCATGGATATAACTGTTATTGTACCGGTAACACGTTTAGTGAAAAAGCGTGTTATGCCGGATAAATAGCTTGGTAATTCTCACCAAAAAAAAGAAAGAAAGAAAACAATAACAATTGACGAATAAAGAATGACATATGTATGAATTAATATGAAATATGTCTGAATACATAATAACCTAATATGACTTGAATAGTATAATATGTGAACCAATAATAACATAACATACAAAAACAATTATCAATTATATTTTTATGATGTCTAGCTATTATTTAACACTATTCTGTTTTATATTACCTTTAGGTAAAGTTCGACAACGATAATTTTTTTTTTTAAATTACATTTTAATTGTTATTATATTGACGTAAATATAGTACTTCTATGATACTGTACTAAGAACGACAAAATCCTGCAGAGGAAGTATTCCTGGTAAGCAAATGAAATATAAGATTTTAAGGTAACAGGTACGTAAATGGGCAATCTCACGGATTTTTATGATATTTTGCAAGCGATTTGAGCATGTGGAACTGCATATGAATATCGAAAAAAATACAAGTAACTTTTATACTTTCGGATATATAGCAAATTGAATATTCTGTAGAAAGGAATACAAATGTATAGGATGCACGTAAATATTGAAAAAAATATTGAAAAAAATTACTTTAAATTGCCTTTTTCTCAAAAACGTGTCTTACGAATTTTATAGGGGGTCACCGAATTCGTTTTTGCTCACGGTATAAATCATTCAAGTCTCTTTGTAATATCTAATAGACATAGGAAGATGTGGTATGAGTGCCAATGAGACAACATTCCATCCAAGTTACAATTTATAAAAGTAAACCATTATAGGTCAAGGTACGGCCTTCAACACGGAGCATTGGCTCACACCGAACAGCAAGCTATAAAGGGCCCCAAAAAATTACTAGTGTAAAACCATTCAAACGGAAAAACCAACGGTCTAATCTATATAAAAAAACGAGAAACACGTATGAACTACATAAACAGACGACAACTAAAACGTCGAAAAATAACCGTGATTTCTAGCGCTCTATAATAGAGTATCACGTTGATAGTAAACATGCATATTTAGAGTAACAATATGGTATATTGGTATACATATGGTACAAATAAGTGATATGTATAGAAAAGTAGAGGATTTATGATAATAAGGGGGAGGGACTATGGGGGCTCATAACAGGATCCTGTCCTCAAACACCTATGATGTAAATTCTATATAACTTTTTATTTCTCGGTCAAATATTGGTGATATTGCGCTTTTAAACTTCATATACAATTTTCTAACAGTTAGAAAAATGGGAATTACATCATCAAAAGATTCACACGACAAAACTTTCGTAAGTAAATAACAAGATAGAGTTTTGCCTCACTTAAAAAGATCTGAAGTTGTCACAAATACTGTGTATCTCTTTGAAAAATATTTCTCTATCATCAGTGTATACTTGATAACTAATAATGAAATGTTCTTCATCGTCAATAAAATTGAGAGTACATTTTTTTGCAAAGCCTCTGATCTCTGTCTATATATATATGAAGTTTTGTATCTGTCTCTTTCTATTTTGAGATCATTGGCACTGATTTTCATTTTACAATGGCACTTTTCAACCGAAAATTGTTTAAACATAAATCTTTACAAAAACAAGTTTTATTTTGAAATAAGTACTAATTTACCACCATTTTAACTGTTCTTTTTGTGTTCCAAAATGTAATAACACTTTCACAAAGATTTGGCTTAACTAACTTGATAAAATAAGTTAAGTCGTTTACATATGAACTTTAAATATTCAGCTCTTTAAATTATAATATATGGACGAATTAAGGCGACTGTTACCTTAGTTTACTGATGCTCAAATCTCGTGCATTCTCGCATTCTATTGTATTAGTAAATATGATTTTGTTACAAATAACGTTATCAAACAGTAATTTAAGCCATGTTCTATATTCAATGTTTCAATCTATGCTGATTGAACAATAAATTCTCGAGGTTGGTACGTGAGAAATTGATTCCCATCTCAACATTTCTAAGCAAGTTGACACTAAACTCCTTTACACAGAATTTTCTAAATGACGAATAAAAATAAAGACAAACCAACTCTCAGCATAGAGAGTTTTGATAAAGAACAATCTCGTGAGTAACAATCTATTTTCTGTTATCAATTATCCAGCTTATGAAATATTAATAAAAGCAATTGGAAGATAATGCTTTATATTCCGTTTCTATGATCAACTCATCAAAAACAATCACGACTGATAGTGAGATAAGAAACAACAGACACATTGTGTGTTTATCAATTTATTCTCGTTTCTATTATATCCCTAATTTATTATTCAGTAGTGTAATAGATTTACAGAAATTGATTTCATTTTAAGGATTCCCGATCTAGTTTTTGGCAATTCATTTAACAACTAGTATCTCAATTGTTTGTAAAACAATTGAAAGGTCTTTCCTGCAAAAGTGATGTTTTTGTAATGTACTCTTTAAGACCTTTCATTTGATATATGACAAGCATACCTTCTGAAAATTTTCGCTTTTTACACTTAATGACCCCATCCACCTACATTTTTGTTATCGGAAGTATGATATATGTAATCTAGACTTGATTATCTTTCATTTGATATGCGACAACGCCATGTTCTAGAAAGTTTGATTTTTGCACTTAATAACCCCATCCAACTAATTTTTTGAGGACAGGAATCTGATATTTGAAATGTACACGCTACTACCTTTCATTTGAAATACAACAACCTTACCTTAAAAGAAAATTATATTTTTTGCACTCAATGACCCCACCCAACCCATTTTTTGGGGACGTCAATTTGATATTTGAAATGTACGCTTTATGGACTTTCATTTGATATGCGACAACCTAACCATCTGAGAAGTTTGAATTTTTTGCACTAAATGACCCCACCCTTCCCCCTGGGATGAAAAGGGGGTTTAACCTTTTCATTTTTTAGTGGAGCTCGTTAAGACCTTCAATTTGATATATCAAATGACCCCTTTTGGCAAAGTGCCAAAAATGATGCAATATCAATTATATAAATATAACTTATGAAACTTACAAAGTAAATGCAAAACATGAAAATTTCAAATTGATTTTTTGGGTGTTTTTTTCATTGAATGTTTTTGGTATTTAGTCAAACATACAACCATGTTAAATTCTTTAATTTCTGAAAAATTCAGGTGGTAAACTGTTGTTAATTCAGAAATACATGCCTCCGCTCGAAAAATTTCAAACTGCATTATCTCTTAAACGACAACAGATATCTCAGATCTATTAAATGATAAATAATCTGCAGTTGGAAGGCAATACTGTAAAACAAATTTGGGACAATTCCAAAGTTCATCAAGGTCACAATGAATTATCAAATATATGATGCAATATCAAACTTCAGAACCGGAAGTCGTAGAGACATAAGACTACCACTATTCAACTCAGGACCACTTGACCTTTCAAATGTCACAATGTCAAGGTCATAGCACACTCTGAAGGTCAAGGTTAAATTTCATCATGACCTGACACTGACCTCAAATTGAAGGTTTTAAAATACTGATCATTTTTGCAATTTATAGTAAGTTGATATCTGTTACCTTTAAAAAGATATACACACAATACTATACTTTTAAGAATTATCTCGTCGTAACTTGTGAACAGACGGTCGGACATTTTTGAGCTTAATGTATAAAATGTAGAGCTCGTCGAGAGGAACAATTGATACACAGTATGTATGCAGCAAACTCTTATCGTTTTCTTAATATGTAAGCTTGAAATTGCAGCGTATTTTTTTTTTTGCACTCGGTGACCTTTGACCTTGGGTGCAAGTTAAAGGTCACATGAATTAAAGATTATTGGTGAAGGTCCCAAGTCTCCACGACTTCCAGTTCTCGAAATACAATTTTTTAAAAATTGAGTAATTTTTTTCATGGGAAATAACTCCTTTTAAAGATTGATAACATACTAATTGTTTATGTTTATTAACATTGCCCTTTGTTCCTGTAGATGCTGCCATTTTCAATTCGATTCTATCTCTTATACTTTTTAAGAAAAATGCAAATAAAAGAAATTGCTTCAAGGGGATGCAACTCTCAAAGGAGTCGATTAAATCCTACGCAGCCTAATATGGTAATACATCATGATGAGATCTACCTATAGTACAAACAAGGTCATGATATCTTTAAAAACAACGAGGGGGGACCATGTTGAAAAAACCCAATAAAAGGGAGATAACTTCCAAAGGGGATGATGAAATCCTTAACAGAGTCATCTGGTAATACTTCACGATGAGGTCTATCGATGGTTCAAATTTGGTCTTGATAACTTTAATAGAAACGAGGGGAGGGCATGTCAAAAAAAATGTTGGAAGAAAAAAAAGAAAAAAAAAAAAAAGAAAAAGAAAAAGAACTAGTATCTCAATTGTTTGTAAAACAATTGAAAGGTCTTTCCTGTAAAAGTGATGTTTTCGTAATGTACTTTTTACGACCTTTCATTTGATATACGACAAGCATACCTTCTGAAACTTTAGCTTTTTACACTAAATGACCCCATCCGCCTAATTTTCGAGATCGGAAGTATGATATATGTAATGTAGACTTGATGATCTTTCATTTGATATGCGACAACGCCATCCTCTAGAAAGTTTGATATTTGCACTTAATAACCCCATCCAACTTGTTTTTGGAGAACAGGAATTTGATATTTGAAATGTACACGTTATGACCTTTCATTTGATATACAACAACCTTATCTTAAAAGAAAATTAATGTTTTGCACTCAATGACCCCACCCAATCCATTTTTTGGGGACGTCAATTTGATATTTGAAATGTACGCTTTATTGGCTTTCATTTGATATGCGACAACCTGACCATCTAAGAAGTTTGAATTTTTTGCACTAAATGACCCCACCCTTCCCTCTGGGATGAAAAAGGGGTTTGAAATTTTCATTTTTGAGTAGAGGTCATTTAGACGTTCAATTTGATATACATAATGACCGCATTTGGCAAAGAGCCAAAAATGATGCAATATCAATTATATAAATAGAACTTATGAAACTTACAAAGTCAATGTAAAAGATGAAAATTTCAAATTGATTTTTTTTTTTGAGTTTTTCTTTGAAAGTTTTTGGTAATTAGTCAAACATATAACCATGTTAAACTCTTCAATTTCTGAAAATTTCAGGTGGAAAGCTGTTGTTGATTCAGAAATACATGCCTCCGCTCGCAAAATTATAAACTTGATTATCTCTAAAACTACAATAGATATCTCAAATCTGTTAAATGATAAATGATCTGCAGTTAAAGGAAAACATTGTAGAAAAAATTTGGGACAATTCCAAAGTTCATCAAGGTCACAATGAATCATCAAATATATGATGCAATACCAAACTTGAGAACCGGAAGTCGTAGAGACATTGGACTACAACCATTCAACTCAAGACCACTTGACCTTTCAAATATCACAAGTCAAGGTCATAGTACACTTTGAATGTCAAGGTAAAATTTCATCATGACCTGACATTGACCTTAATTTGAAGGTCTTACAATACTGATCATTTTTGCAATTTATAGTAGGTTGATATCTGTTGCCTTTAAAAAGATATACACACAGTACTATACTTTTAAGAATTATCTCGTCGTAACTTTTGAACAGACGGTCGGACAGTTTTGAGCTTAATGAATAAAATGTAGAGCTCGTCGAGAGGAACATTATATACACAGTATGTATGCAGCAAACTCTTATCGTTTTCTTAATATGTAAGCTTGAAATTGCAGTGTAAATTTTTTTTGCACTCAGTGACCTTTGACCTTGGGTGGAAGTTAAAGGTCACATGAAATAAAGATTATTGGTGAAGGTCCCAAGTCTCTACGACTTCCGGTTCTCGAAATACAATTTTTATAAAATTGAGTAAAATTTTTAAAGGGAAATAACTCCGTATAAGGGTTGATAACATACTAATTGTTTATGTTTATTAACATTGCCATTTGTTCTTGTAGATGCTGCAATTTTCAATTCGATTCTATCTCTTATACTTTTTAAGAAAAATGCAAATAAAAGAAATTGCTTCAATGGGATGCAACTCTCAAAGGAGTTGATGAAATCCTACGCAGCCTCATATGGTAATACATCATGATGAGATCTACCTTTAGTACAAATAAAATCATGATATCTTTAAAAACAACGAGGGGGGACCATGTTGAAAAAAACCAATAAAAGGGAGATAACTTCCAAAGGAGATGATGAAATCCAAAACAGGGTCATCTGGTAATACTTCATGATGAGGTCTATCGGTGGTTCAAATTTGGTCTTGATAACTTTAATAGAAACGAGGGTAGAGCATGTCAAAAAAATGTTGGAAGAAAAAAAAGAAAAAAAAAAAAGAAAAAGAAAAAGAAAAAGAAACTAGTATCTCAATTGTTTGAAAAACAATTGAAAGGTCTTTCCTGCAAAAGTGATGTTTTTGTAATGTACTCTTTAAGACCTTTCATTTGATATACGACAAGCATACCTTCTAAAAATTTTCACTTTTTACACTTAATGACCCCATCCGCCTACATTTTTGATATCGGAAGTATGATATATGTAATCTAGACTTGATTATCTTTCATTTGATATGCAACAACGCCATGTTCTAGAAAGTTTGATTTCTGCACTTAATAACCCCATCCAACTTATTTTTTGAGGACAGGAATCTGATATTTGAAATGTACACGTTACGACCTTTCATTTGAAATACAACAACCTTACCTTAAAAGAAAATTATATTTTTTGCACTCAATGACCCCAACCAACCCATTTTTTGGGGACGTCAATTTGATATTTGAAATGTACGCTTTATGGACTTTCATTTGATATGCAACAACCTAACCATCTGAGAAGTTTTAATTTTTTGCACTAAATGACCCCACCCTTCCCCCTGGGATGAAAAGGGGGTTTTACATTTTCATTTTTGAGTAGAGCTCGTTAAGACCTTCAATTTGATATATCAAATGACCCCATTTGGCAAAGTGCCATAAATGATGCAATATCAATTATATAAATAGAACTTATGAAACTTACAAAGTCAATGCAAAACATGAAAATTTCAAATTGATTTTTTGGTTTTTTTTTTCATTGAATGTTTTTGGTATTTGGTCTAACATATAACCCTGTTAAACTCTTTAATTTCTGAAAATTTCAGGTGGTTACCTGTTGTTGATTCAGAAATACATGCCTCCGCTCGCAAAATTTCAAAGTGCATTATCTCTTAAACGACAACAGGTATCTCAAATTTGTTAAAAGAAAAATGATCTACAGTAAAAGGACAATATTTTAGAAAAAAAATTGGACAATTCCAAAGTTCATCAAGGTCACAATGAATTATCAAATATATGATGCAATATCAAACTTGAGAACCGTAAGTCGTAGAGACATAGGACTACCACCATTCAACTCAAGACCACTTGACCTTTCAAATGTCACAAGGTCAAGGTCATAGTACACTCTGAAGGTCAAGGTTAAATTTCATCATGACCTGACATTGACCTCAAATTGAAGGCCTTGAATTACTGATCATCTTTGCAGTTTATAGTAGGTTGATATCAGTTACCTTTTAAAAGATATACATATGTTACTATAGTTTTAAGAATTATGTTAATGTAACTTTTGAACAGACAGTCGGACATTTTTGAGCTTAATGTATAAAATGTAGAGCTCGTCGAGAGGAACATTTTATACACAGTATGTATGCAGCAAACTCTTATGGTTTTCTTAATATGCAAGCTTGAAATTGCAGCGTAAATTTTTTTTGCACTCTGTGACCTTTGACCTTGGGTGCAAATTGAAGGTCACATGAACTTAAGATTATTGGTGTAGGTCCCAAGTCTCTACGACTTACGGTTCTCGAAATACAATTTTTCAAAAATTGTGTATATTTTTTTAAGAGAAATAACTCCTTATAAGGGTCAATAACAAAATTATTTTATATGTTCATTAACATTGCCATTAGTGCCTGTATATGTTGCCGTTTTCAAATCGATTCTATCTCTAATACTTTTTGAGAAAAATGCAAAGGAAAGAAATCGCTTCAAGGGGATATAACTCGCATAGGGGATGATGAAATCCTATGCAGCCTCATATGGTAGTACATCATGATGAGATCAACCTATTGTCAAAGTAAGGTCATGATATCTTTAAAAACAACGAAGGGGGGCCATGTTGAAAAAATCCAATAAAAGGGGGATAACTTCTACAGGGGATGATGAAATCCTTAACAGGGTCATGTGGTAATACTTCATGATGATGTCTATCGATGGTCCATATTTGGTCTTGATAACTTTAACAGAAACGGGGGGAGGGCATTCCCAAAAAAATGTTGGAAGAAAAAAAAGAAAAAAAAAAAAAACTAGTATCTCAATTGTTTGTAAAACAATTGAAAGGTCTTTCCTGTAAAAGTGATGTTTTTGTAATGTACTCTTTAAGACCTTTCATTTGATATACGACAAGCATACCTTCTGAAAATTTTCACTTTTTACACTTAATGACCCCATCCGCCTACATTTTTGATATCGGAAGTATGATGTATGTAATCTAGACTTGATTATCTTTCATTTGATATGCGACAACGTCATGTTCTAGAAAGTTTTATTTTTGCACTTAATAACCCATCCAACTAATTTTTTGAGGACAAGAATCTGATATTTGAAATGTACACGTTACGACCTTTCATTTGAAATACAACAACCTTACCTTAAAAGAAAATTTTATTTTTTACACTCAATGACCCCACCCAACCCATTTTTGGGGACGTCAATTTGATATTTGAAATGTACTCTTTATGGACTTTCATTTGATATGCGACAACCTAACCATCTGAGAAGTTTGAATTTTTTGCACTTAATGACCCCACCCTTCCCCCTGGGATGAAAAGGGGGTTTAACATTTTCATTTTTGAGTAGAGCTCGTTAAGACCTTCAATTTGATTTATTAAATGACCCCATTTGGCAAAGTGCCAAAAATGATGCAATATCAATTATATAAATAGAACTTATGAAACTTACAAAGTAAATGCAAAACATGAAAATTTCAAATTGAATTTTTGGTTTTTTTTTCATTGAATGTTTTTGGTATTTAGTCAAACATATAACCATGTTGAATTCTTTAATTTCTGAAAATTTCAGGTGGTAAACTGTTGTTGATTCAGAATTACATGCCTCCGCTCGAAAAATTTTAAACAGCATTATCTCTTAAACGACAACAGATATCTCAAATCTGTTAAATGATAAATGATCTGCCGTTGGAAGGCAACATTGTATAAAAAAATTTGGGACAATTCCATAGTTCAACAAGGTCACAATGAATTATCAAATATATGATGCAATATCAAACTTCAGAACCGGAAGTCGTAGAGACATAAGACTACCACTATTCAAATCAGGACCACTTGACCTTTCAAATGTCACAATGTCAAGGTCATAGCACACTCTGAAGGTCAAGGTTAAATTTCATCATGACCTGACATTGACCTCAAATTGAAGGCCTTGAATTACTGATCATCTTTGCAGTTTATAGTAGGTTGATATCTGTTACCTTTTAAAAGATATACATATGTTACTATAGTTTTAAGAATTATGTTAATGTAACTTTTGAACAGACGGTCGGACATTTTTGAGCTTACTGTATAAAATGTAGAGCTCGTCGAGAGGAACATTTTATACACAGTATGTATGCAGCAAACTCTTATCGTTTTCTTAATATGCAAGCTTGAAATTGCAACGTACATTTTTTTTGCACTCTGTGACCTTTGACCTTGGGTGCAAATTGAAGGTAACATGAACTTAAGATTATTGGTGTAGGTCCCAAGTCTCTACGACTTACGGTTCTCGAAATACAATTTTTCAAAAATTGGGTATATTTTTTTAAGAGAAATAACTCCTTATAAGGGTCAATAACAAAATTATTTTATGTGTTCATTAACATTGCCATCAGATTCTGTATATGTTGCCGTTTTCAAATCGATTCTATCCCTAATACTTTTTGAGAAAAATGCAAAAGAAAGAAATCGCTTCAAGGGGATTTAACTCGCATAGGGGATGATGAAATCCTATGCAGCCTCATATGGTAGTACATCATAATGAGATCAACCTATTGTCAAAATAAGGTCATGATATCTTCAAAAACAACGAAGGGGGGCCATGTTGAAAAAATCCAATAAAAGGGGGATAACTTCTACAGGGGATGATGAAATCCTTAACAGGGTCATGTGGTAATACTTCATGATGATGTCTATCGATGGTCCATATTTGGTCTTGATAACTTTAACAGAAACGGGGGGAGGGCATTCCCAAAAAAATGTTGGAAGAAAAAAAAGAAAAAAAAAAAAAAAAAAAAAAAGAAAAAGAAAAAAAAAAAAAAAAAGAAAAAAAAAAAACATTAGAAAAACAATAAGGTCTTTCCTAACGGAGTGGAAAGACCTTAAAAAACTAGTATCTCAATTGTTTGTAAAACAATTGAAAGGTCTTTCCTGTTAAAGTGATGTTTTCGTAATGTACTTTGTACGACCTTTCATTTGATATACGACAAGCATACCTTCTGAAACTTTTCGCTTTTTACACTTAATGACCCCATCCGCCTTAATTTTCGAGATCGGAAGTATGATATATGTAATCTAGACTTGATGATCTTTCATTTGATATGAGACAACGCCATGTTCTAGAAAGTTTGATTTTTGCACTAAATAACCCCATCCAACTCATTTTTTGAGGACAGGAATCTGATATTTGAAATGTACATGTTACGACCTTTCATTTGAAATACAACAAACTTGCCTTAAAAGAAAATTTTATTTTTTGCACTCAATGACCCCACCCAACCCATTTTTTGGGGACGTCAATTTGATATTTGAAATGTACGCTTTATGGACTTTCATTTAATATGCGACAACCTAACCATCTGAGAAGTTTGAATTTTTTGCACTAAATGACCCCACCCTTCCCCCTAGGATGAAAAAGGGGTTTAACATTTTCATTTTTGAGTAGAGCTCGTTAAGACCTTCAATTTGATATATCAAATGACCCCATTTGGCAAAGTGCCAAAAATGATGCAATATCAATTATATAAATAGAACTTATGAAATTTACAAAGTAAATGCAAAACATGAAAACTTCAAATTGATTTTTTGGTTTTTTTTTTTTTCATTGAATGTTTTTGGTATTTTGTCAAACATATAACCATGTTAAACTCTTCAATTTCTGAAAATATCAGGTGGTTACCTGTTGTTGATTCAGAAATACATGCCGCCGCTCGCAAAATTTCAAAGTGCATTATCTCTAAAACGACAACAGTTATCTCAAATATGTTAAAAGTAAAATGATCTACAGTAAAAGGACAACATTACAGAAAAAAATTTGGGACAATTCCGAAGTTCATCAAGGTCATAATGAATCATCAAATATATGATGCAATACCAAACTTGAGAACCGGAAGTCGTAGAGACATGGGACTACCATCATTCAACTCAGGACCACTTGACCTTTCAAATATCACAAGATCAAGGTCATATTACACTTTGAAGGTCAAGGTAAAATTTCATCATGACCTGACATTGACCTCAAATTGAAGGTCTGAAAATACTGATCATTTTTCCAATTTATAGTAGGTAGATATCTGTTACCTTTTAAAAGATATAAACACAATATTATACTTTTAAGAATTATCTCGTTGCAACTTTTGAACAGACGGTCGGACAGTTTTGAGCTTAATGTATAAAATGTAGAGCTCGTCGAGAGGAACATTTTATACGCAGTATGTATGCAGCAAACTCTTATCGTTTTCTTAATATGTAAGCTTGAAATTGCAGCGTAAATTTTTTTTGCACTCAGTGACCTTTGACCTTGGGTGCAAATTAAAGGTCACACAAATTAAAGATTATTGGTGAAGGTCCCAAGTCTCTACGACTTCCGGTTCTCGAAATAGAATTTTTCAAAAATTGTGTATAATTTTGAAAGGGAAATAACTCCTTATAAGGGTTAATAACAAACTAATTGTTCATGTTTATTAACATTGCCATTTGTTCTTGTTGATGCTGCCACTTTCAATTTGATTCTATGTCTAATACTTTTTAAGAAAAATGCAAATAAAAGAAATTGCTTCAAGGGGATATAACTCTCAAATGGGATGATGAAATATTTCGCCGCCTCATATGGTAATATATCATGATGAGATCTACCTATTGTACAAATAAGGACATGATATCTTTAAAAACAACGAGGGGGGGCCATGTTGAAAAAAACCAATAAAAGGGAGATAACTTCTAAAGGGGATGATGAAATCCTTAACAGGGTCATCTGGTAAAACTTCATGATGAGGTCTACCGATGGTCCATATTTGGTCTTGATAACTCCAATAGAAACAAGGGGAGGGCATGTCAAAAAAATGTTGGAAGAAAAAAAAGAAAAAGACTAGTATCTCAATTGTTTGTAAAACAATTGAAAGGTCTTTCCTGTTAAAGTGATGTTTTCGTAATGTATTTTGTACGACCTTTCATTTGATATACGACAAGCATACCTTCTGAAACTTTTCGCTTTTTACACTAAATGACCCCATCCGCCTTAATTTTCGAGATCGGAAGTATGATATATGTAATGTAGACTTGATGATCTTTCATTTGATATGCGACAACGCCATGTTCTAGAAAGTTTGATTTTTGCACTTAATAACCCCATCAAACTCATTTTTTGAGGACAGGAATCTGATATTTGAAATGTACACGTTACGACCTTTCATTTGAAATACAACAACCTTACCTTAAAAGAAAATTTTATTTTTTGCACTCAATGACCCCACTCAACCCATTTTTTGGGGACGTCAATTTGATATTTGAAATGTACGCTTTATGGACTTTCATTTGATATGCGACAACCTGACCATCTGAGAAGTTTGAATTTTTTGCACTAAATGACCCCACCCTTCCCCCTGGGATAAAAAGGGGTTTAACATTTTCATTTTTGAGTAGAGCTCGTTAAGACCTTCAATTTGATATATCAAATGACCCCATTTGGCAAAGTGCCAAAAATGATGCAATATCAATTGTATAAATAGAAATTATGAAACTTACAAAGTAAATGCAAAACATAAAATTTCAAATTGATTTTATGGGTTTTTTTTTCATTGAATGTTTTTGGTATTTAATCAAACATATAACCATGATGAACTCTTTAATTTCTGAAAATTTCAGGTGGTAAACTGTTGTTAAATCAGAAATACATGCCTCCGCTCGCAAAATTTCAAACTGCATTATCTCTTAAATGACAACAGATATCTCAAATCTGTTAAAAGAAAAATGCTCTGCAGTAAAAGGACAACATTTTTAAAAAAAATCTGGACAATTCCAAAGTTCATCAAGGTCACAATGAATTATCAAATATATGATGCAATATCAAACTTGAGAACCGGAAGTCGTAGAGACATGGGATTACCACCATTCAACTCAGGACCACTTGACCTTTCAAATGTCACAAGGTCAAGGTCATGGTACACTCTGAAGGTCAAGATTAAATTTCATCATGACCTGAAATTGACCTCAAATTGAAGGTCTTGAATTACTGATCATCTTTCCAGTTTATAGAAGGTTGATATCTGTTACCTTTAAAAAGATATACATATGTTACTATAGTTTTAAGAATTATGTTAATGTAACTTTTGAACAGACGGTCGGACATTTTTGAGCTTAATGTATAAAATGTAGAGCTCGTCGAGAGGAACATTTTATACACGGTATGTATGCAGCAAACTCTTATCGTTTTCTTAATATGCAAGCTTGAAATTGCAGCGTAATTTTTTTTTGCACTCGGTGACCTTTGACCTTGGATGCAAATTGAAGGTCACATGAACTTAAGATTATTGGTGTAGGTCCCAAGTCTCTACGACTTCCGGTTCTCGAAATACAATTTTTCAAAAATTGTGTATATTTTTTCAAGAGAAATAACTCCTTATAAGGGTCAATAACAAAATTATTTTATATGTTCATTAACATTGCCATCTGTTCGTGTACATGTTGCTGTTTTCAAATCGATTCTATCCCTAATACTTTTTGAGAAAAATGCAAAGGAAAGAAATTGCTTCAAGGGGATATAACTCGCATAGGGGATAATGAAATCCTATGCAGCCTCATATGGTAGTACATCATGATGAGATCTACCTATTGTCCAAATAAGGTCATGATATCTTTAAAAACAACGAGAGGGGGCCATGTCGAAAAAATCCAATAAAAGGGAGATAACTTCTACAGGGGATGATGAAATCCTAACAGGGTCATGTGGTAATACTTCAAGATGAGGTCTATCGATGGTCCATATTTGGTCTTGATAACTTCAACAGAAACGGGGGGAGGGCATTCCCAAAAAAATGTTGGAAGAAAAAAAAGAAAAAAAAAAAAAGAAAAAGAAAAAAAAAAAAAAAAAGAAAAAAAAAAAACATTAGAAAAACAATAAGGTCTTTCCTAACGGAGTGGAAAGACCTTAAAAAAAACACTAGTATCTCAATTGTTTGTAAAACAATTGAAAGGTCTTTCCTGCAAAAGTGATGTTTTTGTAATGTACTCTTTAAGACCTTTCATTTGATATACGACAAGCATACCTTCTAAAAATTTTCACTTTTTACACTTAATGACCCCATCCGCCTACATTTTTGATATCGGAAGTATGATATATGTAATCTAGACTTGATTATCTTTCATTTGATATGCAACAACGCCATGTTCTAGAAAGTTTGATTTCTGCACTTAATAACCCCATCCAACTTATTTTTGGAGGACAGGAATCTGATATTTGAAATGTACACGTTACGAGCTTTCATTTGAAATACAACAACCTTACCTTAAAAGAAAATTATATTTTTTGCACTCAATGACCCCACCCAACCAATTTTTTGGGGACGTCAATTTGATATTTGAAATGTACGCTTTATGGACTTTCATTTGATATGCGACAACCTAACCATCTGAGAAGTTTTAATTTTTTGCACTAAATGACCCCACCCTTCCCCCTGGGATGAAAAGGGGGTTTTACATTTTCATTTTTGAGTAGAGCTCGTTAAGACCGTCAATTTGATATATCAAATGACCCCATTTGGCAAAGTGCCAAAAATGATGCAATATCAATTATATAAATAGAACCTATGAAACTTACAAAGTCAATGCAAAACATGAAAATTTCAAATTGATTTTTTGGTTTTTTTTTTCATTGAATGTTTTTGGTATTATGTCAAACACATAACCATGTTAAACTCTTCAATTTCTTATAATTTCAGGTGGTTACCTGTTGTTGATTCAGAAATACATGCCTCCGCTCGCAAAATTTCAAAGTGCATTATCTCTTAAATGACAACAGGTATCTCAAATTTGTTAAAAGAAAAATGATCTACAGTAAAAGGACAACATTTTAGAAAAAAATTGGACAATTCCAAAGTTCATCAAGGTCACAATGAATTATCAAATATATATATGATGCAATATCAAACTTGAGAACCGGAAGTCGTAGAGACATGGGACTACCACCATTCAACTCAAGACCACTTGACCTTTCAAATGTCACAAGGTCAAGGTCATAGTACACTCTGAAGGTCAAGGTTAAATTTCATCATGACCGGACATTGACCTCAAATTGAAGGCCTTGAATTACTGATCATCTTTGCAGTATATAGTAGGTTGATATCTGTTACCTTTCAAAAGATATACATATGTTACTATAGTTTTAAGAATTATGTTAATGTAACTTTTGAACAGACGGTCGGACATTTTTGAGCTTAATGTATAAAATGTACAGCTCGTCGAGAGAAACATTTTATGCACAGTGTGTATACAGCAAACTCTTATCGTTTTCTTAATATGCAAGCTTGAAATTGCAGCGTAAATTTTTTTTGCACTCTGTGACCTTTGACCTTGGGTGCAAATTGAAGGTCACATGAACTTAAGATTATTGGTGTAGGTCCCAAGTCTCTACGACTTACGGTTCTCGAAATACAATTTTTCAAAAATTGTGTATATTTTTTTAAGAGAATTAACTCCTTATAAGGGTCAATAACAAAATTATTTTATATGTTCATTAACATTGCCATCTGTTCCTGTATATGTTGCCGTTTTCAAATCGATTCTATCCCTAATACTTTTTGAGAAAAATGCAAAGGAAAGAAATCGCTTTAAGGGGATATAACTCGCATAGGGGATGATGAAATCCTATGCAGCCTCATATGGTAGTACATCATGATGAGATCAACCTATTGTCAAAATAAGGTCATGATATCTTTAAAAACAACGAAGGGGGGCCATGTTGAAAAAATCCAATAAAAGGGGGATAACTTCTACAGGGGATGATGAAATCCTTAACAGGGTCATGTGGTAATACTTCATGATGATGTCTATCGATGGTCCATATTTGGTCTTGATAACTTAACTAGTATCTCAATTGTTTGTAAAACAATTGAAAGGTCTTTCCCGTAAAAGTGATGTTTTCGTAATGTACTTTTTACGACCTTTCATTTGATATACGACAAGCATACCTTCTGAAACTTTTCGCTTTTTACACTTAATGACCCCATCCACCTAATTTTCTAGATCGGAAGTATGATATATGTAAAGTAGACTTGATGATATTTCATTTGATATGCGACAACGCCATCTTCTAGAAAGTTTGATTTTTGCACTTAATAACCCCATCCAACTAGTTTTTGGAGAACAGGAATTTGATATATGAAATGTACACGTTATGACCTTTCATTTGATATACAACAACCTTATCTTAAAAGAAAATTTATGTTTTTTGAACTCAATGACCCCACCCAACCCATTTTTTGGGGACGTCAACTTGTTATTTGAAATGTACGCTTTATGGACTTTCATTTGATATGCGACAACCTAACCATCTGAGAAGTTTGAATTGTTTGCACTAAATGACCCCATCCTTCCCCCTGGGATGTAAAAGGGGTTTAACATTTTCATTTTTGAGTAGAGCTCGTTAAGACCTTCAATTTGATATATCAAATGACCCCATTTGGCAAAGTGCCAAAAATGGTGCAATATCAATTGTATAAATAGAAATTATGAAACTTACAAAGTAAATGCAAAACATGAAAATTTCAAATTGATTTTTTGGGTTTTTTTTTTCATTGAAAGTTTTTGGTATTTGATCAAACATATAACCATGTTGAACTCTTTAATTTCTGAAAATTTCAGGTGGTAAACTGTTGTTCATTTAGAAATACATGCCTCCGCTCGCAAAATTTCAAACTGCATTATCTCTTAAACGACAACAGATATCTCAAATCTGTTAAAAGAAAAATGATCTGCAGTAAAAGGACAACATTTGAGACATTTTTTTTTGACAATTCCGAAGTTCATCAAGGTCACAATGAATTATCAAATATATGATGCAATATCAAACTTGAGAACCGGAAGTCGTAGAGACATAGGACTACCACCATTCAACTCAGGACCACTTGACCTTTCAATTGTCACAAGGTCAAGGTCATAGTACACTCTGAAGGTCAAGGTTAAATTTCATCATGGCCTGACATTGACCTCAAATTGAAGGTCTTGAATTACTGATCATCTTTCCAGTTTATAGAAGGTTGATATCTGTTACCTTTAAAAAGATATACATATGTTACTATAGTTTTAAGAATTATGTTAGTGTAACTTTTGAACAGAAGGTCGGACATTTTTGAGCTGAATGTATAAAATGTAGAGCTCGTCGAGAGGAACATTTTATACACAGTATGTATGCAGCAAACTCTTATCGTTTTCTTAATATGCAAGCTTGAAAATGCAGCGTAATTTTTTTTTGCACTCGGTGACCTTTGACCTTGTGTGCAAATTGAAGGTCACATAAACTTAAGATTATTGGTGTAGGTCTCAAGTCTCTACTACTTCCGGTTCTCGAAATACAATTTTTCAAAAATTGTGTATATTTTTTCAAGAGAAATAACTCCTTATAAGGGTCAATAACAAAATTATTTTATATGTTCATTAACATTGCCATCTGTTCCTGTACATGTTGCTGTTTTCAAATCGATTCTATCCCTAATACTTTTTGAGAAAAATGCAAAAGAAAGAAATTGTTTCAAGGGGATATAACTCGCATAGGGGATGATGAAATCCTATGCAGCCTCATATGGTAGTACATCATGATGAGATCTACCTTTTGTCCAAATAAGGTCATGATATCTTTAAAAACAACGAGGGGGGACCATGTCGAAAAAATCCAATAAAAGGGAGATAACTTCTACAGGGGATGATGAAATCCTTAACAGGGTCATGTGGTAATACTTCAAGATGAGGTCTATCGATGGTCCATATTTGGTCTTGATAACTTCAACAGAAACGGGGGGAGGGCATTCCCAAAAAAATGTTGGAAGAAAAAAAAGAAAAAAAAAAAAAAAAAGAAAAAGAAAAAGAAAAAAAAAAAAAAAAGAAAAAAAAAAAACATTAGAAAAACAATAAGGTCTTTCCTAACGGAGTGGAAAGACCTTAAAAAAAGAAAAAGAAAAAAAAAAAGAAAAAGAAAAAAAAAAAACATTAGAAAAACAATAAGGTCTTTCCTAACGGAGTGGAAAGACCTTAAAAAGAAACTAGTATCTCAATTGTTTGTAAAACAATTGAAAGGTCTTTCCTGTTAAAGTGATGTTTTCGTAATGTACTTTGTACGACCTTTCATTTGATATACGACAAGCATACCTTCTGAAACTTTTCGCTTTTTACACTTAATGACCCCATCCGCCTTAATTTTCGAGATCGGAAGTATGATATATGTAATGTAGACTTGATGATCTTTCATTTGATATGCGACAACGCCATGTTCTAGAAAGTTTGATTTTTCCACTTTATAACCCCATCCAACTCATTTCTAGAGGACAGGAATCTGATATTTGAAATGTACATGTTACGACCTTTCATTTGAAATACAACAACCTTACCTTAAAAGAAAATTTTATTTTTTGCACTCAATGACCCCACCCAACCCATTTTTGGGGGACGTCAATTTGATATTTGAATCGTACGCTTTATGGACTTTCATTTGATATGCGACAACCTAACCATCTGATAAGTTTGAATTGTTTGCACTAAATGACCCCACCCATCACCCTGGGATGTAAAAGGGGTTTAACATTTTCATTTTTGAGTAGAGCTCGTTAAAACCTTCAATTTGATATATCAAATGACCCCATTTGGCAAAGTGCCAAAAATGATGCAATATCAATTGTATAAATAGAAATTATGAAACTTACAAAGTAAATGCAAAACATGAAAATTTCAAATTGAGTTTTTGGGGTTTTTTTTCATTGAATGTTTTTGGTATTTAGTCTAACATATAACCATGTTGAATTCTTTAATTTCTGAAAATTTCAGGTGGTAAACTGTTGTTGATTCAGAAATGCATGCCTCCGCTTGCAAAATTTTAAACTGCATTATCTCTTAAACGACAACAGATATCTCAAATCTGTTAAAAGAAAAATGATCTGCAGTAAAAGGACAACATTTAAAAAAAAAACATTTGGACAATTCCAAGGTTCATCAAGGTCACAATGAATTATCAAATATATGATGCAATATCAAACTTGAGAACCGGAAGTCGTAGAGACATAGGACTACCCCCATTCAACTCAAGACCACTTGACCTTTCAAATGTTACAAGGTCAAGGTCATAGTACACTCTGAAGGTCAAGGTTAAATTTCATCATGACCTGACATTGACCTCAAATTGAAGGTCTTGAATTACTGATCATCTTTCCAGTTTATAGAAGGTTGATATCTGTTACCTTTAAAAAGATATACATATGTTACTATAGTTTTAAGAATTATCTTGATGTAACTTTTGAACAGACGGTCGGACATTTTTAAGCTTAATGTATAAAATGTAGAGATCGTCGAGAGGAACATATTATACACAGTATGTATGCAGCAAACTCTTATCGTTTTCTTAATATGCAAGCTTGAAATTGCAGCGTAATTTTTTTTTGCACTCGGTGACCTTTGACCTTAGGTGCAAATTGAAGGTCACATGAACTTAAGATTATTGGTGTAGGTCCCAAGTCTCTACGACTTCCGGTTCTCGAAATACAATTTTTCAAAAATTGTGTATATTTTTTCAAGAGAAATAACTCCTTATAAGGGTCAATAACAAAATTATTTTATATGTTCATCAACATTACCATCTGTTCCTGTACATGTTGCTGTTTTCAAATCGATTCTATCCCTAATACTTTTTGAGAAAAATGCAAAGGAAAGAAATTGCTTTAAGGGAATATAACTCGCATAGGGGATGACGAAATCAAATGCAGCCTCATATGGTAGTACATCATGATGAGATATACCTATTGTCCACATTAGGTCATGATATCTTTAAAAACAACGAGGGGAGGCAATGTCGAAAAAATCCAATAAAAGGGAGATAACTTCTACAGGGGATGATGAAATCCTTAACAGGGTCATGTGGTAATACTTCATGATGAGGTCTATCGATGGTTCATATTTGGTCTTGATAACTTTAACAGAAACGGGGGGAGGGCATTCCCATAAAAATGTTGGAAGAAAAAAAAGAAAAAAAAAAAAAAAAAAAAAAAAAGAAAAAGAAAAAAAAAAAACATTAGAAAAACAATAAGGTCTTTCCTAACGGAGTGGAAAGACCTTAAAAAAAACATTAGAAAAACAATAAGGTCTTTCCTAACGGAGTGGAAAGACCTTAAAAATGTTAAATTAAAAAAAAAGCTTATATAAGAATATAGCAGTGATAAACGATGGTAATGTTGTGAAGCAGAGTCTACAAGATATTTCTTGCAATATCACTTATAAATGATGTATTCGATACAAAGAAAAGGCTTAATAAAAGCAGTTTTAATTGTACTGCTTGAAGTACATCATGTCTGTATGATTTATTTGATACCAAGAAAAGGCTAAATGACAGTAGTTGTAATGTACTGCTTGAAGTACATCATATAGATATAAGAAGATGTGGTATGAGTGCCAATGAGACAACTCTCCATCCAAGTCAAAATTGAAAAAAGTAAACCATTATAGGTCAAAGTACGGTCTTCAACACGGAGCCCTGGCTCACACCGAACAGTAAGCTATTACTAGTGTAAAACCATTCAAACGGGAAAACCAACGGTCTAATCTATATAAAAAACGAGAAACGAGAAACACTTATGAACCACATCAACAAACCCTGCCTGTATGATTTACTTGATACCAAGAAAAGGCTAAATGACAGAAGTTGTAATGTACTGCTTGAAGTACATCATGCCTGTATGATTTATTTGATACAAAGAAAAGGCTAAATGACAGAAGTTGTAATGTACTGCTTGAAGTACATCATGCCTGTATGATTTATTTGATACAAAGAAAAGGCTAAATGACAGTAGTTGTAATGTTCTGCTTAAAGTACATCATGCCTGTATGATTTATTTGATACAAAGAAAAGGCTAAATGACAGTAGTTGTAATGTACTGCTTGAAGTACATCATGCCTGTATGATTTATTTAATACCAAGAAAAGGCTAAATGACAGCAGTTTGTATTGTACTGCTTGAAGTACATCATGCCTGTATGATTTATTTGATACCAATGAACGGCTAAATGACAGCAGCTTGTATTGTACTGCTTGAAGTATTTCATGCATGATTTATTTATTACCAATGAGAGGCTAAATGACAGCTGTTTGTATATTGTACTGCTTGGAGTATTTCATGCATGTATGATTTATTAAATACCAAGGAAAAGCTAAATGACAACAGTTTTATTGTACTGCTTGAAGTACATCATGCCTGTATGAATTATATGATACCAAGAAAGCTAAATGGCATCAGTTTTTATTGTACTGCTTGAAGTATCATGCCTGTATGATTTATTTGATACTAATGACAGCAGTTTGTATTGTACTGCTTGAAGTACATCATGCCTGTATGATTCATTTGATACCAAGGAAAAGCTCATTTAGCTTAATGACAGCAATTTTTATTGTACTGTTTAAAGTACATCATACCTGTATGATTCATTTGATACCAAGGAAAAACATAATGACAGCAATTTTTATTGTACTGTTTGAAGTACGAAATGCCTAGTAGATATTGTAAAATTTGAAAACATTTGGTTTACATGAAGAATATCTTAATTTGTATGCTCTGGAAGAGGTATGTGAGTTTACACCAAATTTATGTCTTTATACTATAAGATCATCTGAACTTTCATAACCTTTATTAGATTCTTCCATAGATACTAACATTTGGTTTTGATAGCACGTCCTTATTTTTACGGAGATGTTGTATACAGAGCCCGGAAATTGAGATATGAACAGGGTAAACTTATCGATCCTTTAAATAAACTTATTCTAAAAGGTTACCAATTCAACAATGTAATTAGATCTTTGAATATTGTTTTTATTAATATAAATATTGATTTTGTTATCAGTAAATTAAAATCAAACTAATAAATAAGATTTTTATATACATATGCACATTCATGGCTCTACAATCTGTCGATACCTGTATCTTTGCATAGCACAAGGTCATATTTTTCTCCGACTGTTAATGACGTCCTTAACTAAATCTGTTGGATTTTGGATGTGTACTGATTGATATTTTAGTCTTAGATATGCATGCATTTTTTTTATTAGTTGTTATTGGCTTTGAACTAGCTGTGAGTAACTGTGAGTACTCTCAGATCTGTACTTAGTGTCTTTTTTGTTGTTGGGATGTATAAATACCCTGCCATGTCTGGTCTGTGTTTTTGTTAGATCTTTTTTCGGCTTTGTATCAACCTGATGAGTTAAGCCCTTTTCAACTGATTTTTATAGTTTGTTCTTATGTTGTACTGTAATACCACTGTCCCAGGTTAGGGGGAGGGTTTCGTGCCAGCAAACTAGTTTTACCCTGCCACATTCTGTATGTGCCTGTCCCAAGTCACAAGCCTGTAATTAAGTGGTTGTTGTTTGTTGCTGTATATCATATTTGTTTTTCGTTCATTGTTTTGTACATATAAGGCCGTTAGTTTTCTCATTTGAATTGTTTTACATTTGTCATTTCAGGGCCTTTTATAGCTGACTATGCAGTATGTGTTTTACTCATTGTTGAAGGCTGTACGTTGACCTATAATTGTTAACTTTTATGTCATTTGGTCTCTTGTGCAGTCTCGAGTCACACTACATCTTCTTATTTTTTTAAGTACACAATAGTATATAAGCAAAGGGAGGTTATCAGCTTATTACCTACTTTAAAAGGTCTGCTGACTTAAATTGAAGTCTAAATCAAAGTGTGCATATTGTGTGCTGCAATATCAATGATCATCTTTATGCAGGGAAGTTTAAGAAGTTCAGCTTCCAGACAAACTTCTTATGCTCCACATACATTGGTGCAAGAGAACATGTATATTTGTATGTCAGGTAATATATGAAATAAAATATGCAAAACAAGCATGATTATGCGTCTTTTAAGGAGCAAGCTAGATTACAAGCATACAAAGGTCAAAGACCTAGACAAGATAATTCATGGGTTTTTCAACTTGTAATTTACAGCAATGATGTTCATTTTCATATAATTATAATAAAAAATAGTTCCAATGACCCCACATTGCACATATTTTATCCGTCCAAGGGCAATAACTAAAAAAAACTTCTTTAAAATTTTATAAACATCTTTAGAGAAATGAAGGCTGGAGAGCAAATGCAATGCAATTTCCGACATAATTAATCTTTTCAAGGGGCATAACTCTTTTTAAAATATTTGATCAGCACCAATTTTTGAAATGGTCCAAGTCATTGCTGATGCAAACCTTTGATATAAATTTGGTAAAAATGTGACAAAATTTAGCATGAGAGCGCTTACAATGCAAGTTTTCATATAATTAATATTAACAAGGGGTATAACTCTTTTAAAACTCTTTTAAAAGTAATTGATCACCACAGATTTTTCAACCTTGTCTAAGACATTGCTGATAAAAACCTATGATATAAAATTCATAAAAATCTGGCAAGAATTGTACACATTATAGGGTTTACAATGCAATTTTCCATATAATTAATATTTTCAAGGGGCATAACTCTTTAAAAACTTGTTGACCAGCACTGATTTTTTAAATTGTCTGAGACATTGAAGAAATAAAGCTATGATATAAGTTCCATAAAAATTTGGCAAAAATTGTACATGATTAATATTTCAAACAAGCTCTCACTAAAATTGTTGATCGGCACTGATTTTCAAACTTATCCTAGACAGTGCTGATAAACACCTATGATATAAGTTTCTTAAAAAAAATCTGGCGAGAATTGTACACATTAGAGCACTAACAATGCAATTTTCCATATAATCAATATTTCTAAGGGGCACAACTCTTTTAAAAATTGTTGATCAGCACTGATTTTCGAATTTGTACGAGACAATGCTGATATAAACTTATGATATAAGTTTTATAAAAATCTGGCAAGAATTGTTCATGTGAGAGCGCTAACAAGACCAGACGGACGGATGGACGGACGTACGGTTGCCTGTAAATTCTATGTTCTACACAACGCGTTGTGCAGGGGACAATAATCTTTATTGTCGTAACACATAAGTAGAACTTGTAACTTCAACCTGATATTGAAAGGACAAACTGAATGGAAAACATAATGCCCCTTCCCTATGAGCTAAGGCTAGCATAAAACGAAATTCTGAAAAAATATTTCTTATAAATTTATTGATCAATATCTGTACATAACAAAACAATCGTCATGGGAACAGATCAAAACATATACACTAAGAAACAGACATCTATACTTTATGTAAACAGAAATACAGTTTCACAGATAAATATTTATAACAACCATTAAATAAATAATACCAAGGCATCATCAATTTGATTTTATATTTTTGGAGTTTTGACAGATTTAAAACAAATCAAGAAATTCTTTTTGTAGTAAATACAAATCAAGAAAACGAAGCAAGGTATGTTATTTTATTACAATTACTACTGTAAATTCAGAAATTATTGCGAGGTTTTTATAAATGCGAATAATGCGACAAGATGAGTATCGCAATAATAAGAACCCGCATTTTGATAACTAAAACATAGATCTGTACGTAGATTTTGCTGAAATCGCAATAATTAAACTCACATTCTTGTCCATTTTTAAAAAATCGCAATAATAAATGCACGCAATAATTTCTGAATTTACAGTAATTGCTTTCCTTGTTTTTGTATAATTACAAATCAAAGGTGTTAACAAGGCATTTTTGACATACTTGCAAGAAAATTGGACTAAGTGTGATTAAAAATGTCATAACAATTGAAATGATTTGCTTCACTTTACTTGTACATGTAACCAGCTTGGACAAACAATTATATAACAGTTGCACCATGAGCATGATATACATCCCCCTTATTTCAACTATCAAAGTTCTTTATGAAGAACATCAAATCTTGAAATATAAATATATTGTACGGGAGGTAGCTTTATCTGGTTGTAGTGATACTTTAAAATTAAGGGTTGCCTGAAAGAAATCTGGACTTAGCAGTAGAGACATCAAAATTGTCTTTTTTTATAATTTCTTTCAACTTCGAACGTCAATCTAGAAAATTTTATGAGAATTACTTCATACTTCGATTTTTTTTTATCAATTTAAGTCCAAAAAAATTTGAACAGAGAAGGATTACAAAGAATTATATTTGAAACCAGAAAAGAATCTATTCAAAACAAACCCTTAACTTACTTAAGGTTTAGCAAGTTACTTTAACTTTATAAATCTTACCACAAGTTTTTAATTCTTATACATTTACATACCAAATAACAATATTGAAAAATATACTGAACAATAAAGAAAAATGTACAGATAAACAGATAGTAAGAAGACAGAGTGAACACAATATCAAATATTGCATCTAGATAGATAATAAATAAATAATATATATATAAACTTCATTAGATGAAATCCCTCTTTAAGAAAGTATTTAAAAACCAAGGACCGTCTCAAAGTGTCATAGTATCTTGGCAGTTAAGATTTAGTGTTAAGGATGTTTGCTACTCTGTTTCAAAATAACAAGCTTTTTTAAAAGACTGTTATAATTGATAGTATATAAATAACGGAACTAAAAAATCTGAAAAAATAAAGGGTCTGTGTCCTTGTTTTTCGAGATATAAGCTACTGAAAATTGTCAGGAAATGATTCTCTCTGTATTTTTCATACATTTAACATAGGCATTTTTTTCTTACAAAAACTACCAAAAAAAACCAAAAGATTGTATAAGATTTTTAAATATGGCTTTTTAAACAATATGTAATAAAATAATGAAAATAAAAGAAGGGGTTAGCGGCCAAAATTTTTAATGGCACTACATGGATAAAACCAGAGGATTCCTAATATCTGACAAAAATTCAAAACAAGAGGAGCGAACATCCTTAAATCATGATATTACAATTTGTATGTTAAGTTGATAACCAGAGATTTGACCAAAAAACAACACCATCAAGAAAGTGTAACTTACCCTGTAATGTTTTACCGTTATGTACTCTTGAGATGGTCCCTGATCAAGACAAAAGAGAAAATCCTCGAATCCCAATAGAAAACTTAGTGGTATGTTATCTTTTACTTCCCACAACTTCAAATGTACAAGATACACAGAAAAAACACAATGCAAAAAACACATAACAAATACATAATTACCCAAAATTGGGAAAAATTACTGACCACTCATAATTTAATATCTAGAAAAATAAACATATTGACAAAATACATACACACATCAAAACACAAGCATACCAATGTCTTATGAGCACTACAAAACATTCACACAGATCTCTAAAAATGTTCATCATTCTTACAATATCAGGCATGAAAAAGACAACATGTGTGTAACCATTTAAAGTGAGTACAAATAAATTATGTATTATCTGAAAGTGTAAGCATATAGTTTTTAACCTGAAATTTAGCATTGTATTTTGTGTTATTTAAGGATGTACTTAGGTGAGGTTTAGGAATTTGTGTCAGATCTTCGGACTCCTTGGTATTCTTCCTTCAATACAGGGTAAAATATTTTGCCCCATAACACCCATTTTTCTTTTCATATAAGACTTCAATAGCTCTTAAAAGGTCATTTACCAAAAATTAAGCAGATTCTAGATTTCCTTTCTTTTGATTTGAGACCCAACTAATTAATACCAATGCAAATATAAGGTAAAAGTCCGAGTCAGCCTTCTCCCGACATTTTTTAAAACTCAAATATCTCGAAAAGGAAATCCATAACCTATCAATATTTTTAGCTTATTTTGTTCCTTTACTAATGCTCTTCCGACTTATTGTATCAATTTTAAATTCTAGATTTTTTTAATTTCACCTAAGTACATCCCTAAATGAACATTTCTTCAACAAGGACTTCGAAGAAAAAATTATATTAAACTGTATTAAAAACAGTAATTTGAATATTTCAATTTGCTCCATTACGAAACAAAAAGGTGTAAGATACCCACAGACTATGCTTGTACGTTAAACAGATATCACATGAGATGATGATTGCCGGATACATTGATGACAGAGAATAAGTTCCATCTATACAACAGAAACACAACTTTATTCTCTTGCATCAAATTTCTAACAAGTTGCAATAACAAACAGTGGTCAATCGATACAATTGACCTCTGCCAATGAAAGCCACTTTTGGAACCTACATTGATTTTTTTATATTTATCTTTTTTTTGTACCACCTAATGTTTTAAGTTTGATCAATGGTGCAAATAACAGGATATCTAAAGCATACATAACCAAAGTTTTTGATCTGGTCTGTTTCTCTATTTTAAAGAATGATGCTACATGGTTGCTTTTACTTACAGAAATCTCAATACTTATATTTCATACTGTATAACAAAAGAATTGTAGATATCACCCTCCTTTCCAGGACAACTTACTCTTGTGGTATTTTCGTGAGTACTAATTTTCGTGGATTGAGGAAAAATTGTATTTTCATGGACATTTGATTTTGTGGTTTTGCCGCTTGATTTTGTGGTTTTGCCGCAGTCTGCATACAAGCCTATAAAAAAATTCTACTTCGTTGAACATTGAAATTCATGGTTCACCTTTATCCACGAAAATTGGTATCCCACGAATAATAATGAATCCACGGTAGGTCTAACTGACCTCAGATTTTAATAAGTATTGAATCCAAAAGTTATAAATAACTCTTTCAAGGTATTGATGTCCAAATCTTATGATGAAAAAAAAAAAACAAATGGGATGTCCACTTCTAACCTTCGGGAGGGGTAGACAAAATCCACCCGATTTTCCATAGGAATTTAAAGTGTCAATTTTACAAAAATGACCTCCTTTAGTGTTCTAAAGTAACTGCATACATTAAAGAGATTTACAAAACAAAAATCATTTAAAAATTGTCTCACTCAAACACAAAATTGTTTAACTACAAGATTCATCAAATCACACAAAACCAAGTATACAATATTTTATAATGGTCAGACTTAACAATAGTACATTTATACATTTTTAAATTAAACTTGTAAGTTAATTGGCAAAATGTCCAAGATGGAATATAATATATCTAACAGCTGTTTCGCTGGTTATTTTAACAGTGGTGTAATTTTATCATGGTGCTTAAATATAGCGCTGTATTAAAACAAATTATCAAATACAGGGTTCTCTTGGTATTTTTAATTGACCAAAATTTAATATAGGCCATTGCAAAAACACAAAATAATATTTGTTTTTTTAATCTCTGTATAATTGTTGAGTGTCATAAATTTTAAAAACATTTTTCATAATGTTTAATATAAGGACTTTTGTTTGAAAATCTGTAAAACATGCCTTTTAAAAAGCATAAGATAAGATTTACTTCCCTTGACAAAAAAAACTGTCAGACAATATTATTTAGTGAGTTAAGTTTAATTTTGTCTAAAATTTAACACATTAAACAATTTTAATGTCGACAGAACAAAAGTGTCTATGTTACCAAAGTATTGTCTTCATAATGACTTGGTTGTGGCAAATGGAAAATTTCAAAAGATAAACTTCTTTTTTAAATTTTTTTTAAGATTTTTAAATCCATGCATATTGCAAGAATGGTCCTATTAAGCTGTTTTCTGATGATTGAAATTTTTGTGATATTTCCATAATAACAACATTCTCATACAAGAATTAACAAGATACATCTATACTAATGCTAAGACAGTCGACAAAGGACTATAAATAGACAAATTCATACTATCATAGAAACAATAAATCAGACAGGAACTTGAATTAGCAATGAAAAGCGGAATAAAGCCACCAAAATCAAATTTGGTTTTCTTTGGAATTAAAACAAGGGTGAGTACTTTTCTTCTCCTAAATCCTGGAACTGATAGAACCTTATTATGTAAATAGGAAATGATTCCTTTATTTTTTTATCATTTATTAAAGAATAATTTTTTGGAAATTTAGCCTAAAGATGTTTATTTTTTTTTAGATTAGATTTTAAATGAGCAAAAAGATTTCAAAATGTTTCTGGCCCCTATCACATGAATTTGGTGTGGCATTATTCAGAGACAATCAAAAGTTAGTCCTTTTCTTTAATGGCTAAGTGTATACATTGGAAATCTTTGAATGTCCAAAAACAGATAACACCAAGATGACAATACCAAATTTGAAACGTACAACAGTAAATATTGATAACAATTACTGTGACTAACAGATATATGATGCACCAAAGTGATGATTGTTCCCTTTATATTAAACATAAATACCAAATCTTCAATTTCATGCATGATTTGAAAAAAGAAATATAAGTAATTCTGATAACTACAAGAGATTTGATCATTAGAAAGTGAACACATTAAGAAATGATGTCCCTTGTAACAGACTTTTACCATATCCTATTTAAATTTGATCAATGTTAGATTTCTCTCAAACTTGAACAGAGAACTGTAACACAAATGTTTATTTAGAATTTTTTCAGAGCAGATATGACTAGTTAGTAATAATTTTTCAGTTTAAACATAGCTATTATGTGATATTCTGTTTAAAACTTTCTGAGATTTACAGCCTAAAGTATTCATGTGTCAACAAATTTTCTAGCATGTGGAGGCTGTTAAACTTTTTTAAAATCATCTTTGTTGCAAACAAAATTACTCAAGTGTAACATCTCGCGTCCTATTACTACTGTGAAAGTACTTTTATTCGTAGGGTACCAATTTTCGTGGTTTTCGTGGATGGCTTTATCCACGAATTTAAGTGTCCAACGAAATATAACAATTGTTGTCCAAATCAAGACACGGAAAGACCCCCTTGTAGGTTTGACTTCATTGATACCAACATATCAAGAGAATAAATACATCGAATATAAGCAAACGCAATAAGAACTAAATATACAACTTCAGACAGGATTTTATAATCCATTTCATTTTATAAAACCTACGACTTTTAACCTTTAATTGTCATAAAAAATAAGTTTAGATCAAAGAAAGTCAAACTCCTGGTGATGATATCCAATGATGATCTTACGAAAAAAATCATATTGGGCTTGCTTTTTTATTTCATTTAGAATTAATTCTACATTTCAAAGTACATTTGTGGCATTTGTTTATGTAATCGTTTGCTTTAAAATGTTCAAGTGTCACGTTATTACCCAATTAACACCTTTGATAACCGTTAATCTGTTGATCATTCGATTTGGGGTTAATTATTGTCATCATTTCTGATTAAACATGTGCAATTATTAATTAAAATGTTTACTTTACAATTTCCTTCTATCGAGGCAATTTTTAACCATAAATTAATCAACTTATTTACGAAAGCAATTATTTTAACAAAAGAAAATTGTGAAAGTTGTCAGTAATGAAAGACGAACAAGTAAGTGAAAATGAACACATTATTAAGCAATGTCCCACAAATGATTATAAAACAACATATGATTATTTTCAAGAATCTACTTAACAATTTTTTTCTTCAGAAAAGTAAAATCCACGAATTTAAGAACCCATGAACATGTAACTTTCGCTCAAACCACGAAAATTGATACCCACAAATTAAAGTACTTTCACAGTAAACATCAGAGTTTTACCTGAGAAATTGGGTTTCAATAGATGTTCTTTTTTCCCCTAAAACTTCATTTTAAAACCTGAAAAAAATGACTTCTTGATACAATAAAAACGATTTCACAGATAAAGACTTTTTGTTATACAAAAGACAGAAAAACCTGCATATCTTAAAGAATGAGCAACTTGGTAGCATTTAATGTTGACTGACAATTGGTTTATAAGAAAATCAGACATTTTTGCCAATTACTGTACTAACGATTTAATGCAGTTTAAAAAAGATCACAAAATTTAATGATTTGTATGCCCTTTTAACTTGAAAGCCTGACAATGCAAATTATTTCTTTTAATCCTACTGTGTGACCAAATTATAGTTAATACTCATTATATCATCTGCACCGACTGATCATAGATTTACAGTTCAATCTGAAGAGGCAAGAAATACAAACAGCCAATAGAAACTGTAAATATACATTGAACGTAATGCCTGTTGAACTGGAGCAAATTCGTAAGTATTGGGAAAAGATGTGCACTAACAAATAAAGTTGCCTCCCCTTGCTCATCTGATCTACAGACGACAAGTACATAAATAATCTCATTCATATCAGTATAAACATTTCTTTTCATCCACATCAAAGTCGAGTACATGAAGTTTTGTTTCTTCAGTGCCATTTCTACTTCCAACAGCACAGACAAGTTTAGTGTTACTACATCGCACTCGCCACACAACACCGCCACTTCCCCCACTATCTAATGCCACTAGATTCCGAATGAAATCACCAGTTTTTAAGTCCCATATTTTGACTGTTCCATCATCCGAGGATGTGATCACAAACTTTTTGTTGAACTGTAAACAGGTCACAGCACTAGAATGTTTATTGGGTCCTGAAATACATATAATCAATGTTTTAACACTAGAATGCATTTTCAGTGATTTTTGTATTAATTCAAATAAAACATATAATGCACATGTAATTTCTACCTCTTCTTTGTTTAAAAAAAAATTCTGATATAACAACATTTGAAATATGTTTATATTCTCAAACGTCTTTTCAATTTTTCAATGTAGTTATTTCAAGAGGATAGTTTTGAAAAGTTTATGTCAGTAGGACTATTTTTGTTCATAAGTTTGAATGAATAAGATTAAGAAGTAAATATTTCATGGCCCTTAAAAGCCCACTGTAAAATAAAAACTTCTAAGTTAATGTTTCTTAATTTCATTGGAAATCTTTACTAAAAAGACAAGTTTCCTGGCACAGACACATAGACAGAAAGACCGATGAACAGGATGATACCTATAAACCGACAAAACTTGGTTGGCTTAAAAAAGGGGGGGTTTAAGAAGGATAAAATAACAGCATATTTGCATCATATTTGTGTACACAAAACAAGTCCACCACCAGCCTTCCACTTAAAGTCATGGGTAATCTGCTTAAAATATGTTGTACATAAATAATACTTTAATTATCAAGTTATCATAAGAACCCAGAAGTGAACTTATTTACATAACACATAATTATCATATAATATGTATTACCTTGTAAGGTTTGAAGACACTGGCCTGTTGTTATATCCCAAACTTTGACAGTAGAATCTGCATTACCAGAAACCAGAATATTGTCCTTCAGTTCCAGACCACTGGTCAAAGACTGATGACCAATTAATGTATGTAAACAGTTCCCAGCTTCTACATCCCAAACACGGATAGATGTGTCCAGAGATCCACTCACAATGTGAATACCATCAAACTGTAAAAATGACATTGAAAATTATAAAATAGTCCACAAGTTAATAGAGATTATGATAGCTAATATACATGAGGTTAACACTAAAAAAAGATATCTGTATATTTTCATGATTGAATGATTGTTGCTTACTTAATATACAGTGGCAAATATTACATGAATGTTCAGGACGTTAATTTTCATGAGTATCCAAACCTGAATATACTGGTTCTTTTTATACAGTGTACATTAAGTTGTTCAATCAAGTTTTCAGTTTGCTTGTGTTGACCTCAGCCCTTTGACTTTATAGAGATGTGGTGCAGGTTTTGTCCTTTTTGTGTTACAAATATGCAGATAAAGGATATCAGTCATTCACTGAACCTCTAATTCATGCCAGTAAAAATCATACCTGAAGAGAGTAAACCCTATTTGTATGTCCCTGAAGTGTATGTAAGCATGTTTCTGTTTCTGGGTCCCAGACTTTGACCATGTAATCATAGGCTCCACTGACCACCCTCCTACCGTCATACTGAACACATCGCACTGCTGCCACATGACCCATCAATACATGTAAACAAGCACCACTGTCAATATCCCATACCCGTAATGTAGCATCTCGTGATCCACTCACCACCCTGAAATTGGTTTGAACAGAGAATATTTTGACTGCCATCAGAAAAATTCAAGAGCTGTTGAATGTGAAAAATATTAACATAGAAAACCAGATGGTTGCAGTATTTGAACTATAATTATTGCTTAACTTACTAATGCTCGAAATGTTTTATTGTTTTATGTTTTTTATTGATTTGGCTTGAATAAACTGTTAATTTTTTTATTTGAATGTAAACAAAGAGCTGAGAAAAATTAAAATAAAAATAGTATTCACAGATCATTATATCCCAGGTGTATCTAAAAATGTAATATAGTAGATTGAGGTTATTCTTGAAAGGTAAAACAGCAAACTTTATTCAAACATTTCAACCTAACACTTTAAAACTTAACATGTGCACTAAGTAATTTTTATCAATGGTTAAAATTTCAGTCAAAAACACAAAACCTCTGTACATATACTTACACATTTCTATGTAAATGCATACATCGTACAGTAGAAGAATGTCCATACAATGTATGTATACACTGCCCTGTGTCGGCATTCCACACTTTCAGTGTTCGGTCAGTCGAGCCACTGATGACCACACTGTTAGACATCTGGGATGACCATACCCCTCCTGTGTGACCAACTAATGTCCTTAAGCACTAAAAATAAACAAAATAATTCTTCAGTGAAACCTTTTATATGAGTGACAGAATACCTGAGCAGAATTTGTTTTGTTATGTTTGACGAATTATAAAACTTTTATGAATACTCTATGCCAAAATTCTGGGAAGGTTTCCAATAAACTTACATTTGGAAAGATGGCTTGAAATTGAAAACTGATCAACAGTTAGGAGTCTTTGAATTAATCCAGCAGAGATTTTAATCCACTCTGATGTATTAGAAAAGAGACATTATGTTGTATTCATTTATGGCATAAAATATCTACACACATTTGTCATATTAACAGTCTGTCAGGGGCATTACATAAACAAGTAACTTTTAAAATTACCTATACAAGTAATGTTGAAAGCAAGGCTATATCAAATATTACTTATATAAGTAACTTTTTTAAATATTATTTTTATAGGTGTCCATTAATACAGATTTTACTAGCTTTAACAAATTTTCACAGTCATCTGGTTATTTTTCCCATGAAATATAAAAATTAATCCTCCTGAAAACCTTATTGCCTTTTCGACGCACTTATCTTTCATATCAACGCTTCTTGGTCAAATATTGGTCTCATGGGACTATTAAAATATCATTTTCCTTGAAAATCTTGAAGGTAGACAGATGTAAATAGATAGAAACTTGTGATTTAATTAAGAATTAAAGTTATTTATAACTTGTAACCCAAAACAATTACATATGTTCCTTAAATAATTGTAATTACTATTTTTTTCAAAGATGTATAAACTAACTTATTCAAGTAATATTTTTGTCATTATTTTTATGTAATAAAATGTAAAAACTCATGAAAACTACATTAAGTCCATGCTTCTATTGAAATATAAAATAACTCTATTGAGTAATTTAATAATTTTCAAAACAAATATTACCTATATAAGTAAATAAAAAAAAATTACTTGTTTAAGTAACGCCCCTGACTGATTTAAAGCAAAAGAACAATACTTTTATCACATATCTATCACTTTGAAATTCCTGCACATAACATAGTGACAATTCATATTTTTTCTATCTATTATTCTATTTATTAATTTAACCCTACCTTTCCTGTGATGGCTGACCAGACTTTGAGGGTGTTGTCATCTGACCCACTGACAATACGAGTTCCACAAAACTCTAAACATGTTATCACATGGTCATCATGACCTTTTAATAACTGAAAATAGATAGGAATATTTATTAAAATCCTTAAAAGAATGTAAACAATATTCATTTACTTATTTACTGATAGAGGGATCATGAATTAGATCACATTTCTTCTGAAATGTCTATTTGCATTGTTTTAAGTGTGAATATGGAGAACAAGCCTGACCCATTTAAGTTCTTTTTTGTATGGTTAGTTTTTGTGGTTTTCACTTAAGCCATTTTTTCTTGTTTATTTTACTTCACGAGAGTGAAACAAAATATGTCTCCTCCTGGCTCCTCATTTCTGAATCATGTATTCCCCTTGTTTTACCTTATGGCTGGTATTACATCTGTTCATCTATTGAATGATATATAGTCCCTGTATTAACTTCTCTCTCTTTTTTTTCTGTCTCATCTTTAAGTATAGTAATAATAGTAATGAAAAGATGGTAAACTCAGTTTGTTAAAATAAATAATCTTCCCTGAGACCCTAATAAACAAATACAAACAAAACAAATGTTTACACATACAATGACATATCAATGTATAAATACCTTAGGACCAGGTATTTCTCCTGTTCTCCAATTAAGTTCTATTTGATGCTGCCTCATGTATAATGACTTCCAAGGACACCGAGAGGTATGACGTCGCCTGAGTCGATTACTGCCATAGACTAAATTATCATCAATACTTTCCTCTCGACATTTCTCTCTCCAGAGCAAATTGTCCTCGGCTAGCACTCGCCAGTAACGACATGTCTGGGCAGCTTTCAGTAAAGATTTTGGCTCCAGGAAAGAAAGTACATAAAGGGCAAGCTAAAATCAAGAATAACATTATAATGGAGTAAAATGGCAAGTTAAAAACAAGAATAACATTATAATGGAGTAAAATGGCAAGCTAAAAACAAGAATAACATTATAATGGAGTAAAATGGCAAGCTAAAAACAAGAATAACATTATAATGGAGTAAAATGGCAAGCTAAAAACAAGAATAACATTATAATGGAGTAAAATGGCAAGCTAAAACAAGAATAACATTATAATGGAGTAAAATGGCAAGTTAAAAACAAGAATAACATTATAATGGAGTAAAATGGCAAGTTAAATGAAGAACATATTACAGTAATTCTTTATTTTCTTCATTATTCTTTTAACAATATATAAATACTTAGATGTCAATTTTTAATTTGATGGGTTTGTCAGATTATTACATGGTTTCCGTCGTTACTCAAACAGTTCATGAACATTTCAGAGCTTGCCAAAAATGTATTCCAAATAAGACGAACTATGAGCTTTCTCATGCTATAAGTATTCTGTAAAGAGTTGATAAGAAATTGATGTGAAAATGCATCAGTCATTATAGCATGCTCAAATGAAGCTTGAAATCAAATTTCAGGAAACTGTTATTTGTACTTTCTGAGAAAAATGTGACAAAAATTTCATACATGGCCATCATGTATAAGAATATATAAGTATTCAGTAAGCAGGAAATGGATGGCAAAATATGTGAAACAACATCACACAGTATAGCATGCTCACATGAATTGCAACCAAATTTCAGGAAACTCTGATTTTTAGTTCTGGATAAAAAGGTATCTTAAATTTCATGGCACAGATGGTATGAAGTAAGAACACATGGATGGACAGACAGAGGTAAACCTGTCTTTGGGTTGGGGGTGAAATAAATTAAAAATCAAATCTTTCTAAAAATCTCTATTTTACAAACCTCTTTTGGCAAAAGTGATATAAAATCTCTCTGGAACTGAGGTTCAATAACCTGCATCATGTGTCGAACCTGTGTAGGATCACACAATGTAATCAACTCGTCCAGAGCCATCAGTCTCTCTGCATTACCCCAATTCTGTAATTATAAGTTTATGTAACTATATGACAAAAGAAAAAATAAACTTTAATATTAATAAACAACAAACTTAAAATAAACTGCTTGAAACTTTTTTTGTAATTTTGGAATACAAACTAATATCAAGTCACTTTTTGTGTTTAAATCTATTAATATTTCCAAGGAGCCTGAGGAGATTATTATTGTAGATTTGCAAAGTTTTAACAAGAGAAGATAACTTTAAACAGATAGTGAGAGCTTCATTTACTTTGTTACATCAATCACATTAGTGTCAAAACATATCAACATAAAGTTTTAGTGTAGAAGATTTTGTTTTTAAATTTGCCAAATTAGAATCAAGATGGCCTCTGGTGGCTATGGTTTTTTATCTGACTGAAAAGAAATGATGCATTTTTATAAAGTTTACTGTGGATACATTATTTAAGTGCCAGTCTTTGTAAGAATGAGGCAATTTTGAAAAAAATCAAAACATGGCTGAAAAAATCCACCAACCTAACCATCCTAATCTTAAGTTAGCCTTATCATGAGTTAGAAATGTAGGTCTTTTGTTTCTGCATGTCTGGTAATTCGGGAAATCTCTAACTTTTGGTTAGAATGATAACAAATAACGGAGTTAGCTCCCCTTAATTTTTAATTTCTAGTGCATTTCAACCAAATTATATCTTGAATTACCAGAACAGGTAAAGGAAACGAATGTTATATTTGTGCACCATTATACAATTTGAACATAAATTAATGTCAACTTGAGTGGGTTTTTGTTTGTCATGTTTTCACCACTGCATGATTCTTAGGCAGACTGGCACTTAATATTTGTGAGATACTAATTTTCATGGATTTTGTGTGTAAAGGTGAACCACAAATTTAAATGTTCAGAGAAATATACATTTTCTATAGGCTTTCATACAGAATATGACAAAACCGAAACAATCCTTTTTCCTCAATCCAAGAAGTTAGTACCCATGAAAATAAATGAATCAACAGTAGTTCAAATGAGTTCATCTTCAAATCTAGACTTTACACAAGAAGTTATTGTATGATACCTGAAATATTTGCAACCATTCTGCTAATTTGTCTGGAGGATGCTCTTTGGATGGAATCCTCATTCGTTGTGTAGCAATTAAATTCTGTCGTGATGACTTTTGTAAGTTCACAAAGGTACTAAAAACATAAACAGACCAAAATTGGTAAAACATTTAGGATTTTTTTCTCAGCTTATCAACTTTAAAATTTATAAAACTTGTTTATGTCTTAACCCACACTTCTGATACAAGTACCTAACACACTGAAATCCCATTAGTATATTCAAAACAAAATTACTTTGTAAGTCCTTCCAATTCTATTTCTTGTCCAATTTTCACAATAATTTTATATTTGCAAAAGTATTCAAATTTCACAAGTTAAATTTTGATGTAATAATTCTTAAAATCTATAAAGAATACATAACGTAAAAATGTTTCTTTTAATTTACTATGACTTATTACAAAGTTTTAAAATATTAAGCTGCACAAGTCAAAAGAAATTTGCATCACTTAAAAAGTTACCTTTGATAATCTCCATCTCGACAGAATTTTTTCCCAGGAGATGAGTCAGGCTCTTCCTTTACCACATGACCTTTTCTTTTCAGCTGGATAAGATATTTTTACATGTATCATATATTTATGGAAAATTCTTCTTCAACAAGATGAAATTTAAACTATTGTTAACCCTTTTGAAAGAAGATAAAAATATTTATACATGTTTTCTGTCATTAACTTAATTATATTTGCATCTGATAAAGAAGTTTCATTTGTTTTTAGCCTAAGCATTTCTGTATAATTCAGTTAAGAATCAATTTTGTGTTGTTAGGTTGTTGTCCAAATTGTTTGTGTGAAGATAGCACAAAAGACAAGGTACACACTGTTTTGCACAATTTTTCAAATTAATGGTACGATTTTGACATTAAAACTTCTGTATATATAATACTGTAGATTCATTTATTTTCGTGGGTATCAATTTTCGTGGATTGAGGAAATATAGTATTTTCGTGGACATTTGATTTCGTGGTTTTGCCAAAGTCTGCATACAAGCCTTTAGAAATTTATAATTCGACGAACCTTGAAATTCGTGGCTCACCTATACCCACGAAATAAACGAAAATTGTTACCGCACGAATAATAATGAATCCACAGTATACATCATCTTATTGGTTTTATTTATCTATTCCAGTTATTAACTTATAAAATACAATTTAGTATTGAGAATGGCACGTTAGTTTGTTAGTATTGTTTACTTCAGCAACCAAGTTTTGTTTCCATTTCTCCATGTCTCATTTACAATAAAATGCTCCGCTGGGGCGCAGCTTGATACGACCGCAGAGGTCGAACCCTGAACAGTTGGGGCAAGTATGGACACAACATTCAAGCTTGATACAGCACTGAACTTGGATTGTAATTAAATATTTGACACAGCATAGGTTTCTGACACAGAATGAATGTGGTCTAAGAACTTAAAATTTTTTTAATTTACCTATTCAAACCATATCATCATTATTTGCTTTTATATATAAATCAGAAATAACTAATTTAAAATGGAAAATATTAAAGAAAAAAAATGAAAAAAAAAATCCCCCTCCGAAATTTTTTGAACCCCCTTATGATTCATCACCCCCAAACACAATCCCAGCCTTCCCTTTGTGGTATGGTACCTTGCAGTACAATTTCAGAGAGATCCATACACTTGAACACAAGTTATTGTCTGGAAACTAGAAAAATGTTTGTTTTTTGGCCCCTTTTTGGCCCCAAATTCCTAAACGTTTAGGGCAATTACCCCCAAAGTCAAACCCAGCTTTCCCTTTGTGATATGGAACCTTGCAGTACAATTTCATAAAGATCCATACACTTACACACAAGTTACTGTCCTGAAACTAGAAAAATGTTTGTTTTTTTGCCCCTTTATGGCCCCTAATTCCTCAAATTTTGAGGCAATTACCCCAAAAATCAATCCCAGCCTTCCCTATGTGGTATGGTACCTTGCAGAACAATTTAAGAGAGATTCATACACTTGAACACAAGTTATTGTCTGGAAACTAGATTATGCTTATTTTTGGCCCCTTATTCCTAAACGTTTTGGGCAATTACCCCCAAACTCAATTCCAGCTTTCCCTTTGTGATATGGAACCTTGTAGTACAATTTCAGAGAGATCCATACACTTGAACACAAGTTATTGTCTGGAAACTAGAAAAATGCTTATTTTTGGCCCCTTTTTGGCCCCTTATTCCTAAATGTTTTGAGCAATTACCCCCAAACTCAATTCCAGCTTTTCCTTTGTGATATGGAACCTTGTAGTACAATTTCATAAAGATCCATACACTTACACACAAGTGATTGTCATGAAACTAGAAAAATGCTTGTTTTTTGCCCCTTTTTGGCCCCTAATTCCTAAAATTTGGAGGCAATTACCCCCAAAACCAATCCCAGCATTCCCTTTGTGATATGGAACCTTGTGGTACAATGTCAGAGAGATCCATACACTTACACAGAAGTTATTGTCATGAAACTAGAAAAATGCTTGTTTTTTGCCCCTTTTTGGCCCCTAATTCCTAAAATTTGGAGGCAATTACCCCCAAAATCAATCCCAGCATTCCCTTTGTGATATGGAACCTTGTGGTACAATGTCAGAGAGATCCATACACTAACACACAAGTTATGTCTGGAAGTTACAAAAATGCTTATTTTTGGCCCCTTTTTGGCCCCTAATTCCTTAACTGTTGGTACCATAACCCCCAAAATCAATCCCCACCTTCCTTTTGTGATATTGAACCTTATGGTAAAATTTCATTGAGATCCATTCACTTAAACTAAAGTTAGAGTGTGAAAACCAATGTGTCTTCGGACGACGACGCCAACATCATACCAATATACGACCACAAAATTTTTTTTGCGGTCATATAAAAATTCAACCCAAAACATAAGCTAGCATGAAAAATAATCAGAAATGATCAATTAAAATTTTAAGCCTTGCAAGACAAGATAAAAAATGCCTTTCCGACCCCATTCTGGCCAATAGGCAGTAAGTTTTGGAACAGCCCTACTTTTAGATGGTTTACAGATATATTTATTTGTAAGATGCTAACCACATGGCCACTGAAGAGTCCATTGACTGGTATAGGAATCCTAGATTTATGTTGAGCATTAGATGAACCCCTGTCTTCTTCACGGAACATGACCTCATCTCCGGACTCGTCCTCTGGCATGTGATCATCATGGGAAACAATACTGTTACCATCATCAACATGTTCCTCGGCTGATTTGGACAGTGCTCGTAGATTGTGTCTGATAGATCTGGCTGACAACCCACTAGATGATGGCTGTCCCTTGCTTTCAACATTATCTTTTACTTTAGGTGTCCTGAAATATAAAGGTGTACAAAAATGCAATTATAAATCACATTTCAGAAAGATTTTCTATGAAAAAAACATAAAAATATAACTTTTTTTTCTTTCTTTTTTTCAAATCTGATTCTTTTATATGGTATGTTTTAAGTCAACCCTAGTAGTAGTAGTTTATTTGTGAGTTCATGACCGATTCAACAATACAATGTAAACAGTTAAGAGCTTGATGTGTGTTGAAGAGAAACCTACTTTTCAGTTCCAGAGCTATTATATTATTATTATTTCAGGTTTTTTTGGGAGATCTTTTTTGTTTGTTTTTTCAAATAACTGTTTCTTCTGTCTTTTGTGATAAACGGATCTGATGATCTCTGTTTGGTATCTTCTGCTTGTAAAAATATGGCATAGAAAAAGACAATATTTTTTTGCAATGAAAATGTAAACCGTTATATGTTTGTCTTTTTATTTGCCCAATTGCTTTCAAGATTTAGTAAGTGGTACGCTTAGTCTTTCAAACTTGTCTGTGTTGCCTCCATAAGTGGTTAGAGTTGTCTGTCAAACTGGTCGTCCAAGTTGTCTTTGATCCAGTACAGATAAACCCATGCAATATTCACAGAGCAGTCTTTATTGATTCAGATTTTTTTAAACTGAACAACTGAGTGCCAATATTAAATTGCTTGATTAAAACAATATAAAATTGAGAATGAAAACGGGGAATGTGTTAAAGAGACAACAACCTGACCAAAGAGCAGAAAACAGCCCAATATACATGCATTGTCAGAAAAAAAAAAGTTTTTGTACTTGTTATGAAATAGCTAAACATAACAAGCCTGGCTTTTCCTCCTGTTTCAAAAGCTAAGTTACTAATAAATTTAATATTTTGTACAATGTAGTATACTGCACAAGTATATAAGTTACCTGACAGCTTTGCGTTTGCGTGTACTACATGTCAGCTGAGTACGACTTTGTTCCACAATGCAATCACCAACTCCTGGGACACTACTTAAATCCTTTACTGCTGAGAAGCCTCCAAATGACTGCAATTAATTAAAAGGCAAATTCTTTAAAAATGTACAGTGGAGAATAATTTACTTTACAAAATACAAGTTATAAAACTGTAAATTAATTCAGCTGAAAAAAAAATGTTCAGAAAGACATGAAAGAGCTGAATAATCAACCACTCAAAATTCAGGTTACTCAATTTCCTAAGCTGTTGTTCTTACTCTCATCTTAAAATCCTTAGATCTTTTTTTTAACCCAATTGATCATCTCCTTTTTAACCTTATAATTTGCTCTTATTTGCTTCCCCCTTTCCTCAAACTAAGCATGTATGTTAAGTTTTATATGTTTAATGTTTAATTTGTTTGTAATGCTGTGAGCTGGACAGCTAAGAGTAATAACCCAAAGTTTGATATGTCAAATCTGCATATATATATATACATTGGGCCTTTTATAGCTTGCTATGCGATATGCGTTTTGTTCATTGTTGAAGGTCATATGGTGACCTATATGGTCTGACTGTCTCAGGTGGAGAGTTTTCTCATTGGCAATCATATACCATGTATACCACATCTTTGACAGTTTTATATAACTAAAAGGCACTTAAAGTGCATACCAGTTTGAATATGAGATGTAGTAAGATTGCTAATGAAACAAATATCCACCACAGTTGTAAACAACTACAAGTCACTGTAAGGCCCTCAACAATGAGTAATAAAATGCTTCGCTGGGCGCAGCTTGATACGACCGCAGAGGTCGAACCCTGAACAGTTGGGGCAAGTATGGACACAACATTCAAGCTTGATACAGCTCTGAATTTGGATTGTGATTAAATATTTGACACAGCATAGGTTTCTGACACAGAAAGAATGTGGTCTAAGAACTTCAATTTTTTTAATTTACCTATTATGGTCCAATGTCCAAAATCAAAATACATGGTTAGATTCAGCATATCAAAGAACCCCATATATTCAATTTTTGTTGAAATCAAACAAAGTTTAATTTTGGACCCCAACTTGGACAAACTTGAAAACTGGTCCCATAATCAAAAATCTAAACACATGTTTAGATTCAGCATATCAAAGTACCCGAAGAATTCAATTTTTGTTAAAATCAAACTAAGTTTAATTTTGGACCCTTTGGACCTTAATGTAGACAAATTTAAAAAACGGGACCCTAAATTAAAAATCTAAAAACACAGTTAGATTTGGCATATCAAAGAACCCCAATAATTCAATTTTTGATGAAATCAAACAAAGTTTAATTTTGGACCCTTTTGACCTCAATATGAACCAATTTGATAGCGGGCCCACAAATAAAAAATCTAAATACATGGTAAGATTCAGCATATCAAAGAACCCCATATATTCAATTTTTGTTGAAATCAAACGAAGTTTAATTTTGGACCCCAATTTGGACCAACTTGAAAACTGGGCCAAAAATCTAAAATCTAAATACATGTTTAGATTCAGCATATCAAAGAACCCCATATATTCAATTTTTGTTGAAATCAAACAAAGTTTAATTTTGGACCCTTTGGACCTCAATGTGGACCAATTTAAAAACGGGGCCCAAAATCCAAAAACTTAATACACGGTTAGATTCAGCATATTAAAGAACCCCAAGAATTCAAGAATAAAACCCCATTGAAATTGATCAAGAAATAAGCAATTTATACGAAGTATCTTCTTTTGCACAATACTGTGCAATTGAATATTTCTTGCTATTGCGCAATACTGTACAATTGACAATTTCTTGCTATTGCGCAATATTGTGCTATTGGATATTTCTTGCTATTGCGCAATACTGTTAAATTGAAGATTTCTTGCTATTGCGCAATACTGTGCAATTGAAGATTTCTTGCTATTGTGCAATACTGTGCAATTGAAAATTTCTTGCTATTGCACAATACTTATTATATAATAATTTACACATCCTGTTTGGTGTGTATCTCCTACCATATCATTATTATTTGCTTTTAAATATAAATCAGAAATAACCAACTTAAAATGGAAAATTTTAAAAGAAAAAAAAAAGGAAAAAAAGAAAAAAAAAAAAAAAAAAAAATCCCCCCCCCCAATTTTTTGAACCCCCTTATGATTCATCACCCCCAAACTCAATCCCAGCCTTCCCTTTGTGGTATGGTACCTTGCAGTACAATTTCAGAGAGATCCATACACTTGAACACAAGTTATTGTCTGGAAACTAGAAAAATGCTTATTTTTGGCCCCTTTTTGGCCCCCAATTCCTAAACGTTTCGGGCAATTACCCCCAAACTCAATTCCAGCTTTCCCTTTGTGATATGGAACCTTGTAGTACAATTTCAGAAATATCCAAACACTTACACACAAGTTATTGTCATGAAACTAGAAAAATGCTTGTTTTTTGCCCCTTTTTTGGCCCCTAATTCCTAAAATTTTGAGGCAATTACCCCCAAAATCAATTACAGCCTTCCCTTTGTGATATGGAACCTTGTGGTACAATGTCAGAGAGATCCATACACTTACACACAAGTTATTGTCTGAAAGTTACAAAAATGCTTATTTTTGGCCCCTTTTTGGCCCCTAATTCCTTAACTGTTGGTACCATAACCCCCAAAATCAATCCCAACCTTCCTTTTGTGGTATTGAACCTTATGGTGAAATTTCATGGAGATCCATTCACTTAAACTAAAGTTAGAGTGCGAAAACCAATGTGTCTTCGGACGACGACGACGACGACGACGACGACAACGACGACGACGACGACGACGCCAACGTCATACCAATATACGACCAAAAAATTTTTAATTTTTGCGGTCGTATAAAAAAAAACGGTATAGTAATAGGCTACTTTTGCGTAAATACTTTAAAGGTCAACTTTTCCTAACCAAAGTTGCATCATTACCATGATTACCTTTCATAGAAACTACAAATAATGAAACATCAGAAAAACTCTTTTAACTTACCTTCCTGTATTTGATGATAGCTTTAGCTTTTCTTAAACCAATACCATTTAATTTTTCAAAGTCTTCTACACTAGCCTTGTTGATATCTATTTTCTTGCTTGCCATTATCACAACAAATCATCTTTATTTTCTACAAAACATTATCAATATGTAATGTTTGGTCGTCAGCATGTAATACATTGTTTGAGATCACAAATGTGCAGTCTGAAAAACTAGCACATTTTGTAGGTGAATATTTGGGGAGTTCAGGGCAAGTTGAAGCCCTGGATCCCTTTCCTGTGCCTATAAAAGTATCCATAAGTAATGTGAGATATTAACAAGGACAAACATACCAAATAAGGAAGAAACAAGCAAGCATAAAGACACATGTATGTCATGCAAGTTGTGTCTATGTTTTGCAAATTGCAAAGGATAAGGATATATACATTGTCAGTGGTGGATCCAGAGGGGGGGGTTCCGGGGGTTGGAACCCCCCCCCCTTTTTTCTTGATGATCAATGCATTTGAATGGAGACATATAGTTGGAACCCCCCTTTATCCTCGGTTGGGAACCCCCCCTTTTAAAAATGGCTGGATCCGCCCCTGATTGTACTACACAATCATGACAATGTAAAGAAAGTAAAGGAATCCTGCATTTATTATCACATGATAAAAAAGCTAACAAGTTCATCAGAACTCAGCAGTCTATACCATAAAAAGGAAGACATACAATATATGACACTTATAATAGCAGAAGAAAAAACAATTAAAAGACGTAATAAAAAATTGTGATCACATGCGAAAAACCCCATTGAATTTTCAAAAGTGGGCAGCAGGTATGAGTTCTTATAGCCCAATCTCTTCAGTGTTTAGTGACCTGTTGATTGTCTCTTCTTTTTTGTCGAGCCTTCGACTTTTGTCGAAAAAGCGAGACATAGCGATCCTACATTCCGTCGGCGTCGGCGTCCACAAATATTCACTCTGTGGTTAAAGTTTTTGAAATTTTAATAACTTTCTTAAACTATCCTGGATTTCTACCAAACTTGGACAGAAGCTTGTTTATGATCATGAGATTATATTCAAAAGTAAATTTTGTAAAAAAAAAAATTCCATTTTTTCCGTTTTTACTGATAAATGGATTTAGTTTTTCTGCCAGGAAACATTACATTCACTCTGTGGTTAAAGTTTTTGAAATTTTAATAACTTTCTTAAACTAACCTGGATTTCTACCAAACTTGGAAAGAAGCTTGTTTATGATCATAAGATAGTATCCAGAAGTAAATTTTGTAAAAAAAAAATTCCATTTTTTTCGTATTTTACTTGTAAATGGACTTAAGTTTTTCTGCCAGTTAACATTACATTCACTCTGTGGTTAAAGTTTTTAAAACATTTATTAGATTCATAAATTATCCTGGATTTTTACTAAACTTGGACAGAAGCTACTTACAATCAAAGTATAAGGAAGCAGGACAAATCGCCCCACTGGAAAATCGCCCCACACCTAATCGCCCCACTTTTTCACCAACTCGCCCCACTTTTTAAAAAATCGCCCCAACTGGTTTACCAACTCGCCCCACTTTTTAAAAAATCGCCCCACTTTTGAAAAGGGTTAAATCCCGTTAATATTACTCCTGCCAACTCGCCCCACTTAACGTACAACGTAAAGGTAAACCCTTTTATTTTAAGACTTAAAATAGTAAGTTTCTGTGACAAATTATCCCCAGGATAAAATATCACAGAGGAAGAAATAAACCGTTACAATATAATGTTATTGAGAATAAGAAATCTACAGAAAAATAAGCAGATTGCTATAATTGCCAATGAGACAAGTATCCATCAGAAACCAATATGATAACATTTAAATTCCAATTTATATTAAGCACTCCTAATGTAGTTGAATGTTAAAATGTCATGCAGGAAAAAAACGTCACATAAATGCTGATGCTACCTTCTTTCTGTTTTATTTCAACCAAAAGAAAAGAACCAAAAAAAAAAGATGCATTTCTAACGTTTTCATAAGAGGGCAGAATTGGAAGGCCTACACTCATTACAGTTTAATCATTTTATTCATAAGTGGGGCTAGTTGGTAGCCATTAATTCTATTCATACTTTTATTTATCAGTTGGGTACGTTGGCAGACATAAATTCAACGGTATTACTTCCTTTTTCATAAGTGTAGAGAGTTGGCATGACTCAATATTAGGATTTTCCTATTTTTCATAAGTGGGGCGAGTTGGGATAACTCAATTCATCAGAATTTTTCTATTTTTCACGTGGGGCGAGTTGACATTCACGTCACCGAAATACTGGTACTCACTTCTTACTGCTTTATTTAAACAAAAACAAAAAGAAAAGAATTACAAAAGATGTTTATCTAAGGTTTTCATAGGTATTGATTTTATTTATAAGTGGCAGGAACATATACAACGGGATAGCATCTTTTTCCATAAGTGGGGCGAGTTGGCATTACTAAATTCATCGTGGTTTATATATTTGTCATGAGTGGGGCGAGTTGGCAGACCTTATTTCAGCGGGATTTTAACCCTTTACATGAGTGGGGCATGTTATCCAACCTATTTTCAATGGGATTTTACCCTTTTCATAAGTGGGGCGAGTTGGTAAACAAGAGTGGGGCGATTTGGTGAAAAAGTGGGGCGATTTGCCAGTGGGGCGATTTGTCATGGATTCAAAATATAATATAGAGAGGAATATTTTTATTTTTTTTTCTCATTTTTGTTGAGCCTGCGATTAACAGCAAAAGTAGGCGAGACACTGGGTTCCGTGGAACCCTTACGAATTTTTTCTTTTGGTTATGACTTTTCATCAGTTTTCTTTGTCCTATAATGGTTATGTTGTTTTTTTTATTTTCTCATATGTATCTTCTTCCCCCTTTTCATATATACATGTACATTGTTTGTAGATAAGCAGGTTTAGACTGATAGGCTTAAAGATGGGATTAAACTAATAGCTAAAGACTGTTGTTATAGTAAAGGTTATTTGAACCATCACCGTATGGTGTCTGTATTTTGAGGCTTTAAAAAGCAAAAGTATCAACGAATCAATACCATCAAAAGTCAGCGATACTTACTGTCGTTAGTACACTCAACTATCTGTGTTATATTGTTTAAAAAATTGCTAGAAATAAATCATTAATTTGAACTCTGATAATCTTACGTTACCCTTGATAACCACGCGATCAATGTAAAGAAAAATATCTAAAATCGAACAAAAAAGGGTCGTGGCCGCATTACCGTAATCAGCTGTTTGATTACCGTGCAAGACCGACAGGGAAATTGAATCTGCCAAGGAAACATGGAACTTTGTGCTTTAATTTGTTACTGTGGCATTGCATGGCTTTGTCTTACCTGAAATGGGGGCGATTTGTAGTGTTTACGTAGGAGAACTTTATCCGTTCCATCGCCATATTTATTTATCGATGATAGACGGAGAGTGACGTAAATAGCCGAATCTGATAATAGTTCTAAATACCAAAAAGAACAACGTACCCACTCGATGTTCTTAGCCTGTATCAATTTTTTTTTATATTGCAATTACATACTTGATATTTGACCATGAGGACAAGAAGAGACATATATACACATGTGTATATATGTCTCTGGGACAAGCAAGTAATCAAATAAGGATAAAAAATAACCACAAAAGTATAATTCTAGATTATTACATCTTCCTTTTTTTAAGTAATAGAAAAAAGTTAGCACAAAAGATCACTTAATACACAACAATAATAAATATTTTAGACTAGGCATGGTTTACAAAACAAAGACATAACATTAACTCTGCTAAGCTCTTAACTGACACATGAGGCACAACAATACAAACAAACATGCAATAAGTTCGATAAAAACACGAATATACGTTTTCCTTTTTTTATTTGGTGTTTAAACCTAGAACTTTATAATATAGAACGTCTGGACAAGATTATGTGTTACAGTAAGTTCAGGTCTAGATAATAGCCATAAGTCCATCGGATCGTTATGAAAAAACGAATCAGTACACCGTGGCGATAAATAAATTAGATATGCGTCTAAAAAGTGTACAACAACAAGAGGAAAAAAATACAAATATCAATGAATATTTCGGATAACAGATATCCTTCATCAGTATGATATTAAACTGAGTCTTATTAATCTATGCTAATTTTCACCAAAATCTTGAACGTTATCATACAACTTCACAACCGAAATTAAGCTTGTAGAAAACTTGTATACAGTAATTAAGGTTCTAGATCATGTTTTATATTCTCTGGTAATGCTTTGTCAGTAAGCAGACATAATTGGAACGATGAGCTAGGTATTGAAGCAGAAAGTTTGAACAAGATAAGGTCTTTTCGCACTCTCCTGCATGGTCTCAGTTCCAATGCCTGAAAAAATAACCCACCCGAATCGTATATACCCTGTCTTAATTAAGGGTGATTATAATATGAAAAGAATAGAATAATTTGCTCCATAAGGCGTCATCTAATGCTGTAGTGACTCTTGGGATATTGTATGACCGAGTTAAGTTCTCAGTCAAGACATGCAGTCATGTCAGCTTAGACGGGAGGCTATGGATCTAGACGACTGTAATTGATCAGCTCAGTGCAACATTATACCAGTCTTATCTATATTACACACTTTTACACATACTGTCATAAAATGCCCGACAACTCCGGCCGGAGCACCACAAAATACAGAAACAAAGCAAACATTGAGACAACGACGGGGCACACCGGGATACATGTAAGATACCGTGGTAAAAAAACGCGATGACCAATGCAAACAATTCAAAAGACAACGTAGCAGTAGAGACGTGTATATTGAATTCATTGTAATATATATGTCTCTGGTAGCAGCAGAAATTTAATAAATAAGTGGCACACCTGTGCATGTATCGGTCACCTTGTAAAAAATCGCCAGTTTGATAATTTGGACTTTTAAATGCAAATTCTATAGTTACTCTTAGTGATGCTGGTTATTTTTGCAATTTACGTGTTTTACCTAGCTCATACAGGTTTTTTTAAGATAAGGGAGATACCATTTGATTTTTATGGGGGGGGGGGGGGGGGGGGGTGGCTAGGATGAAATTTGAAATAATAGGCAGGACAGGATTTTTGTGTTAAAAAAAAAGGCAGGACGAGCAACTTGGCAAAAAAAAAAAGGCAGGATGACAATTATGTAAAAAAAGGCAGGACCGAATAGAGTGTAAAAATAAAAAGGCTGAACAGAGATTACAACTAAAAAAAAATGCAAGTCAAAATTTTTCATTCTAGCCCCCCCCCCCCCCCCCCCCCCCCCCCCCCCCCCCTCTAAAAATCAAATGGTAGCTCCCTAACAGCCAAAACTACAACAGTATTATTCCCCTGCATGTTGATTTTGATAGCGAAATCAACATTTGATTGGTTTGAAACTATCCCACGTGACGTCAAACAAAACTTCATATTCCCTTCGGAGTATCATATTCCCCTCTGAACGTCGGAACTGCCTTGTGCGACGTTACCCGCGTTAATGTTTTAAAACGTTTTGATCGTTTTTTTAAGAATAGTACAGTAATTTCGTTTTTTAAAGATTATTTCAAATCTAAAAACAAACAAAATGAATAAATAATTAACTTTTAATCGGTACTGATTATCATTGTGTACGTTGTGTTTAGTTATAAAAAAAAAAACGGATAAGAAAACAATTATGTAAGTTAATATCTTATGTTCAGAAGAAAAAAAAGTATAGGCAGTGGAATAAAACATTCATTTTCCTTTGCTGAGGGAGATATGAAGATTTGTTCACCCTCGAAAAGTCATATTTCCCTCGGGCGATGCCCTCGTGAAATATAATTTTTCTTGGGTGAACAAATCTTCATATCTCCCTCAGGCGCGGGAAATAAATGTATAATAATCAACATTTCAGTGGCAGTAACCCTAAAAGGGGTTGTCAAATTTCCAGAGTAGATAGATCTTGTCATGTTGATTATTTCGCAGTTTACACTTTTATCCTTGCTCACATATCACAAAACAGCAAAAAAATGCGTGAAAGATTTTTTATCTCATCTGTAAAAAAAAATACTTAATATGTGACGTCCCCAGAAAATGTCACACCTCTTTGAAGTAAGATTATGTAAACAATTTCCAATACCCGTATATAATTCAAATAAGATAATCCTATGTAGGCAGAGGTGGCCAAACGTCGACTCTGCTTATTACAATTGGCGATGATTGACAATTAATGACGTGTGCCTAGTGAAATTTAACAACAATTTTTATTTATTTCTAATACAAGAGATATGTATATACAATCAGAGTTTTGTGTGTCATGGAGCTGTTGAGTTTGTTCCATTGGTGTACATGCCTGTTTCTCTTGCTCCTGTTCACACTCAGGGTTGTCAAATTTCAGAGTGAAAACGACATTAGTCAAAGAGTTTTGTGTGTCATTGAGTTTGTTCCATTGATGTACATGCATGCTTCTTTTGTTCCTATTCACACTGAGTTAAGCTCAAAGTGAACATGACCTTATTCAAAGAGTTATGTGTGCATTCATTGAGTTTGTTCCATTGATGAACATGCCCATTATTCACACTGAGTTACGCCCATGCAGTGAACACAGCCTTAGCGAAAGAGCTAGTTTTTGTTACATTGATACACATACCTGTTCGTCTTGTTCATATTCACACCGAGTTAAGCTCAGAGTGAAAACGGCCTTAGTCAAAGAGTTTTGTGTGTCATTGAGTTTATTCCGTTGATGTACATGTCTGTATATCTTGCTCATATTCACACTGAGTTAAGCTCATGCAGTGAACACAGCCCTTAGTGAAAGAGCTAGTTTTGTTACATTGATACACATACCTGTTTGTCTTGTTCATATTCACACCGAGTTAAGCTCAGAGTGAAAACGGCCCTTAGTCAAAGAGTTAGTTTTGTTACATTGATGTACATGCCTGTTCTCTTGCTCATATTCACACTGAGTAAGTTCAATGTGAACACCACCTTAGTCAAAGAGTTTTGTGTATCATTGAGGTTGTTACATCGATGTACATGCCTGTTTCTTGCTCATATTTACACCGAGTTAAGCTCAGAGTGAAAACGGCCTTAGTCAAAGAGTTTTGTATGTCATTGAAATTGTTCCATTGATGTACAGGCCTGTTTCTCTTGCTCATATTCCCACTAAGTTAGGTTCAATGTGAATACAACATTAGTCAAAGAGTTTTGTGTGCCATTGAGTTTGTTCCATTGAGGTACATTTACCGTTTTCTCTCTTGCTCATTTTCCGACGGAGTTAATCTCAGTGAGAACACAGCCTTAGTCAAAGGGCTAGTTTTTTTACATTGATACACATGCCTGTTTGTCTTGTTCATATCCACACTGAGTCAAGCTCAGAGTGAAAACGGCCTTAGTCAAAGAGTTTTATGTGTCATTGAGTTTATTCCATTGATGTACATGTCTGTATATCTTGCTCATATCACACTGAGTTAAGCCCATGCAGTGAACACAGCCTTAGTCAAAGAGTTAGTTTTGTTACATTGCTGTACATGCATGTTTCTCTTGCTCATATTCACACTGAGATAAGCTCAGAGTGAAAACAGCATTAGTCAAAGAGTTAGTTTTGTTACATTGATGTACATGTCTGTATATCTTGCTCATATTCACACTGAGATAAGCTCAGAGTGAAAACAGCATTAGTCAAAGAGTTAGTTTTGTTACATTACTGTACATGTATGTTTGTCTTGTTCATATTCACACTGAGATAAGCTCAGAGTGAAAACGGCCTTAGTTAAAGAGTTTTGTGTGTCATTGAATTTGTTCCATTGATGTACATGCCTGTTTCTCTTGTTCATATTCCAATTGATTTAAGCTCAGTGAACACAGCCTTAGTCAAAGAGTTTTTTGTTGTTGAGTTTGTTCCATTGATGTACAGGCCTGTTTCTCTTGTTCATATTACAAATGAGGTTAACTCAATGTGAACTAGACCCTAGTCTAAGAGTTCTGTGTATGAGAACACAATGAAGTCTTGAATTTATTGTAAGGAGCAAGTTCCCATGTTTAATGGTGAAAATATCTAGTACCTGTTATGAAAAAGATGGATAATGTTTAGTATATTGATATGCCCCTGTATCTATATAACTTTATTCAGTTCTGCTACTGAAATCATTATCCACACACCATAAGGCCAAATAAACAGGATTACATCTATGATTACATAATCCTAAGTTAATGCTTTGATAAAAATTCGTAAGGGTTCCGTGGAACCCAGTGTCTCGCCTACTTTTGCTGTTAATCGCAGACTCAACAAAAATGAGGAAAAAAAATAATAAAAATATTCCTCTCTATACTATCTTTTGATTGTAAGTAGCTTCTGTCCAAGTTTGGTAAAAATTCAGGATAGTTTATGAATCTAATAAATGTTTTAAAAACTTAAACTGCAGACTGTATGTAATGTTAACTGGAAGAAAAACTAAGTCCATTTATAAGTAAAATATGGAAAAAATGGAATTAAATTTTAACAAAATTTCCTTCTAGATACTAGCTTTTAATCATAAACAAGCTTCTGTCCAAGTTTGGTACAAATCCAGGATAGTTTAAGAAAGTTATTGAAATTTCAAAAACTTTAACCACAGAGTGAATGTTATGTTTCCTGGCAGAAAAACTAAGTCAATTTATAAGTAAAATACGGAAAAAATGGAATTTTTTTTTACAAAATTTACTTTTGAATATTATCTTATGATCATACACAAGCTTCTGTCCAAGTTTGGTAGAAATCCAGGATAGTTTAAGAAAGTTATTAAAATTTCAAAAACTTTAACCACAGAGTGAATATTTGTGGACGCCGCCAACGACGGAATGTAGGAACGCTATGTCTAGCTTTTTCGACAAAAGTCGAAGGCTCGACAAAAATATATTAAGTCCAACCATAAATAATTTAAAGCAAGATTTTTTTTATTTTGCAGCATACATGGTCATGGCTATCAAGTCCTCAAAGAAATAGAATTACCAATAGTTCCATACGAGGTACAAGGTTACAACTCCCTCAGACAAAGTTGACCTTAGATGGATTTTGCATTTTTGGTTATTCTTTTAAGGTACCTATTTGTCATATAGCTGCTCAAGTATTCCAACTTCCTTGGCTTTCATTTTTTTTAGTGTTCCTGATGGAGGTAAATCCAGAAAGTATTTCTGATGCAACAAATATACAAACTTATTTTTATTCATAAAGTACATTTCACCAAATAAATGAGATATGAGGAAACGGCAACAAGACAGAAACCAACAAATCATGGCAACCAAAAAATTCATTTCTTAAAATCTAATTTAAAACAAGATGAAACCAAACTATTTTTACCGAAAGTTGAGGAGTGATAGATCTGAAATGCTCACATAAAGCTTTGAAAATGTGACAACAATTTCATGAGTTGGACAGAGGTAAAACAGTTTACCCCTAATCCCTCAGGGCTCAGGGTATAATCTAGCTAAATTCCACTGTTTATACTATAAATCAGGACAAGGTCTGCAAACAAATTTCCTGATGATATAGGATTAATAACAAATACAAATTCACATTTGTGTCATTTAATAATGAACATGAAGTATATAATTTGGCCTATATTGTATTTAAAGACCAATACAAATAAATTCTTAAAATTCAATGAATTTTACAAATTGGTTTATATACTCAACTTTGTACTTTGTAACTTGTTGCAAATTTACAAAAATAATGAGCACATTTCATATATAATTTGTATACAATGCTTATCAATTGTAGAACTAATTTAATGTGGTCTTAACCAATGGCAAACAAACAATTAAGCATCAACACAACCGTTGTCATGGTGATGAAAACAAAATAATAATAATAATAATGCATATTTTTGTCAAATATAAAATTTTCAGTCTCATTGCACATGGTTCTCGTACATTTCATATTTACGCAATATCAATAAATACTTTTGAACACAGAAAAATAATTACCAAGGCAACCATGGTTCAAATCAATGGAAAACAAATAATACAACAGAGATTTTTGCATTTAACGGAAACTGATTTGATGGGTGGAGCTGAAACAGACTACAGTAAAGTTCCCTGACATAAATCATACATTTAATGTATCGATAAAGCATAAAAAGCTATGAAATGACAGAGAAATACCGACTGGAGAGAATTTTGATTATAGTATTTATATGAAACTCTCATATCTGAATCCATGGTTACCTCACTTGATATAAACTGGTTACCTTCCACATGTGCAAATAAGGAGATCCAGTTTTAACAAAACAGATCACAGAAACTGGAATGATATAAATAGCCTCACAAACAATGTACATTTAACTAAAGCAAATCATTTCTACAAATTTACACTTGGGTGTGATTCTCTTATAAAAATCTCAAATCTAAATCTGTTTTTTTCCCTGTATAAACAGTCAGATATTTATAAAAACTCAGACTAGAAATTCTTCAAGAAATCGTGCCTAGTTTCATATTCTATTTGTCCATTTAACAGAAGGATTTTCTATTTTGTTGGCCAGTTTATTGTATAGACATTTATTACCAACTAAATCAGGGCTAGACCATACAAGAGATCTATACTAATGAGATGTGACAGGCCATGCTTAAATTTTAGTATTGTCAAAAACAAGATCTAATGACTGGTTCAAATATAGCTTGAAAATAGAACACTGAATATACTATAGCCATATTTCACAATAAAATCATGCAACAAAATAATGGCCATGTTCTGATTACCATGAGCTAAAAAAAAATCTAAGTCTCTGTCTACAAAAAAAAAGTATGAGAAAAGTACTCACAAGTCTTGAAAATTTCAGTATAATAAAAAATATGAGTTATTGTAGAATCTAATGTCCAAAGAGCCCCTGTTTGTGATTGTTAATGTGATTTATAGACTTCCAAATTATTAGCAAATTAACCTTTTTTCCATGGTAAAATAAAAACTGCAATTGGGTATTACAAACAAAAATATTTGTGCAATTGTTTTAAATGAAAAAAATTAAATAAATCACGTAGAGATGCTGTTTAAGCACCAGTCTTAATTAATTCAATACAAAATAAAATAAAGTGTTCCATCACAGTTCCATATTTAACCAAAATTTAATGATTTTTCAGAGTGTTATGGTGTACATGCCCAAAAAATTTCCAAATTTGAAATTTGCAAAATGATCAGTTCCAAAGAAACCTCTTAATTATTTTCATATTTCTGAAAGCTTTTAAACATGGCCACCAACTGCTTTAGATTTTTGATTCACCCATGATACTTATTATATAACTATATTTGATGTAATATGCATCAGTGCTTTGAAAATCTGAAAATCTTTCAGTTCATGAATATTCTAATTCTTTGACAAGCTATATTTAACCACTATGATCTAAAAACCAGTCATTATTAAAGAGTAATAAAGTGATATCCAGTGTATGGTATCACAAAGTTACTGTTTAGCACACTATGTCCTAGCACCATATTTACAAACTTGTTCACATGAAAAAAAATTAAATAGCACACTGGTAGTTTACTGAGGGTCAACATATTATAGCACTGATGTAATTTATATGTCGTTGCATAGAAAAGCAAGTGGTGGTACAAAATCAACCTTAAGCTTACTGTCAAAGTTGTCAACTCTTCAGATATTGTTGGAAGCCTCCAAATATTTATTCAGAAAATTTGAAAATCCATTCCCGCCCCCTGATTATCATTCCCATTATAGGGAAAGCAATTTTGTAGCTCTTGAGAACAATCTGCGTATTTCATCTTTACTTCTTTATAAGTTGTTGTTTGTCTTATAAAATTGATCAAATTATTGTAAAACTTTGTGTTTATTTACACAATATAGAGTGCATATGCTATTTTAACATATGGTTTAGCTTACTAACTAATAATTATTTTCATTTTATTATAAATCTTTCCTTTACATCAAAAAATTATGAGGATCTATGACAAAATTTTCTTCAGAAGGGGATCTCCTTGAAGTTTGAAAAGTTAAATATAGACACTGACAGGTCCTCAGAATGAACAGCTGAAATTTCTGTAAAAAAATTCAAAACTTTCTTCTTCTCTAAAACTGAGGGTCTGTTGAGCCTATAATTGTAAAACATATAATTAGGGGAAAGGGGGGAGGGGGGGGGGGGGGGGCAGATAGTTTGGTTATAAAATAGACTATCTGTAAGCCATGGCATTATTATATAAATTATTTTAGTTTTAATACAGAGTATTGTTATAAGACAAAGTATACAATTACAAACAATAATAGCAATTGTAAATTTAAAGCACTTCACATACAAATTGTTGCATCACTAAGGCAAATGACAATGAGACCCAATTACCCTTATCTAAAATACCTTCATCAGATTTGTAGCTATAAATTGTAAAGGCTTCTGGGTAAAAAAAATGTATACCATTGAACCATGATTATACATATCAACAATGACAGCATTGAATGCATTGGATTATTTTATTTTGGTAGATTTACAATGATATTACCCATGATCCTTCACATTCTGTAACAACCAATCGTTTGCAGTAACAAATGATTTAAATCCTAACCAATGGAATCCCTTGCATATATCAAATGCTTTATTGCTATCAAATTGTTGTCTTCATGAAAAAGATAAAAAAATTCAAGTACTATGAGGAAAAAAATTAATGAGATTTCAACAACCATGAAAAACTACAGAAAAGTGTTGTCTTGCAAAAGGATTTTACAATACAAAATATCTTGTGACACCAAACCACCTTAGAGAAGGCAGTTGGCATCATATTTATTATATTGTCAAAATATTGAATTGCATAAAAATTTGAACCTTTGTACTTTTGTCTGTTATTCAGCTGATATAAACCCAGTGATACATGGAGTGAAAATGAGGAGGATGTGACCATTAAATCATTTGACTGCAGACTTGAGAAGATGGTTGTGAACAATGATAACAATAATAAATACATTAATGATAAACAATCTGTTAATTATGTCCATTTTTTGGCATTTTCACAATTTGATTTCCATTCAAAAATAAATTACTATAAATATGATATATATATTATATTAATTCAGAGATCAAAATAAATATACTATTCATCTATTTATTTTAAACTTCATTGTGTCTCCTATTTGATATCAAGTTTTGTCATGACACATTATATACTGTAGATTTAATGACGAGACAAAACAGCTTGTTTAATGGTACATGTAGTTTGTGTAAATAAGAAGCAACAGCTGATGTTTCAAAGGTGTCGATCAAATTAGAATATACAGACTAAGAGTATTAACCTGAGGCCATAGCATGAACTCCAAACATAACCAGAGTGGATATTGTTGATAGGGTGAGCACTTGCTGCTCCTGCAGAGTGGAATTTAATTTGAACAGGCAAAATTACCTCCCCCATTTCCTGAACTTGTACTTTTGGCTAAAAACTGGGGCGCTTCCTCCTAGGGATGCAGACCTTTGCTATTCTTCTACTATTCTAAGTACTACTTAACGGTTTTGATTAATCAAACTTTAACAAAAATAAATATCTGGTTATCTGCAATTAATGTTTGCAAAAATTAACATAACACCATAGGTTTCTGTATTTCTGTTATTTAAATCTTCAGAAAATATATATATAGATAGAATATTCAATCAAAATTAACTAAGAGACCCTAAGTGTCTGAGCGAGGGCAGGAAGGCAAAATAAAGTTAAGAACATGATTTTGAAATACAAGGATGCAAGGTTTTAGCATTTATGAAAGTTATATTATACCAAATGTCAATGGTTTCTCATAAGCCTTTATTATCTGAAGAACCAAATTAGAATTTTATTTAACCAGTTGCAAATAGTCTATCACAAGTATTTATAGTCTGAAGGACCAAATAAGAATTTTATTATACCAAATATCAACGGTTTATCAGAAGTATCTATTATCAGAAGAACCAAATTAGAATTTGATTGTAACAATTGTTAATAGTCTATCACAAGTATTTATACTCTAAAGGACCAAATAAGAATTTGATTATACCAAATATCAATGGTCTATCATAAGTATTCATTCTAAAAGAAGAAATGATATTTTTACAGTAAGTTGTTGATGACAAACACCATCAAATATTAACCATCCATGCCATGCTTGTAGGAAGCAGGTTTTTTTTAAAAAAAATACAGAAAAGGATTGTTATGAGATACCAATTACACCTTAACATAACTTAATTGTTGCAATGATGAAAATTTGAAGACATTTTTCAGACATTAATCCGTCAACTTGGACTTTGATTTTTTTTAAATTTATCTTGAATTTTAAGCCATATTATTATAACACTTAACAGCATTGTCTCTTGTTCAATGATCAACAGAATGTTTTAAAACATTGTGAAAGTTGTGAAAGTAAAGCATCTTATTAACACATACTAGAATTTTCAAATAGATAAAATCTTGTGTTTTGTTTATTGGGTATTTTTATGTGGAATCAAGTAGCTAAATTATTAAAATTAATAGGATAATTAACTAATAATAGGAATATCATTCAACAAAATTTGTATGTACCCTTTTTCTAATTTTTGCAAAAATGAACCACTTATTTCAAAATCACTACTACATGAATAGGACTAACATACAAATGTGGAACAAAATACACAATTCTTAAATAATGCATAAACTAATTCTATATACAAAATTTTTAATAAATATATAAATATTGAAACAATAAATATAATTTTTTGACATATTTCGGCAAACACCACCGGCTTTAAAAAAACAAAGGGAAATTCTTCTTGCATGTTCTGAAGTATGGGCTACAGATTGAAGTATGGGCTACAGACTGAAGTATGGGCTACAGATTGACTAAACTTTACTGATTCAGAATCGGATTCATTCCAAGATATATTTGCTAAATCATAACCAATGATGTAACTGTATTCTAATTTTGGTGTACCAACAATAAAGATACCCATAAGCCTTTCGATTCTGACCAATGAATAACAAACAAAACTGTTAATCTTAATGGCAGCTAAAGTACCAGATTGTCATTCCATCTGAAACAAGTCATTTTGATATTTATTACAAACGAATAAAATTCACAACCATGATGCAGTTCTGCTTTACACTTGGTGATCTTGAATGTGTATGATTTACACATAGCTGGACTTTAAAAGAGTACATGCCACAACGAATTGAGAAAAAAAAAACTCCATTTGAAGCATTCCTAGAATTTTGATTTTGTAGTAGATGAAAATTTAGTGTAAAAATGACAGCTGCTAATTCGATATAGGTAAATTCCAGCAAAATTTTACCTGTTTTTAGTATGTGCATGGCGATATGGAAATTTCATTTAAAAAATACTGGTAATACGTGTATCTAGTTTAGCTGATATCTTTATATATATAAAACTTGCAGCCTAAAATTATTCATACATTCATTCTAACTTTTATGAGAATAGGAAAATATAGAAGAATTACCCTTTGTCCCCATTCTATCACAATGGCTATAAACACAACCAACCATCATGCCTTGATTATTCCCCCTGATAGCACTCTCTATTAATATACAGAAAACAACTTTGGCATTGTTCTTCATTAATTACATAAAATAACACAACTTGATAAAAGAATCCTTTTTGTTGTATCTTTGTTTACAATCACTAATGACTAGTAATAACCATGGTCAAGATATATTGCTGTAGTAACAACAACTTTTATTGCCGTAGTGACATGAATGTTTCGTGTGGAATGCACTTTACTTGTCATGCTCCATTGTTAAGTACTCCAAGGTCAAGGTCTACTGAGATCTATCATCAAATGACAAACTGAGATTTTGAAATGCCATGGAAATGTAAGATTCACAATTTATTTTTTTAATTTATTGAGAAATTCTTCATGACACAGTGGAACAGAGGCCACTGATATTAAACTGGAATCTTAAAACTGAACTTAGCAATGGAAGAACAATTTAGCACTTTAAGCTTAAACCATAAACTGTTATTTAGTGTATTTCAAAAACTAACTTTCAAATGTAGTAAGCATAACATGTTAAACAACAAATACTTTGGAGGAATGTATGAAATTTGTGGCAATTAAAAGTAACCTAAAATACAGTTTATCTCAAATTTAACTTTTATCTTAGTTCACCTTTTTAAAAGAAAAGTCATGGTAAAAGAATTAATACCAAAAAATACTTTACAAATTAACATTTCAGATATGATTAAGAAAATAAACATATTTTAACTACAAACATTCAACTTTCTACAATATGAGACCAAGATGTCTTAATTCTTATAAAACAAAATAAACAAACTAAAAAGGCTTTATAGAACTGATTAAAAAAAGATCCTCTAAGATCTGACAACAGGGCACCAAAATCTGATTAAGGTCTTCCAGAAGACATTTATGGTAAGACTGTTGAGGGAAGACCTTGAGAATGCCATGGTTTTATCACAAAGGTTGTCAGCCAATAGCTGCCATACTGTTAAGATTTGGATCACTGTCACGTCTCTTTGATCTTTTGAAGACCAGTTTGTACATAATATACCAGATCTGGCACAGAAGAATGTAAAGTCAGAGATCCACACTGATCGTCAATATCACCATAAAATTCTGAAACTAGAAAAAAATAAACTGTTTGTAAAATAAAATTTGTGACACTTTGTGAATCAAAAATATTTCAAGTGTGAATGGTATATTTTGCTTGAATATATTTTTCTTGTAAACTGTATGCATTTTATTATTGAAGTTGTAGCACAAAATTATGCAGTCATGTATTTTGGCACTTGTTCCGGCTGTTACTCATTGGAATCCACAACATCTAATATTATGTTTTAAGAGGTCACGATTTCTGTACGACTGTTATATAATAAGTTATCTATAGTCATTCTGTTTTATACAAGATCTAGTAGTATTTTCTATGTAGACGTTAATTGTTATGGACGATTATTTAGAAGTTATGCCTTATCTATGCCTATCAACCCAATTTGTAGACTTTAATTGTCATAAAAGATTATATAGAAGTTATGCCTTATCTATGCCTATCAACCTAACTGTCTCTTTATATCTTTTATTTGTTGATTGACTGCATAAGAAAACAATTAAAGAGAGAAGGAGTTTCAAAATATTTTACAACATTATTTGAGAGTATTTTTTTTTAAATATGGTTGCCGGGGGGAAATGTAATGCATAACCTTAGAAAAAGTCAGAAAGGTTGAGAGACAAACCCTTAAGCAACCAATGAATTTCCATGCCAATATTTTTTTACCTTTATGATCACTATATACAGATTCTGCTTGATCCCAGAATTCATGGCACTGGACGACATAATTAACTATACTATGATACTGTTGAGTAATGGAATGTATCCGCTGAGGAACTGCGACCGTTCCTGGTGATGACATGGTTGGTTGAGTGGAAATGTTCCCGTTCGGAAGTTTGGAAGGCGTATAACCACTATCCTGTAAAAGTAACATAACATAATATAGCCAAGCTGAAGATAATTTGATTAAAAGATGGTTGTTTGCCTCTCTGCACAGTTGACATAGAGATTAATGAAATAATATTTATTACAGAATAAACAATACACAGATGTCAGCCTTGCAGCAGTCACATGACTAGAAATATGAAATATATAATCAATATGAAATTTACAACATAAAACATTCTTAAGTCATATTGTTATGTATTAACATTCTATTATTATATCAAATTTGACATCTACATATCTCTATACTATTTTAAGAATTTCTGTCTGTTTACATTTCCTGCTTCCTCTAAATGATTCTGATGTTAACATATTTGTAGTCTAATGGTCCTTTTCATTCAATGATTTCTGATATTAAGAAATGATATATCTACAATTCTGTTTACAAATTAGTACAGATTTTTAAAAAAAATTTAAAATGTTTTAAAAATTTAGTATGGAGATCAGTTGTCTTTACATATTCTTATGAAAAAAGAAAATATCTTAAACTGTTCTCAATTCTACAGGAGGATGAATATCCCTTGAATTTTTTTTTATTAATGAAAGAACCTTAGTGAGCGCGCTCACATACCCCACGTCCCCACATTGTCATTGGAGAAATAAAATAAGTGTCAGAAAAAAAAATTGTATCAGGAAAAAAAATTGAATCATAATTTCCTGTCAATATGCACATCTACATAGTATGTCCTTAATATCTACACAGTTTCATGAAATTCTGTTGTGTGTTTGAGAGGAGTTGCGATGACAAAAGGTTGCAGTAGTATATTGGGTAAATAAGTTCAAAGGGGCATAACTGCTGGAAAAAAATTTGAATCGTAATTTCCTGTCGATATGCACATCTACGTAGTATGTCCTTATTATCTGAAAAGGTTTCATGAAATTTGTTGTGTGGTTTGAGAGGAGTTGTGATGACAAACTGTTGCAGTAGTACATTAAAGTAAATAAGTTCAAAGGGGCTTAACTCCTAGAAAAAAAATTGAATCACAATTTCCTGTCGATATGCACAACTACATAGTATGTCCTTATTATCTAAAAAGGTTTCGTGAAATTCTGTTGGGTGGTTTGAGAGGAGTTGCGATGACAAGAAACAGGACTGACGGAGGGTAGTATATTGGGCAAATAAGTTCAAAGGGGCGTAACTCCTGGAAAAAAAATTGAATCGTAATTTCCTGTCGATATGCACATCTACGTAGTATGTCCTTATTATCTGAAAGGTTTCATGAAATTCTGTTGTGTGGTTTGAGAGGAGTTGCGATGACAAACTGTTGCAGTAGTACATTAAAGTAAATAAGTTCAAAGGGGCGTAACTCCTAGAAAAAAAATTGAATCACAATTTCCTGTCGATATGCACAACTACATAGTATGTCCTTATTATCTAAAAAGGTTTCGTGAAATTCTGTTGGGTGGTTTGAGAGGAGTTGCGATGACAAGAAACAGGACTGACGGATGGACGGACGGACGGGTCAAAAACATTATACCCTCCGCAACCCGTTGCGTGGGGTACAATTATATTTTTATAATCAATTACATAATTGAAATAATTATTTTTGGTAAAGGGGACAAATCTTTGGAGTCTGCCCTAGGGTTAAATACAAACTGATACTATTTGAAGAAGACCCATCACTGCAGCAGGGGAAGGTATCTGCAGAAGACAACGTTTTACCTGTGATCTTATAGACCCATCACTGCCAGCAGGGGAAGGAGAAGGCGACATGGGAGATGGCGTCGATCGGTTGTTCCAATGGGGGGACGGCGCATGAGCTGGTTGTTTTGATGATGAAGTCTGAAAAATAAAGCATCATTTAAACAAACATTCTGAAAATTTAGAGAAAAATGGAATTGACATATCTCAGAATTTCAAAGACATAAACAACTAAATATAAAAAATAAGCATTTTAATCTTATTTAAATCAGATATGTTATTTCATCAGTTTATTGTGCTACAGAATTTTCCTCAAAATAATATTTCGGTTTGACACATTCAATCAATACAATATTGTCTGCATAATGTTTATGTGCGATAAAAAAATTGTCATTTTAACATCTGCAAAGATAACAGCGTTTTGTGTGAAATACTATTGTGCATACCAGTTCACATTAAAGATAAAATTTGTTATATCAAGTTTGTTTTTTTAAATTTGCCATTAATACCTACAATCTAGCTCAAACTACTGTCATTATCAAGAAGAATGTACAACTAGTATCATTCCTGTTGGGTAGTTGTAATGTTGCAGAAAAGCTGTAGATACAGAGATCTTTGAAATTAGAGAAAAAAAATTCAAATTGACACTGGAGTTATGTCCCCTGGTCCATAAATTTACCTTATTGTGTTCATCGATGATTTTCTTGAACTTCAAAGCTTCGTTTTTCTTCATTTTGTACAACTTAAAACATAGTATTGACTGGATTCTATATCTGATAAAAGAAAAACAATATATCTTTGATTCTTCATTCAGAATAATTCATTATCAACAAAATCATCTGTTACATGTATTTCATCACTCTACATACAAATATCACTCAGCTTTCTCACATTCAAAAAAACAAATTGTTCATTTTCAGGTATTTTCAATTCAATTTAACAAAGGATCACATACAACTCTATATCCACAAGTGTCTTCATCCCAGATTAGACACTGAAATCCAAGAACTTAACAAAATTGTAAAATAAACTGAAAATCAACACCTAGGACTCCTTGTTCGTACTATACTTTAGCTATTAAGATCTGAACAACATTGATAGTTTGCTGAATATTTCACTTTAAATGGACAATGTCTGACAAATTTGCATTCAAAACTACACCGGAAATTTTAGTTCAGATTTTATCACTTATTTACAATCTATCAAGTATTAAGATCTGATAGACTGAATTCTGTATACTTTCGTGATTCTTTTTTTGCCATGGCATTGTAAGTTTTTCGACTTATGAGTTTGAATATCCCTTTGGTATCTATCAACTCTCTTTTAAAACCTAAAATTTTCAACGCATATATCATTTGTCAAGAACATACTTTCAATGGAGGTTTTAAGGAATCTGCCATTGCTAATAGAATAAACAGCTGCGCCATGAGCGCATGATACGCCCGTCGTCTTGTGTGTGAATTTTTATGCAATAAGCATAAATAGTTTCTGACATACGGCGTGACATGCGAAAACCCCCTTTTTTTTTTTTACAAAAAACTCAATATCTCTAAAATAAAATTTTGTATTAAAACCAAAAAGTATACAGATCTTTAGATTAATATAACTAAGAAGTGTGTAAAATTTTAAGCAATAACCATAAATCGTTTTTGAGATACGGCGAGACATGTGAAAACCCCCCTTTTAAAAAAAAAAAAATCAATATCTCAAAAATAAAATTTTGAATCAAAACCAAAAAGTATACAGATCTTTAGATTAATATAACTAAGAAGTGTGTAAAATTTTAAGCAATAATCATAAATCGTTTTTGAGATACGGCGCGACATGTGAAAAACCCCTCCTCTTTTTTTACAAAATACTCAATAACTCAAAAATAGAATTTTGAATCATCACCAAAAAGTATACAGATCTTAAGGCTAATATAACTAAGAAGTGTGTAAAGTTTTAAGCAATAACCATAAACTGTTTTTGAGATACGGCGCGACATGTGAAAAACCTCTCCCCCTTTTTTAACAAAATACTCAATATCTCTAAAATAAAATTTTGCATCATCACCAAAAAGTATACAGATCTTAAGATTAATATAACTAAGAAGTGTGTAAAGTTTTAAGCAATAATCATAAATTGTTTTTGAAATACTACGCGACATGTGAAAAAAAACACACACCTGTTTTAGTTACTAAGTCCCGTAACTCAAAAAGTTTTAATCTTATTTTCACCAAAAAGTATACAGATCGTTTGACCATCATAAGAAACAACTATGTTAAGTTTCATGAAATTTGGATAAGTCATTCTCAAGTTACGGTGCGACATGTTTAAGCCGGACAGACAGATGGACGGACGCCGGACATTTGTATACCATAATACGTCCCGTCAAAAATTTGACGGGCGTATAAAAACTGATTTTATCTTATCTCCAGTAGTCAGCCACAGGTTCTGAACAATTTCATAAAACTAAAGTGGGCTGATCTGTTTGGGCCCTATTGGTTTTAAATGCTCTCCAACATTATACATCTTTGGCTTATCTAGATGCATTTGGTCTGAAGTATACTTGATAAAAAGTATTCCAGAAACGTGTCAGAGCACAGAAACCAGTATGGTATATAATTCCCTCCTCCCCCACATTTTTTAAAATCCAAAAATGTTAACACTTACATTAATACTGCTAGTTTTTTCTCTGTATCTGAAGTTTCAGCACTAGGCCTTATTTTACAGATATGACTACAAACAGAATAAAAACAGATTATTAATTATACATTAAAGAACACATAATATGGTAAAGATCTACATATACTCTGGATTCATTCATTTTCATGGAGACCAATTTTCGTGGATTGAGGAAAACATGTATTTTTGTGGATAATTGATTTCATGATTTTGCCAAAGTTTGCATACAAGCCAATCACAAATGTGTATTTCATTAAAACATTGTATCCCCATTTACCAGTGTCATGGAAAAAACTGAAAGTTCTTATTTCAGAGCCTGTATTTACTGTATATTTAGACAATCGCTCATAATGGAAAATTAATACATAAGATTCCTACATTTGTAGCTTATTACCTACTGTCCCATTTCTAACATTAATAAAAACATTACATCGATTTATGAATAAAAAAACTATGAATATAATAACATAAGTAAAGTTTAGATCTGACATAGTCGACTGCTTTAATAAATATACATATATCCTGTTATAAGGCAGTTGTATTTTTGTCATTAATCAGAGAAGTAACATAATCCTAATCACTTTATTGAAGAAAATCATGACTATGTGAAAGTCAACAAACTATACATTTAAATTTAGTGAATAAATAATTAATGGCAATAGTGTATCCCATTGAAGTAATGAGTTTTTAATACCTCCCATAGGAAGAGAAAATCGCCTTACTGCAAAGTTGGAAGATTGATAGATTACAAAAATGTCAAATGAACACGTTAATCCTCGGTAACAATTTTAACAGCTGAAACTTCTACAATTCTCAAATGTTTATTAACAATTCTAATACATTTCAGAAGTGTTTCAGATGCTATTATGGAAAATTTTACACTTAAAAATAATGATTTGTAAAGTATTCTTTGCCATATAAACCTTCCCAGTCAAATGGAAGCTAGAAGAGGACTAACATTATACTAGTCTATATATTAGACTACAGTATCTTATATGGTAGCGAATTATGATTTTTTTTATAATTCAGTTTCAAATCTAATGCATTCTGGGTAATATTTTCCAAAAGTGTACATCAAAACATAATTGGTTCATGATGTTCAAAAGATGAGTATCCAACCAATAGTGTAACCTCATTTTCATTTTGATAAACATACAAGACTACCCACAATTCTTAAAATTGGGAAATGGCTAGTTCCTACAGGTGACTAATTAATTTATACTATAGAGGAGTTGAGGCATTATGAAAATATGGAGATTCAACCATTCAGTAGGAATGTTCCTGACCATAACTGACCAGTTTTTTACGACTATACAAGTTACAGGTCGTCTGATCTTATGTAAAATTGTGCCAAATATTTCAGGGCAATAGCATAAACCATAATTGGTGTTGCATTGAGGAAACATAGCTGCTTAGGAACATTCTGACTGGTTAAGGTGTCCTGTATGTGGACCTAAAGACTTAAAACTGAAATGGTCCATTTAGACAAATTTTAATATGCAGGTCATTACAGCTGTCATTCTCAAGTGTATTTGTAAAGTACTTAAAAGAGAATTTCACTATACATAATCAGAATTATAATTCAATGTTGGTAAGATGCACTCGATATTCTCATCAGTATTATCCATTATAATTCTCTTGGTAAGGATTGTACTAAGAAATTGTAGCAATTTATTACATCTAAAAGTAATTTTACTATTTTTTTCCAGGAATTTTCATTTCACTAACAGACTGCAGAATAAAATCCTAGTATTTAGACGTTACAGCTTTTGCTATCTGTACAGAAAATAAATGACTTTCTACAAAACCACAAGAAAGATATAAAACTAATGTTAATTTAATGTAATTTAATCTTCTAAAACAGTAGTGCTGAATCAATATAGTGAAATATTGGTTCATAAAAATTAACAAGTCGGAAAAAAGAAATTAAAGGAAATTATTTTTAAAATAACTGTTCATCCTACACGGCTACAAATTGCCAAGTTACTAAAAAATTGCACTCTTTCAGATCAAAGGATTTTTTCTAACACATAACTAACTATATAATAAGAGTTAAATATCTCTGGTGAACTTTTTTGGACTTCTAAAGAATATGGAGTGAATGTTTAAATTAATGTTTGCTATTTTCAGAGTGTTCTCATATAAAAAAAAAAATAGTCTAGACAGATAAAGGGAATGTTTGGGTACCTACTACACAGAGAATGTTATATGGCTTTTTCAATATCACACCTGTATCAACCCAGACACCAATATAATCCCAAGAGCTATACAACTAAGTGTATAATAAACCAGTCTTGTAACAGTAAATAGGTAACGGTAATGCTTTCTATAACATTTGAATACATCTTGCCATGTAAATTAATTATCTTGACTTTCATGAGTAGATAAATAATATGATTATGAATTGTCAAGAATATATCAAATTAGGATCTTTTCACAGTAAAAAAAAATTGAAAAAATAAATTGTCCTTAAGTAGGCTAAAAAGGGCAAAAACAATATCCATGAAAATACTTGTGTTTACAGTATACTGCATCTGCACAATGCCAGGCTATTTAAACCTCTCTGATTTAATATTTTGGGGTTGGTGCAAGTTGTTGTTTCCTTCAGCATTTTTCAACAGTTGTTTTCTTTTAAACACTAGATCTGATTCTATCTCTTTTTATTTCACAACCCAGATTTGATTGTTTTACAAGATACTTACGATATTAAGTTAAATGTGTCAGAGTACATTTTATAAACATCGGTGGCCTTGCGTTCCTCTTTCTCCATGGCATATCCACACAATACAAAGGACGACATAGACTCAATATACAATAAATACATAGCAATTCTGTCAGTCTGAAAAAAAAATCTAAATAATCTAAATACCTAGAATTAAAACCGATTTCATTATCTGAAATGGATGGAAAATATTATAACTTTCTGGCAAAAGCAGAATCTATATGATTTATATAGTCTTCTGTAATAGATGCATGTCTATACAATATATCAAGCTCTCAATTGCCTAGAGAAGAAAAGTTGTGAATAAATTTAACATCAACTATCAAAGATAAATTAAAGGAGTATTACATCAATGGGATAGCAAACCAATGACCCAAATACTGTAAATTCACAAATTATTGCAAGGTTTTTATGAATGCGAATGATGCGACTGGGTGACTATCGCAATAATAAGAACTAGCATTCTGACATTGTCTGATATCTGTTACATATAGCTGTATACAGATTTTCCTGATATCGCAATAATTAATCTCGCATTTTGTCCATTTTTAAAAAATCGCAATAATAAATGCACCCAATAAATTCTGAATTTACAGTAACCAAAGCATTAGGTGTCAACCAATGACAAGGTTCCTGACTTGATACATGTACATAAACATGTAGCAGGGTTAAAATAGTTACATAGTAGACATCAACCCAACCCATTTTGTAAAGTTGGTTACAAAAAACCTGCAATTTTTACTGATAAACAAAAACATGTCTATTTAGAAATTTATTCATAAGCCTCTATGTAGTTTTTACAGGCTGTCTGAATGTGTATGGTAATTATAATTTCTCAGTTATGTAAATGGCGTTTATGTTCTAATCAACACCTATTCTGCACTACCAGATGATTTATGAGCAAAAAACCTGTCCTTCATTTATTAAACAAATGTTGCAATAGATTGCACTCAATCATCACATTTACTAAGAAGAATTGACAAAAAACAACTGACAGTATTCTTGACATTGACAGTCCAGTCCTGAAGTTAATTACAGTGTCAGATAATCAAACAAATTTAACTCTACTGATTAGTTCATTTATTAAACTTCAAAATATGTCTTCATTGTCATCAAAATTGATTGTTTACTATTAAATACTTTTATAGCAACCATTCGACATTACAACATCCGAGACCGGTTATTCTAGCTCTCGTCCTTATCTACATGTAGATTTTTTTCAAGAACAATCAATTTTTTTAATAGCTATTTAGAGAATTTAAATTAAACTGACTGATTGCAAGACAATATGAACTCTGACTTTGGTCCAGTCCCAAAATTCAGACGTAAGGCAAAACAAATTCTCTATTGTTAATAAGCTACTTCACTTGGTCCTACATTTGTATTTTTATTCTTTACAAAAGCCATTTCCAAGCTAAAAATTGCATCTTGATAATTTTCCATAATTTCTAAGCCTGTATTTTTAAAATAACTTTCATTTCCATCAAATATAGTTACTCCCTAATTTTGTTTTGCTCTTGTTACCACAAATTTCCAATAACAGGATCGGTTGTACTAGCATACTAGCAAAGTATTTTTCAATAAATGTTTTATTTCCTTCATCACTTAAGGAAATGGATAAATAAAAGATCTAGTTTTCCTAATCCCACTTTTGGATTGATGATGTCTAGTTGTTATATATCTGTACATATCTTATTGATAAATCCATTCAGAAAATATGTCTGTCATACAGGATTTCCTGGAAAATTTCCGGCACTGCACCATTTGCACTGTCCAAAACTATTACATAATATTTTTTGTATAAATCTAAATATCTCTAAACATTACATCTACTCTAACTTACAAAGTCTGGATGATGCTTTAGTCGTTTGGCAAGTTCATCTGCCTGATGCTTCAGATCTCTGGCACGAGATCGGTGAATATCACTTGATTCCAGGCTGTAATATATCAAATGGTCAAAAAATATTCCACTATTTCTCAATTCTTTAAAACTTAGCTTGAGCATGTGATATAAGCATCTAAACACAACATTATCAACAGAAAGTTAATTATGATAAATCTTAAATAAATGTGGATAGTGTCCACATGTGGACACAGATGATGCCCCCGCTTGCATATCATATAGTTATAAAGAGACTTAACTGAAGAACGGTAAAAGTGACGCTACCCAAATTTGAACTTGATCTGAGTTTTGTGGTAATAAGCATTGTGTGTAAGTCTCATAACATTTGGTTGAGGCTAACTTAAGTAGAGAACAGAAACTAAAAATTCAGCAATTTTTCTATTTGTAAACACCCATAACTCTAGAACAGTTGTGTATAAGTTTTACAACATTTGGTTGAGACAAACTAAAAAATTCAGCAATTTTTATGTTTATAAAGGGACATAACTCTAGAATGGTAAAAGTGTTGCCACCTAATTTCGTACTTAATCTGTATTATGTAGTAATAAGCATTGTGTATAAGTTTCATAACATTTGGTTGAGGCAAACTCAAGTTAGAGAACTGAAACAAAAAAATTGTACTTGATCCTTACTGAGTTTTGTGGTAATGAATATTGTGTATAGGTTTCATAATGTTTGGCTGGGGAAAACTTCAGTTACAGAATGGAAACTAAAAAAATTTGCAATCTTTCTATTTATAAAGGGGCATAACTCAATAATGGTTAAAGTGACACTACCCAAATTCAACTTGATCTGTGTTTTATCAGTGGAAGTCAATATTAAACATTGCATTGTATAAAGCATTGATTGTAGTTGATCCAACTATAATCATGGTCAAAGGAAGATAACTCCAATTTTAAAAATATATTATATAAACTTGATATTTAGAAGAAAATAAAAATTTTGCAATTTTTCCTTTTATAAAGGGGCATAACTCTAGATCGGTTAAAGTGACACCACCAAAATTCAAACTTGATCTGTGTTTTGTGGTAATAAGCATTGTGTATAAGTTTCATAACATTTGGTTGAGGCAAACTTAAGTTAGAGAACGGAAACTAAAAATTTTGCAATATTTCCTTTTATAAAGGGGCATAACTCTAGATCGGTTAAAGTGACGCCACCAAAATTCAAACTTGATCTGTGTTTTGTGGTAATAAGCATTGTGTATAAGTTTCATAACATTTGGTTGAGGCAAACTGAAGTTAGAGAACGGAAACCAATTTCGGGACGTACGTACGTACGTACGTACGTACAGACGGACAAGGGTAAAACTTAATGCCCCCTCCGCTACGGCGGGGGCATAAAAAAGTCATAGCAAATGAACTTTATTCCACAATTACTACTAACATGACTAAAGGTTCTTTTTCTTCATACTTCCACATTTGTACTGTTGTTTGTCTTTTTTCTTTATCAGTCATGGCGTTGTCAGTTATTTTTTCATTTTTTTGAGTTTGAATGTTCCTTTGGTATCCTTCGCCTCTCTTTGTGAAAATTAATCATGGATATTGGGCTAGATCATACCTTTCCTTCACCATTTAAGTGGTTTTTTTTCAGGTTACTTTTTAATTATATGCTTTTATCTATCTAAAATTATTGCCACAATATATAGCCTTTTTGTGCTGAGGTAGTAAAGAAAACACCAATCAACCAATCTATACAAAATATCATCCATAGAAAAAAATTAAAGTAGGTCAAAATGAGTATAGAACTCATAAAATCAAGTTTACATTAAGTGCCAGCTCATAAGTGGCTGTAATTGTCTGTCAAATTAAGAATGACGAAAATGGTAAAATCTTTTGTTGTCTTTGTTGAAATCAATTAAAACTTGTCAAAGGCCACAATGTGACCCATTAAGATCTTTTTTGTTAATTTGTGATTCTGGGTTGTTGTCTCATTGAAATTCATCCGATTTCTTCTTGGTACCAATATTTAATCTTATAAACCAATATCTTACGGTTCATCTGGTTTCCTGACTGGTTTGCGACTGAAAGGTTCGTGTTCACCGTCTCCTTCTCGATTGAAGATGGTTTCTACAGAGGACGGGTGAGCATCACTGTTAGCCTGGCCATTAAGGTCTTCCACCTGCAAAACAGTTAAAATTTTTGAAAAAAACTCAGAAAAAAACTTACTACAATTTTAATACTTGATTCATGTTTTGACAAGCATAAAATATGAAAACATATATACTTTATTTTTGTATGTCATTTTCTTTTATCTCCAACCACTTTAATAGTCTAGCTGTGTTCAAGACATACGGCCTTATAATTATAAATTCAATTTTTTGATATTTGTATATATTTAATTAAGATATCTGTACCATATCGATTAAAAGGAAGATGTATGTTGATTCAGTCATGAAAAAATATTAGCAGAAATGGTGAGGTCCATGTTTGAGATCATACAGATTAAAAGTAAGAATGCAGGTGCACAACTTCATGTCCTATAGAAGAATCTTTGCAAGTTTTGTGGAATTCTGTCAAGCAGTTTTAAAGTAGTTAAGGATAAAATTACAATATAAGCAGATATAGCTAAGTCCATGATTTTGGTATGGGAAACATCAATATCACTTAGATTAAATGCTTTAAATTGCAGGTGCACAATTTCATGTCTTGTTTAATAATATTTATTTGGTGGAATCATGTCAAGTTGTTTTCAGGTAGTTCTTGATTAACAAAGTTTGACACTGATGATACAAGAGGTCAGAATTGATCCCTTTGTAATGCTCATCTTTGCTTTTTACAGTGACATAAATTAGGGTACCCATTTCTTAACCAAAATAATTTTACAACAATAGCACACACATCAAGAAGCAGGTTGTCTAAGTCTGGCCTGCAGACGACACAAAAACTAGGGCAAGAAAAAGTTGTATAGTAGTTCAGCAGATTTATCATACTCATTTAGATATTCTTTATATTCAATTCACATAAGTGTTTCTTAAATGACTTATTTAATTAATGACAGAAAAATTACAATATGGAACAGATAGTTTACATAAAATTATTCTTTTTACTGGCTATGTGACCTAAACATACTCTTGACTTACAAATCAGTAAACAAAATACAAACATGACTACAATCAGGTGTGACATACAGGTAAATCAAAAGACATTTTAAAATAAATGACAAAAAAGTACATTTGGTAGAAAAATAGGTAAATGACTAACCCTTATCAATCATAATAATTGTGTAAAATGAGAAATAGAAAAAGAGAAGCAGAAATCTAGATACCAATTCCAAAATTAAGTGTCAGGGGCGGATCCAGGATTTTAGGTTAGGGGGGCACAAATTTAATTTTTTTGGAGGTAAAATTATTAAATATTCTTTATTAAGCTCAGGACAACCCATGCTTTGCAAATTTTAGGGGGGGCGCACACATGCCCGCCACGCCCCCGCCTGAATCTGCCCCTGAGTGTCTTTGATTTTAAAAGGATAGGAAAGGTTTACTCCTGGGATGCTTTGAATTAGCAACTCCTTATCCAGCCTAATTTATTTTAATACTTAGAGGAGTTATTTAAAAATGAGGGTCACATGAATCTACATTTTTCTGGTATAAAACTTGTAACTGTGAAGCTCTATCTCTTTACATATTGTTACATTGTGTGAGTATTGTGGCAGCATTCCCATGTTCTGTGTTTTATGTATATTTCATAAACCAGTTTAAACCAGACCATCATCAATGCAACTGCACACTTAAACTGTCTTTAAAAAACATAAGGAGAGTCATCAGAAATAAACATGCCTGAATTTTTTTTTTACACTATGATAATGCAAATTTGAATCATAAAAAATAAGAAGAGATGAAAGGTATTTGATACTAATGAGTTATTATGAGACATCAACCCAACAAAACAATAAAACCTAAAATCAAGGTACAGTGTTCAGCAGTAGATAACAACCAATGGCTCTCTCTGCGAGTCTATAAAAGTCATGAATACAGAGTTCCACAATTATGCTTGTCAGATACCAGAGTAAAAATTAGTTGGACAAGTAAATAAAAAAACAACACAATGGAGAGAAGTAAAATTAAGATTAACGTAAACATGTACACCACTTGAATAATGAAAAGTGTAATAACAACATGTCTATTGCCTTGAATGGAAGGTGTCAAAACTCAATTGATAAATGTAGGGCACACTGATTGACATAACATATACAAATATCATGTTAGTTTTGAAAAGATTTATTTTTTACCAGTCAAAATTATTTCAAGACGAAATTAAGAAACATGATTATGAATAAACAGAAATCAATGATTTTGCCAAGCAGAATGGTGTGATTAGAATTCTTTAGTCTCTCCTAAAAGCTATCAGATGCTGTTGTATTTTTCTGTTTACAATATCATCTGTGAAACACAAATAGTGTTGATCATCTGGAAAGTAAATTTAGGTTTTATCTTTTCATTCAATTTTATAATGCATGTTTCAATTACTCTCATTTTGATAAGGCTTGTTTAATGTTAAAATTGATGTAAAAGCCAAAACACCAAGAATTAAATACTGACAGTTTTAACTTTAACCACACATGTACAACACGATCAGGCCTTACAATAGGATAACTGTAAATAAGACATAGATCCCTTTTTTATCTTGGCTTACACTGTAGTTAAAATTATGAACCAAAGTAAGCAGCACAAAAATTTGTAATGGTTTTTCTATCCTTTTTTTCCCAAGAAAATTAACATAACTATCTACCTTTGAGACACCTATTGCCTGTAAATAGTTGGAAAGATAACTAAAATATTTTATCAAATAGAGGTTAAATTGAGCTCTTTCTTGGTGTAACCATTTTAAAAAAAGCAATCAGGATCCACCCCCTGATGGTTTATATTGGGAGTAATTGCTAACTGTTTACTTTGTTAACTTTGTCTCATTTACTGAGCCGACCATGCGAGACTTTCATGAATAGTAAAGGTTATCAAGACACCCCAGTAGTAGTTTTACTGACTGATTGTTCTTTTAAACATTAAATAGTACAAGTGTTTGTTCATTTTCTTATAATAAAAAATAACCAATGATTTTTTTTAAAAGTATTTTTTGAATCAGCGTAAAGAATACACTTGCTTTTTGCCAGTATTTTCAGTTCTTGTCAATCCCATGTTTAAATTTCTACATATACTGGGGTTCCGCAAAAACAAGGCTACATGCAAACAAACAAACTTTTTGAGGATCTAATTGCACGGCAGAACTAATTTTGATAGATCTTTCTACCCTTAATTCTAGCTGATGCTTTTTAGTCAGGAAATAAGATACAAGTTACTAAATCAATATTTTGCAGAGTTTCCATTCATTTTGTTTACAAGAGACTGACTGCCCTCTTTGATATGATTATGAAGTTGATTTATGGGATTGCATTTAAACAATTGTTTTCTTGTGTATTGTTCTATGAAAGGTTCATTATCTTCAAAAGAACATATTCTAGCTTTAAAAAAAAGGAGAAATGCATTAGGTCATAAAGAAATGCAATAAAGAGAGTAGTGACAGATTAAATGTAGAGAGCTTGTCAATGATTCCCATGAGTATGTTTTAATGTGATCATTCTAATGCATATAACTTGTTAACACTTTTCATTTTCCATATTTAACGACCTGTATGCAATTTGGTTTTGAAAGTTGATCATGTTCCTATCAAACTGAAATGTAATTAAACTTTTTTGACTTGTGATGGAAGTTTTTACGAAAAAAAAATTTTGGGGTCTTTGACAGTGGTTTCGTATTGTGTCCATAGCAGAATTTTTTTTAAGAACTTAGGCTAATGAATATTTGTAGTATCCATGTTAACTATTTTAAATTCATAGAACTTAAGAGGGGTTATAAATTTTAGATTGTCATTATTGATTGTTACACCTTTACTTAATGTGGAACAATAAATATTCTTATATTATTATTCTTATATTCTTGTCAATCTTGAACTTGCTAATCTTTTCATGAAATCCAGTTCTACCACAAATTCTGCTAAAAAATGTTAGAACAAGAAAGGGCAGATTTTCTTTCACCTCTGAAGGGATTTAATTTTTAAATCCTATCTGGCATATGAACAGCAATACATTAATACAGAAAGATTGACTTATTAACCTTGAATTTAACATGCTTAAGAACTGACTATTATATTTATCTTTATAAAAAGCATTTTCGACAACAGGATACTTCTGTTAATTATTTATAAAGTATATATTATGTAGGTAAAGTTGTTATGATTTTTATGTTGTAGTAGCCATGACCTTAATGTTTATTTACACATCTGACCAACATATCTACAGCTTGTCAAAATAAAGATTGTTAAATATCTACTCATCATCCACAACAATCAAAAGATATCAACATGATCAATACAATCAAAAGATATCAAAACAATCAAAAGATATCAAAACAATAATACAGATTCATTCTAAATAAATATCTATGCAAATCAAAAACATTATTCCAACTGTGTCATCATAATTAAATCTGTATTTCATATGAAGCAATACTGTTTTAAAGCAAGCAATTAACTTTAGAAATTTATTCAGATTAATTTTAGCATTTTACAAAGCAAGATAAGCTAATATTTATTGGGACTTTTAAAATGAGTTTAAAAGAAAATAAAATGCTTCGCTGGGCGCAGCTTGATACGACCGCAGAGGTCGAACCCTGAACAGTTGGGGCAAGTATGGACACAACATTCAAGCTTGATACAGCTCTGAATTTGGATTGTGATTAAATATTTGACACAGCATAGGTTTCTGACACAGAAAGAATGTGGTCTAAGAACTTCAATTTTTTTAATTTACCTATTATGGTCCAATGTCCAAAATCAAAATACATGGTTAGATTCAGCATATCAAAGAACCCCATATATTCAATTTTTGTTGAAATCAAACAAAGTTTAATTTTGGACCCCAACTTGGACAAACTTGAAAACTGGTCCCATAATCAAAAATCTAAACACATGTTTAGATTCAGCATATCAAAGTACCCGAAGAATTCAATTTTTGTTAAAATCAAACTAAGTTTAATTTTGGACCCTTTGGACCTTAATGTAGACAAATTTAAAAAACGGGACCCAAAATTAAAAATCTAAAAACACGGTTAGATTTGGCATATCAAAGAACCCCAATAATTCAATTTTTGATGAAATCAAACAAAGTTTAATTTTGGACCCTTTTGACCTCAATATGAACCAATTTGATAGCGGGCCCACAAATAAAAAATCTAAATACATGGTAAGATTCAGCATATCAAAGAACCCCATATATTCAATTTTTGTTGAAATCAAACAAAGTTTAATTTTGGACCCCAATTTGGACCAACTTGAAAACTGGGCCAAAAATCTAAAATCTAAATACATGTTTAGATTCAGCATATCAAAGAACCCCATATATTCAATTTTTGTTGAAATCAAACAAAGTTTAATTTTGGACCCCAACTTGGACCAACTTGAAAACTGGTCCCATAATCAAAAATCTAAACACATGTTTAGATTCAGCATATCAAAGAACCCCAAAAATTCAATTTTTGTTAAAATCAAACTAAGTTTAATTTTGGACCCTTTGGACCTTAATGTAGACCAATTCAAAAAACAGGACCCAAAATTAAAAATCTAAATACACGGTTAGATTTGGCATATCAAAGAACCCCAATAATTCAATTTTTGATGAAATCAAACAAAGTTTAATTGTGGACCCTTTTGACCTCAATATGAACCAATTTGATAGCGGGCCCACAAATAAAAAATCTAAATACATGGTTAGATTCAGCATATCAAAGAACCCCATATATTCATTTTTTGTTGAAATCAAACAAAGTTTAATTTTGGACCCCAATTTGGACCAACTTGAAAACTGGGCCAAAAATCTAAAATCTAAATACATGTTTAGATTCAGCATATCAAAGAACCCCATATATTCAATTTTTGTTGAAATCAAACAAAGTTTAATTTTGGACCCCAACTTGGACCAACTTGAAAACTGGGCCCATAATCAAAAATCTAAACACATGTTTAGATTCAGCATATCAAAGAACCCTAAGAATTCAATTTTTGTTAAAATCAAACTAAGTTTAATTTTGGACCCTTTGGACCTTAATGTAGACCAATTTAAAAAACGGGACCCAAAATTAAAAATCTAAATACACGGTTAGATTTGGCATATCAAAGAACCCCAATAATTCAATTTTTGATGAAATCAAACAAAGTTAAAATTTTGGACCCTTTGGACCTCAATGTGGACCAATTTAAAAACAGGGCCCAAAATCCAAAAACTTAATACACAGTTAGATTCAGCATATTAAAGAACCCCAAGAATTCAAGAATAAAACCCCATTGAAATTGATCAAGAAATAAGCAATTTATACGAAGTATCTTCTTTTGCACAATACTGTGCAATTGAATATTTCTTGCTATTGCGCAATACTGTACAATTGACAATTTCTTGCTATTGCGCAATATTGTGCTATTGGATATTTCTTGCTATTGCGCAATACTGTTAAATTGAAGATTTCTTGCTATTGCGCAATACTGTGCAATTGAAGATTTCTTGCTATTGTGCAATACTGTGCAATTGAAAATTTCTTGCTATTGCACAATACTTATTATATAATAATTTACACATCCTGTTTGGTGTGTATCTCCTACCATATCATTATTATTTGCTTTTAAATATAAATCAGAAATAACCAACTTAAAATGGAAAATTTTAAAAGAAAAAAAAAAGGAATAAAAAGAAAAAAAAAAAAAAAAAATCCCCCCCCCCCAATTTTTTGAACCCCCTTATGATTCATCACCCCCAAACTCAATCCCAGCCTTCCCTTTGTGGTATGGTACCTTGCAGTACAATTTCAGAGAGATCCATACACTTGAACACAAGTTATTGTCTGGAAACTAGAAAAATGCTTATTTTTGGCCCCTTTTTGGCCCCCAATTCCTAAACGTTTCGGGCAATTACCCCCAAACTCAATTCCAGCTTTCCCTTTGTGATATGGAACATTGTAGTACAATTTCAGAAATATCCAAACACTTACACACAAGTTATTGTCATGAAACTAGAAAAATGCTTCTTTTTTGCCCCTTTTTTGGCCCCTAATTCCTAAAATTTTGAGGCAATTACCCCCAAAATCAATTACAGCCTTCCCTTTGTGATATGGAACCTTGTGGTACAATGTCAGAGAGATCCATACACTTACAGACAAGTTATTGTCTGAAAGTTACAAAAATGCTTATTTTTGGCCCCTTTTTGGCCCCTAATTCCTTAACTGTTGGTACCATAACCCCCAAAATCAATCCCAACCTTCCTTTCGTGGTATTGAACCTTATGGTGAAATTTCATGGAGATCCATTCACTTAAACTAAAGTTAGAGTGCGAAAACCAATGTGTCTTCGGACGACGCCGGACGACGACGACGACGACGACGCCAACGTCATACCAATATACGACCAAAAAATTTTTAATTTTTGCGGTCGTATAAAAATAGTACTGACACAAATTTTTGGCTTCAAAGGAGAAGGTGGGGCAGACCTCCCTTAGGCAGCATGTGGATTTTCAGACATATTTAGTTTATCCAACCCATGGAAGACAAAATATTTAAAGGAGATGTGTTGCTCATGTAGACACACATTATTGTGATGATTTATGTAATGATAATTGCATGTGTTATTTATTTGAAGATCCAAAAAAAACATTTGAAAATTGACCAAAAACTATGATGATGGATGACAGTTCAACATCCAATGTCATATTAAAAGCATATTCAGAACGAGAACATGTTGATATACAAATATAAACTCTGCTTTGAAATAGACCGACATGTCCATTCAAATCTAATATCACATTCACAAAAAATATTGAAAACAAAATTATGCTTTCACACTTTAGAACTTGTTATTGTAGGGCAAGAGGTTGCCACAGGGGACAATCTAGAATTTTGGCCCACTCTGTGGCGTCTGTGTCCAATCCCACCATAGACGGATGGAAAAGACAAAATGCATGGGCTGTATATAAGACAGGGTATATTTACCAGTTCAAACTCTGGTTTATCTGTATGACTAGAACTACTACTATTGCTAAGAGGACCTTTACTCTCTGTCGACCGCAGGGGCCGCTTTCTGTCCCATTTATGGTCATCTTCATGGCTGTCTTTCCTGAAAGTAGAATCATGGAACTTCTGGACAAACATAATCAACCTAACACAAAAGTGTCTATGAATTTAGCAAATCTAGACTACAAGTGTTGTTATTATCTAAAGACTATGCAAATCAAACATGACCTAGGCAAACTAAGATGGAGATATAAACAGGTGCTTACAATATTCCCTTCTTAGTGACATTTGTAATACATTCTTTAAAATCAGGAATTTAATATAAAGTTGAAATAAAGTTAATTTTTTTGGTTAATGTTGAGTATTTGACCACCAATCTGGTTATGCTCCTACATTTAACATACAATGTAGTATACATAAAGCCTCTCTATTTATAGATATAATTTACTGTACAAATATTTCAGAGGTGTTTATCCCTATTCAGTCTATCAGTAGTATCAACCATTTTCGCAGTATTTTTCAGTAGTATCAACGGTAAGCGTAAACTTGCTAGGGGGGTCTGGTGGCATGCCCCATAAAAATTTTCAAAAATGAGATGCAAAATACAGAGAGCTTTTAGAGCTGCTCAATTTTTTTTTCATAATTGTAAACCACCTTTCGCTACATACTTTGAAAGATCGGTAAAAACAGACGATAAATTAGAGGTGTTCTGAATGCTTCTGAAATTTCTATCTCTATCATGTTTTATATGTGTTCTTTGGCACTTTGGTGAAAAAAAATTATTTCTGAAATGAACTGGAAACAGTACTTCTGTGAATAAAATCCATGATCTGAATTTTGCATTTAGATTCTGTGTAAAATACGGAAAATCTGTAGTGGTTAACACCTATGCTCTTTCATGAGATCATCTCTCATTTGTCTTGTGTAAGATTTTTTCAGGAAATTGTCAAGAAAAATGTTGAATATATACCTCTTTCAATCATCAGTTGTTGTCAATTTTTTACTGAATCTTGTCAGCAGTGATGTATACAATATGTATACTTACCTACTCAAATTAATGTATACATACCATTTGATATTATTAGCTTTTAAATAATCCAAATGAATACATCGTAAAATCCAAAATACACAAACAAATTAAACACTTACTATTGTTGTGCAATAGACAAAAGGTAACACTTACTCTAGTTGAGCAACACTCAAATAAGATTAAACACTTACTCTTGTTGAGCAGTTTCTGTTGATTTATTATTTGTCTTCGGCGTGATTTTTCGTCTTTTTGTGAACACTTTTTCAGGTGCATTTTCTTTGCGTTTAATGCTAATTTTGTCACTAGGTTTCCAACACTTTTCATTATGAGGTGAAGAAGAATAAGAAGACACATTTTTTGAACTATAATCCTCAATATGGACATTGGCCATTTCTGAGTCTGTATCTAAATCCATTTCCTGGGGTTCAGTATTGGCAGTTTCGTCATGAAACTTATGATCTGGTGATTTGATGATAGGATATGGTGAATTTTGCTTCAATTCCTCACACTTAATTCCTACTTTATCACGATATGGTGACTTTTTTATTCTGTTCTTTATCAAGTGTTCAACATTTTTAAAATTAAGACGGACCACTATTGAAGGTTTTCCATCATTGAATTTCAAAGCGTCTTTATTCACGGTTGTCTTTAAACATGGAGATTTTTGTGGAACTTTCTCAGGTTCCTGATGTATTGGCGATAAGGGAGTATGTTTGGTACCAACAGAATCGATGATATCTTGTAAATTTAATTCCATATTATTATTATTCCGAGGTCCATCATTCTCATCCTCATCATCACTACTTACAGGTCCGATAATACTTCCGGACCCTGAACTCAATCTCTTGGACGATAATCTCCCTGATGTTGGTTTGTTGGGTGATGATAATCTCCCTGATATTGGTTTGTTGGGTGACGATAATCTCCCTAATGTTGGTTTATTGGGTGATGATAATCTCCCTAATGTTGGTTTGTTGGAATCAGCAAAATTTAAGCACTTAGCAACACCACTGTCACTTTGTGGCATTAAAGACACTTTTTTCTGCGGTGTATTCACAACATCAATTTCACTATCACTATTGTCACTGTGTAAACTAATTTTTTTACTAGGTGCTATCCCGTTCACCAACGATGGTTTTAATGGTGAGGACTCTGCAGGGGAGTGAATAGACTGTGGACTGCTATCACCATTACTACTACTAGTGTCAGAATGAAGCTGCTGGTTTGGTGATTTTTCAATACTGTTTGTTGGACTTTTATGGATGAATTCTAGGCAGATTTTATCAAGCAGTTCTTTATTGTCATCGCTATGGTCAGATACTATAGGAGAGGGTTTTGGACATTTATCACCAGGAAGAAAGTTCTCTAACTTCCATGATGTAGAATTTGAAGACTGAAATGTAATAAAATATAAACTTTTTACACACTTCACTTGTATAAAATTGAGAATGGAAATGGGGAATATGTCAAAGAGACAACAACCCGACCAAAGAGCAGACATCAACCGAAGGCACTATGCATTACATTTAACTCATGACTGAAAAAAACATCCAAGTTCATTATCGATCTAGGACTTTCCAAGCTGTTTGAAATGTGTAAACAAAACAAGTGCCTGTTGGCTATATTATTATTTATATTAAATATCAAAATTCCTAATCTTTAGTTTTCTGATCAACAACAAAATTGCATTTTTCTTTATCGGAAATTAAATCAGGTCTATTAATTTCTACTCTCACAACCATATAAATTGTGGGGTTATGACCTATACTACTTGTCTATTCTAACTTACCTTGTCATGTGCAGGAGATTTTGATGGAGATTTGACCCTGTCTACCCTAACTTGAACCTTTTCCTCTTCCTCATCATCATCTGAATTCGAAGATGAATTACTGTCATCAGAACTGCTGTCTGAATCATTCCCTGATTCACTGCTAGAACTGTCAGAGGACATTGGTGACCTGCAAAACAAACAGAAAACATTTTAACAAAAGATCAAAATCATTACTGATTAGCTGCGTAAACTGTCAAAAGGCACTGGTGATCCACAATAACATATGTCTGAATCATAATTGATTCACTACTTAAACTGTCAAAAGGCTCTGTTGATCCACAATAACATATGTTTGAATAATAATTGATTCACTACTTAAACTGTCAAAAGTCTCTGGTGATCCACAATAACATATGTGGGAATCATTACTGATTCACTGCCTGAACTGACAAAGGGCTCTGGTGATCCACAATAACATGTATCTGAATCATTACTTATCTACAGCTTGAACTGTCAAAGGGTACTGGTGATCAACAAAACATATGTCTGGATCTTTAAGGATTTAATGCTAAGCCTGTCAAATGGCATTGGTGATCCCCAAAACTTTTTTCTGAATCAACACTGATTCACTGCTAGTTTTTTTTCAAAAGACAATGGTGCTCTACAAAAACATTTCTTATTCATTAGAGATGGTCCAAGAACGAGGATATTGGTGATCTACAAAAGTCATCTGACAAAAAAAGTGTGTGAAATGTAACATAAGTAATGTAGATACACTACATTAATGTTCATTTGTATGTTGTCATTCATATTTACTCTATTTATAGTTCTCCCTTTTATTCAAACATTATGCAATGATGATTGATCAATCTAGAAATCATCCTTAGATTCTCTTCAGCAGTCTGTTATGCTATCAATACTCAATACAGGTTTCACATCTATGAGAAAGAATAGCTTGTCAACAAATTTGATTTTAAATGAGATATTTCAATCATTTTTTTTAATTTCTGATTGTCACACCCCAGGTAATCATGTTACTGTGTGTCTCCTGTACAAGAAAGTCAAACAACAAAGGACACCAGGGTAAAATCATGTTAATGTGTGTCTCATGTACAAAACAGACAAACAAAACAACAAAGGACACAAGGGTAAAATCATGTTACTGTGTGTCTCCTGTACAAAACAAACAAAACAACAAAGGACACCATGGTAAAATCAGTCAAATAAGTATGTCAAAGTAATTTGGTAGAAAGAAGTGTCTATTATGCATAATATTTTATTCAAACTGAGCCTTTGTTCCTTCTGAAATAACTAGTAGTATGCCTCTTCTTATTATTCTGACAATATAAGCCATAAATTAATGCATATTTTTAAATTATTAAAGGTTTGATTCCTTGCAATATTGTATAGAATATATTCACTTCCCAAGCTCTTTAAATTATAACATGTTCATATCTACCTAGCTCTCCTACTAACAAACATATTTTGTATATGGGCCTCAAAAATCATAAACAAGATGATTTCAGACAAACAAATATCTACAGACCTTCAATTCAATGTTCCACATTCTGTTATCGCTCACTTTTGTAAAAAAAAAAAAGTCTAACATGTGGTCCTTGTTAAAAACTGTGGTCAATTTTTATAAAATAGATGAAAACTAGAAAATCCAACCAACCATTAAATAAATTATATTCTGAATTCAACACATACAAAACAACTTCATGTAACATAAATAAAAACACCTGTGAAGGAAAAAACCAACATCTGCATACATTTGAGCGATTATGTAACACCAAAAACAAGCATGATCAGCTAATTTACTAATACATTAAAGATATCATTAAGATCCTTGACATGTATATGTATTCATTAAAGTTACAGACAGTTAATAAATATTTATGCCTTATCAACACATCCTATTGACTACCATAAACATAAGATATCTTTGCTGCAAGTTTTAAATATATAAGATTAAATTGATTGGCCGACTGATTGATTGATGGAGCTTATGTCCAACAGCAAATATTACATGCATCTTTAGAACAATTTTACTCTGTACTAGACTAACGACTTTTGACATGCTATCTGGAACTGCATTAGTCTGCAGGAAATTTTGTCACTCTAATGAGAGGACTTAAATGCTGCATACTTAGCTGTCGAGCATCAATACCTTATTATAAGTCTGATTTCATCAAGTCACAATTGATCCTCACACACTAGAGGCTAGACTGCTACTACATAGTTGTTGATATAATAATTGTAATAAAGTGCAGATAAAGAACAAAATATCACACCAAAGATTTAAAGGTCGTAAGGTCATTATCGGTAGTATAAAATCAATATATCCAATAGACTGAATTAGAACATTATTGTAACATATGGCAGATTTCTCATATCAAATTCTAAAACAGCTAATAATTACTTTTTCTCATTCTACTAAAATACCTGATACCTTTGAAAAATTGTCAGCCATATAGTATTTCTTAATGAAACCAGAATGCTGATATTTCACATCAAATGGTTCAAAGACTACACTTTCTCATAGCAACAGACAACATCACTGAAGGTACAAGACACTGACCTCTAACAGTATTTACTGCAAAAATACATTAAGTGGTCAACAACCTTTCTCCTATGTTAAAAAAGTACAGTATATCTCTGACATTAAAGAATGATAATCTTTCACAGAGATTGTCCCAAATGCTCCCATTTATAAGAACAGTTTATTGGTTATTCTCAATTACATTAGTATTACAGAAATGACAGCCCATTCACCATTCTTTCCTAACCAATGTTTTGCCTATTTCCAATGATAATACAATCACCTGGGTGGTCTTGTGCTCTCTTGGGGAAACTTTACTAAATACTTCAAAATGGTATTTGTATCTTCTCTAAAAGCATGCAGAATTTTAAGATTAAGTTAAGTTAGCTCAAACAAAAGTTACAACCCCTAGAAACAATGATAGTATTCCAAAAGCATGGAAATCATATAATTTATATTGGCTTGGGGAACAGAATAATGCGTCTGAGTAGGATTGCCATGTCTTATTGCAGACTTAATTTATGAGGTGGCAGTTTAAAAATCCTACTCAGTGTGCAAGTTTATTACAAACATCATATTTCTAAATATGAATGTAATATTTGCTGCTGGACTTTTGAGTAGCACGATCAATCAATCATTTATACAATGGAAAACAAAAGCAGGACCACAAGTCAGATAAAAGTTAGAAATACACCCATATACCATCTAACTTCAATACAAAGCACAATATATACCACACATTTTGATGGCAAGTGCATCCTGTCCAAAAACAAGTTACCTATCAACTGTCACAATAGTTTAGGTAATTTACTTACAAGTAACTTACTACCCTACATATTGTAAATTATACATAACTCCCACTTAGGACTTTGGATTAAGCATAATATTTATATTTGTAGTTTATAAAGAAAAGCCAAGTCTTCTATAATCTGAATATTGATAATTATTTGGTACAATCAATCATTTAACTCTATAAATTTGATACCAAGGCTATTTATACATTTATACACAAAGCCTTTATCCTATAGACTGGGATCAGGGTAAGTTATAGTGTAACCAAGTACATTAAGAATTTTAAATTTTAATCTGGCTATCTTTACCTATAGTCTATATGATGATAAACATCTTCTTTACACTTTCTCTACAAGTTTTGTTTACAAATCATCACAGACTTTTGTTTACTATTATTGAAACAGACAACCAATCAGCTGAACGTGAGAATTCATTGTAATACCACCCACAGAGACTTCTTTTTCTTCTTCTATTTTTTTAACCCCACTTAAAGAACCGAATAATTCAAAAATTAACAATACAACAATTCACTGTACAATCAAATCCAGCTGGCCTATATGTTGGTGGCTGGTTGATGTGTATCTTATTTTGGAAATTGCCCATTCTGCACCAATTTAGCAATATCATAAGCAACATTTTATAATGGGGACACCATGGAGGATGGTTAAATGATTTTTTCCTGACCATTGTTTATCAGGACTTTATTTTTAGTGCATTTTATTGCAATTTAAAGTATTGGAGGTTATTTTCTAGGTGTTAATGGTTATCAGAAATGAACAAACTAAATTCAATTTTAAGAAAAAAGAACTATTTGTCCTATATTGAAGATGAATTTACATTACTGTATATCAAATAACAGTAATATGATATACTATCAAAGACTTGCTCCTATTAAAGTCTCCTATAACACATAGCATACAGAAAAGTACATTGACTTCTCCATACAGAATAAAGATGTGAATCACAAAATATGTCTAAGCATTCAAATGCAGGAAACTTTTATAAAGAAGAATTTAAATCTTTTAAAATTTGGCAAAAAAATACACTTACAAGAAATAAAATCTACTACAAATGTGATCTAATTGAATCAAAGATTGATGCTTTTTACTTGATACCATTACTGCATCAGAATAATACTTTGATGTTATGTAATTCTAACCAACTTACTGTAAATATCATTGAATTTTCTTTGCATTATTACTCAAGAGTTGTTATTGAACTACATTGTACTAAAGTAATTTACATTTGAGTATACCTGAAAACCCTTGGTAAGGATGAACTTTTCCGTGAAAAAATTGTTTTCAGAAATTATTTTTTTTTATCAAGGAAATGTTGAAAACACTGATCAACACCTACTTTAAATGCATTTCAAATAAATATCACATTTACTATCAATCAGATTAGATAATACTAATACTAATTAGTTAATAGATAAACCAATTTAGCCTTGAAAACTGAAAGTGCTTTTTTTGGATTATATAATTAAAATAAGTGTAGGAAAAAAGATCAGATTCATTTACAAAATCCTGTGACTTTTTTTACACTAATTAACACCCACATCTCACAGAATTATGACAAAAAATGGCAAAAGTACTTTGGGATTACGAATCATCAATATACAGAGCCGTACTGAGCGTAAAATTTACTTGTACATTGGTTTAAAATTCCCGTAACTGTTAAAATCACCAATTAAGTCAATTCTGTAATAAATTCATTGCCATAGAACTATCAGAAAATCTGGCATCATAATGTTACAATGAATCAATAACAAAGTCCAAAGCTATAAAATGCCGTTCCTTCATTTCCATTATTATCCTCACTGTGTTCAACATGCAGAACAACTTCATATAATT